ATAAATTATTTATTTAATCAAAAATGACAAAATTTTGATTAAATAAGGAATCTACTTCCAAAGGGATTTACATGATTCGTTAGAATTTCAAGAATTGCACAAAATCTACCTATACAGCTGCATATAACGAGCTGGCATCATAGTTTGCCGAGCATAAACTTCTTTGAGACCCACTTCCATATCGCCCCAAATTTCATCAATTGAAGGTGTAGTACGAAGACCCATTTTATCGGCGGTATCTACTGTAGGTATGGATCTTTTGCGCGTATTCCCTGTTCTCATTAAATAAGTAGTTTCTTCAATGTATTCCCTGAAAATAAACTTCTATAATTTAATAGACCAAAATATGCGTCTATCAAATTATATATGATTCAATAAAAATGGACAATTATTATTGGAAATAGGATTTCTAAAATACACATCAATTACTATGTGCTACTTCACCACCACTCGGATAATCTGGCTTAAAATGAAATAGTTTTTCCAATAACTGCCCAGATGAAGAAACAAACCGCATACCATTAATGCAAAAATATAAATAACATAAAAATACCAATGAATGAATGATACTGAATTTCCATACTTATCTTAAATTCACGTGAACAATAGTAAATGAATACTTCGAAATGTAAATTTTTAATCTTTAAAAGTTAAACCTAAAAAATGGCAATAATCTCTGACTACTTTAAAATTTTACTCTTTCTATAAACATTAAAGAAAGATCTCACGTTAAAAGATCGAATCAAAAAAAAGTTGTTTGTTTTATTAGTATTACATACTACAACTCACTGTTGCTTGTCCTTCTGAATCGTCTGCAATACGATAACGATAACTGATCTTGCACAAATGAGTCTATTCGTATTCACTGAAAGGGATTAGTTTGTGCTGAGATGATTGATAAATTAGTTCATTACGCACCTAAACTCGAAATTATCGAAACAATCAATACATGGTTATGACGTCAGATGATAAATTCATTCATCGATATGATATGAATGGTCGACATTCAAGCAACAATTCAAGCAATAGCTGCAGCCTAAGATCGCATAACGTTTTCGTCCACTCCAATACAATCGATAGTTGATGAAGTTGAAAAAACGTCAAATTTCCACTATAAAAATAATAACATTCATGAAAAAAAGAAATCGGCATAACTTAAAGTTGACTGTTTGCATTCAGTAAAGAAAACGGTACAATCTAACTAACATGCTAAGGCCTTAAAATCAGTTAGATTCTTCTACATACATAGGATAACGAACGGTGAAGTCCTACTTTATTTACTGAGATATTGATAAATGAAGCGGGACTTGTCTGGCGTAAATAATGCCGTAAAACAGCATGTTGGAAGGTATTACAGAAGATTGGACCCCTCGACTATCTGAGAAACCAAACAAAAGTCAAACAGGATAATTAGAGAAGTGAGAAATTTGATAAATACAATTTTAATATTTTACTTGTCGAAATATGTCAGTTAGGTCACAAACTCTACTACACGTAATCCAAGTCAGTCATAGTTACCATCTGATAAATCACCGAAATTGTTGCAGGATCCACTCCTGCACTCTCATATTTCTCGTGCAACGAGATGTTTGAGTTTGCGAATCGTTGTCTCAAAGTGAACCTATGCCCATCAGGTATTCGCATTTTAACGTTAGCTGATCTAAGATCATTTATGATGAGTGTGTATATACATGTGTGTACGTGTATTGGTGACGTGGACGCGTCGTGATACGAGGTAGTTAACCAAAAGTAAAATGAATGGAGGTTGCGGATCTTAAACGAAGTGCACGATGTCAGTCGCAGGTCTTAATAACATATCTGTTCCAGTTTCATTAGTTGGCTGTAGTCTGAATGATATCATTGGGATATACCTTATATACTTTTAATGCAAATCCGTTTCTCTCCTTGCGGTTTCCCAGGATGATTTCAGCTTGTACTGCTCTGCACACATGTCTATTAATAGATGAGATGCAGATGATGAGCAGACGTGACTGAGCAAAATATAATGTAAATTATCGACTGAGTCTCGAGTATTCCCGGAGAATTGGCTTAGCTCTTTTATATTTTCATATCTTCTCATTATAATGCTATACTCCTCTCCACGCTATGCAATCTAACGAAAACTCGTGATCTTTGGTCTAATCGTAATACTATGCGATGCCACGGCGGCAATTGATTTATTTGGTATGAACGGTCAGACTCTTTTCTGGCAGTTGTAACTTTTATCTATAATCATTCAATATGATTTACGAGTTGGAAATGCGCATAAATTTAATGACGTGCGTGTGCGCATGTTACTATGTGCGTTTATGCTCATGTGACTAAGTTTGCTTAATTGTCCGTCGATGTGGCGTGACTGATCACGTGTCCTGAAACATCGACGTGGATATCCATGAATACTTGGTTGAATGTGGAGTTACTTTGGTATCATACTTGTTAATCGATCAAGTTTACACATTCTAACGTGATGTATGAATATATGATGCAAAGTGTTCAATTGTCTGTTGGTATGACATAACTGCTCGCTTAGTTACGAATTCATTGACTGCTACTGGCGTAACGTACGACAGTAAATGTGTAAGTCAAAATATATAATCCTTTAGTATAATAACGTCGAATCTCATTCTGAAACATTGCTAACGCGCTGACTCTTAAAATTTCCTAAAAGTTAGATATTGATAATATCGTTTTTATCATTTCAGCAGTGGTGATATCATTGTTATCATTTGAGATACCATCTTCAATTGATAATTTTTGTCGGATTTTGAGGTAATTTTTAACTTTCTGCTCCAGCTTATTCGCTTTTTAATGGCATAACAAGAGACTTTTTTGTCCTTTGTTTGTCGAAGTGCTTGCCCATTTTATGAGAAATTCAGACATTAAGTGCTGAGTTCAATATAGTAATGTTGCCTCGGTTGAAACTGTACTGAAAAATTTTGTTTTAGAGTGTTATCATATATAAAGCAGAGTTGGAAACCAAAACAGTTGATGAGGCCATTTATTTGTTTCCACGGTTTGAATTCTTTTATTTCCGACTAAATGAGTAAAGAACAGAGGTCAAATTTTAATACTTCAATGTCGCATTTACGAAGCATAAAACTCAGTTTCCGTTCCTTCCAAATTTTCAAAAAACACATTCACGGATGACCTCACATGGCAATACGTAATTTAATAGAACTTGCAGGCTTGTCATACGACATTTATATATATATCCTATGTATGTATCATCATTATATGTATTATTGTTATCAGCATCATCACCACCATCATTATCAACCGTGAAAATATTATAGTTGTCGAGAGAGACATCGTCATATTATCGTTTATCACTATCATGCCCATTGTTATCAAAGCTTTAAATTATCCACAATCACCGTTATTATTATTACGTAATTCATCAGCAATTTCCTCACAAGTATCTAAAGTATAGAATCAGCAAAAGTAAGTGCAAATCAAATAATGTCCATCAAGGCTAGCGTAAATGATGAAGTATTACTGCATTTGGCAAAAGAAGTAATGCTGTAAGTATATCTAGGTATATATCAACTGGAGAATTTTATTTTTGACTGTATAAAAAGACGATTATTTAGTTCACAGATTCTGGCTATTTCATTTCTTCACTGTCATCTCATTCTTAATTTAAGCAACCATCTAATGGTTGGTGATGATTTTAAAGTAAACTTTGCCCAAAAATTTCGAAACCGTTTGTAGTGAAGTGGAATTTTATTTGATTTTGATGATGCAAATGTAATCTACATGAATCCAGTTCCACGGATGGAAGGATTGAAGGATGAATGTTCACCTTCTTGTCTTTTATTGTGAACATCATTAGCATTGGCCAGAAATCACAAATCTAAATCCATGACTTCCTTTCGAAGATCTCTTATGACATCCTCACTTTCCCACTTGACAATGCATTGAATGATGCTGCAAAAAAATTGACTGCAAAAAATTATTTGTCAATTAATAAAACTTGCTAAAGAGTGAAATTTTGGTAGGGAATAATCGTTTCGTAGTTTCTCTCTCAGTGAAGTGTAGTTGGACTTTGAAATAATTGTAGAGATTTTAATCAGATGATCATTACCATGAAAATGACGAGAATGACATTTTCATTTTATTTTCTGTGCTTATTCCTGTTATACTCAAGATGTTAAGTCTCAGCGATCTTAACTTTGATCAAAAATGTTGCGACTTTGAAGCGAGGGCAGGCTGAGGCGTAAGCGCAAGAGTCAAGAGATTATTTTTATTAGATTTTCTGAGAAGGAGAGAGATTCAGAGATTTCAGCGATTGAATTGATACATTAAGGATACACTTCATGACATCGTCATTTTTAATTTGTAATGATTTTCAATTTTTACCAAAATGAAATTTTCTTTACTTGTCGTTTTCTTGATGAAATTTAGATTGGCTGAGATTGATCCTGTTAGTTTTTTCACTTTTAATAAATAGTATAACATATTAGATTCTACGAATCACTAGTATCATTTTACTAGATTCTACGATTGAGTTAAACATGAGTAAATTTCAGTTTAAAAAAATAAGATGGTAAATTCTAGAAAATGGTTTTATGCAAAACACTTTCTACACATAGAAATACAATTACACATAAGCTCGAAGTAGTGTTATGCATCAATTTCTGCTAATTTTTTTGTAGAGCACTTTAGATTCCCGTAAATATTATGTTTGTTTTTGCATAATTTATTGATACATAATGCTAAGCATTTCGTGTCTCCTGTCATTAACCGCTGGTTGTGCAGTCATCGAACGGTTGGTTTTCGGTTCCGAATATTCTCCCATGTTATTTGGCATACTTCTTTGAATTTTACTGAAGTTAGAATTCGCATACTTCAGGAATTAAGCCTTATTAAAATCTGTTCCAATTCAATCTCCATGCAGTTTATTTTTATGGATAGAAAGTATCTACTGTGAATATAATTCGAACTTTACTTAATGTAAGGTTATCCAGAGTTACTAATGGATATTTGAATTTTTTGTACAGATGATGGATGTAGAAAATCCAGTAGGAAGTATGGACAATGATGAATACCGTCAAATAAATGGTGATGAGAAGTCGGAATATCTGGATGATGATGGTAAAGTTAGTAATGGCGAAATAAAGCTGGCATACGATCATAGCAATAACAACAAAGGGGAAGGAGATGATGCGGCCGGAAGTGACAAATCAGAAAAATCAGATGATTCTGCTATAAAAGAAGGCGCTTCTGGTGGAGAGTTAGTTTTTTTCTAGAATAGAAATGTTGTGATAAAAGCTGAAATTGGTAGAATGCATTTAGCTTACTCTTTACTCTTTAAGAGAAATACTAACAAAAAATTAGTTATACATCGTTAAGGATCGCCTAATACCCCAAAATTAATATCAGTCTTTCGTTTTTTAGCATTCATGCAAAAAAAGAACGTGCATCGAGATCAAAGTCGCGTTCTATTTCATCAAAGCGTCGGCGTCGTCGTCGTCGGCATTCTTCAAGCTCAAGTACACATACTGCTTCCACTAAATCGCATTCACGAAGCCGGTCGAGATCACGGACCAAGTCACACTCACGTTCTCGATCTCCACGACGCGCTAGCTCACGCTCGCGTTCGCATTCACGTCGTAAATCGTCCAAGAAAAAGGCTCGTCGTACTTCACATTCATACAGTCGCAGTCGCAGCCCAACGCGTCGTCGCAAAGTGTCACATAGTCGCAGCCCGAGACGTCGTCCTACTCGTAGTTCGTCATCTTCAAGTCGTGATACTTATGGTTCTTTCAAAGCTATGAGGTAGATTTTATTGATTGATTAGCTATAAATGAGAACATTAAGTTATCAAATATTATTAAGTTATTTGAAAAGAAAGAAAATTTAACGTTATTTTTAAGATCAGTTTAGCACGGCGTTAAGATGAAGGAACGTTAAGATAAAATATTGATTAAATCAGTATAGGAGGATTTAGGCTATTGTAAAGGTTGATATAAAAGAATATAATGAAGTAGTATCCGAACAACTTCAATTTTAACGTTATTTTTTTAATTTTTTATATTTTAAAAAGCTTAGAATATGAAGAACTATAATTGGCTTTTCAGTTGATCTTATCATCTCAGTACTGCTGATTCTCATTTGCATAGTATTTAACTTTTTTTTTAATGCAGTGTTGTGTTGACGATGTTAGTTGTATCCGATTAGTCCAGCCTCACTATTTATTATTATTATTATTATTATTATTATCATTGTTCTTCGGCATACCCATCCCAACGACCTCATGATGATGGCAGTGGCTATACAAACAAATACACTGGTGCTATCATTATTGTTATTACCATTCTCATTATGATTGAAATTATTCGCAGGTGAAATTATGTTGTAGTCCAGAGATACTATGCCAACAGCATGTGCGTAAATAGTAATTTAGAAAATATCAGTTTTTATTTTTTCAATCTTTCCAAGTTTCAAATTTAACCGAGCGAATGCTTGTTAAGGAAAGTTTTCTAATAGGCTATTAGAATTATGAACCGATCATGTTTGCCTGATTGAATGCTTGCGGTTCTAATTCATGACGTTGGGTTTCAGTGAAATTTACTTGATAAGTACCTCCACACTTTCAAACGGCAAGAAATGCCATTTGAAGCAGTCAAGTACATTAAAGACACCAGAGGTTTGAAAGGAATTATTTTGCAAATCCCTAACAGGGCTGTCAGTACTTTCATGAAGAGTATGAGCAGCTTTTCCGTTTATTCGTGTAAGGGTTATGAAATCGGTTTCGAATACAGAATGAAAACTATGAGTGACAATTTACAAAAAAACAGCATTTTGCTTTTGAAGACATCGTTCTGTCATTGATGTTTTCTCATAACAATATTTTCCAACTTTTTATTTGAATTGGAAAAGTTTGCAAGCCTTATTTTCATGAATTTTCAGCCCAGCTCGTCCGGTTTATGAATACCCTTGCCGCAAATGTGATCGTGATTTCGAAACTATTCGAGAGCTCTGTGAGCATGAAATCCGTGCTCATGGTGCTTGTTTCCCATGCCCTCACTGCGAGAAGCAGGCATCGAGCGTGCAAAAACTTTGCGAGCACATGAAACGTCGCCATTCTGATTACCGTTTGCTGTGTGATTTTTGCAAAGATGATTTTGGTGGAAAAATAAGTGGCGCAAAAGATTCAAATTGGGAAGAATTTCGGGATCACATCTATAAGGTCATTCTTTTTAGTGGCTTTCCTGTTTTTGTCCCAATGATTCACTAACATAATCATTTTGCTGATTTTGGTGATAGTATTGTATTAGGTTACTATGATAAATCATTAGATGCTGTGAGTATATGCTTAGGTTTTTTTTCTATGATGAAGCCTAAACTCTACAACTTTCCACTGTCATATACGACTGTTCTCTTTTAGTTTTTTTTTCCCAAATAGTATTTCTAGATCACCTTATTTCAGGAATGTCTGAAAGAGAAGATCTACCTCGCTGATCGTCAACGGGGTCGTTCAGCTGGAGTTGCCCAGCGAGGCCGAGGTCGTTGTCCACATGGACCGCCGGTAAAATGCAAGTATGTATTTCTTCTATGTGACTTTTTTTTCAAAATTTTTTGTTTATGTTTGGAAGAAATTTCAACTTTTTGTTTTTTATCTCCAGGAATTTTCCGAACTGTCCAGGCGAGAAATGCTACTACTTTCATGGCTACTGTCGTTATGACAAGTTATGTGTCAAAAAGGAATGTCCATTTGATCACACGGATCGTCCACGTATTTGCCTGTCCTGCCTTAGAGATTACAAAGTAAATCTCTTATTTCTTGTTTATGATTCTGACTTTTAGACTAGCTTATGGTTCTAAATTTTTAAACTGACATTAGATCGACTCATCTTCACTATTTTTTGGGAAGAGAGAAAAGAAGGTTTGATTTCAGAATAATGATTTGGCTGCTCTCTATCAGCCTAAATACTTGATTCATTTGATTATGTCTTAAAAAACAGCTTAATTTAAAATTGATAAATTTGACTTTTTGTAAGAGATGTAATTACTGTTTACTTATTTATGCTCAGATAATATGTTATATCTCCTTTTGGATAGAGTTTCCCTACAAACTGCGGTTTTAAGACTTTATTTTAATAAATTATGTTTCTCTTTTTCAGAGACGCTTTTAACGGAATGCAGTTCAGCCAAATTTGTTATCGTCCTCGAAGTTAGCATGTTGATCTTTTGGTAATGAAGAAGATCTTTTCCAATTTTTTTCAAATTTCTTCTAGATATTGTTTGTTTTCTTGAAGGATATTCCTACTATATTGTATTTTTCTGTTTTTAGTTCCAGGTGTGTTAGTAATGATTGCGGTCGATTAGTTTTCATCTTAAAAATCCACTGCTTTTTTTGTCAAAAAAGTGGTGTTTCATCAATACTTGTGAGGCTTTCATGGATTTCCTAGTTGCATTGCTGTCGATCCTGTACTAAAATAACTTTCCACCCAGTAGAAGTTTTTTTTCTGGCCTTTATTTTGCATATTTTTATAATTATTAGACATCGTTTTTGTTCCGACTTCTGTTCTGGTTTCTGTAAATCATAGCTTTTCTATTATTAATCTGATGCTACTATATTCTTTCTTAAACGTTCAGGCATATTTATCCTTATTTGGAGGAATAACTTTCTGAAATTTTAAAAGAAATTCTTCGGTAGTGATTCAGTGTTTCCGGTTTCAGTTTAGATGTCTTGGTCGATATTTTTTTGCTTATATTTGAAAACTCATTGAAATAGTACTGTTATAGTTGCAGATTACAGTTGATTATCTTTATGACGAATATGTTTTTATCCGAAATAAGAGAAAAGCAAGTTCTAAGTTCCAGCAAATTAAATGAGTTTTCAGTTTCTTCCTCAAGTTAATTTCTTGATTGTGAGCTGTTTACTGTTTCATTAAATTCTCGTGTTTTGTGCCCTGCAGTTTTTAAATTTGGGTTTAAAACTCAAGAAAAATGGTAAAAAGCTCTTTGTGAGTTGTGTTTTAATTTTATTTTTAACTATCATTGTTGTATTGTGATAAAATTGTTGAATAAAAAGGCGTAAAAGTAGTTGTCATTATACAACGAATGGGTACATTATGTGGACGAAACTTTTTGGCGCAATAACTGTGCCAAAAAACGAACATTTATGACAGCTTATATATACATATATATAATTCAATAATTGTATAAGTCATAACTATCAAGATTTTTGTGCGACAGAATTATTAAATTATGTTTCGATTATATATATATATATAATGTTGATAAATTACCCAGTGGTGCTGAAAACTTCCTGAATGTGAGTATGCCAAAAATGATGCTTTTAATAAATAGATGAGACTATAAACATAATCCCTGAAACATATAGTTTGTATAGCTAAAGTGATATCGCAACTTTTAAGATATCGATAAATTCGTTAACTACCGATTAGTTTGCAACGAAGCTATGTGGTAAGAGAACTAGAAATAAATTGAGAAATTATCACACACTGCAAACTCTGTCAGTGAATCAGTAGTAATTTTAGTAGTTGTGGAATGTGTAATGCCAGCTGGTGGCCCAACATATCTTCGTAATACTGCTGATGATAATGATCAGCAGCATCATATGCGTTTTTTAGATTACAAAAAACCATCATCACCTGCTATTCCGGATAATATTGAATATAAATTACATGTAACCGGATTACGAAAAAAACGACTATGGATTTTATTGTTAGTCTTAGTGGTGCTAACAATTATTACACTCATCTTATTGGCTGTAAGCTTTTTTTTTAACATTTATATATTTTCTAATTAATTTATTTCTTACTAATTTACATATTACTTACTAATTTTTCTCTACTTCTTTTTCCTCTCTTTTTTTTGCTTTAGTGCTTTTTCATTTAAAACTTTTAAAGGTTTAAATTTGAAATATCAAAAAGTGAAGAGAATAAATAATTGTTGAAATGTAAATTTTGAATCGATAAAAATTATTCATAATTTTTTCTTCATTAATGTAAGAATTAAAATTTATGTATTGAATATATTTAGAGGGATAAATTAGCAACTAACGATCTAAATTTAATTTTTATTAATTAATGATCTAATTAATGAAAATTTTGATTAATTCATTCATTTGTTATATTCAGCTGAATATCTTCATAATTCATTTATTGGGTATCTCAACCAGAGGTATGAAATATTTACAATTCCATAGACGATATCATCCGGAAACCGATGAAGAAGATGTTATTTTAAAATTCTCAGCTAATGAAATTCATTTTGATAAAGTGATCGCAAAAAGTGGTGTTGTTTATGGGAGTGCAGGAAAAGATTTAACAATTGTTGGTTCACGGGTAAGTTAATTTTCATTTTGTCATTAATTAAAATTAATGGATTTTGGAAGGTTAAAAAATAAAATAAGAAATATAAAAAAATACATGTTTATGTTGATAATATTCAATAGCCTATTTGAGATTTCAATAAATTTCATAAATTTTATTGTAATTAAAATAATTTCGTTTAATTTATTTCAGAAATTACCACTTGCCTTTTTTTTATTTTATATTATATTTCATTTTATTTTATTTTATTTTATATTATATATGCTACTTTTATTTCATTAATGATTTCTATAGTTTTTTTTAAGAGATAAGAATTCGATAGCGCTCATTTAAATGGTCTTCCTCATTTTCCTGAAACAATTTGCGCTTAAAAAAGAGAGAGAGAGAGGAAAAGGGAGATAAATTAGCATGAGATGAATGCAAAACATAAATATACTTGTAAATTAATTTTTAGGTAATAATTAGCGGTAGTAAATCAACACAAAGTCGTTTGGTATTACAGGATGGAATTTGTCGCTTTGAAAATAGCAATCAATTTATCGTTCGTTACTATAATTATTTAAAATTTATTTAAGACTTGAAATAAAATTTTTTTAATGAATTAAATAATTTAGGTAAAAAAAATTTAAGAATTAAATAAATTAATTATTTTAACAAAGCAAAATGCTAAAAAATTTTTCATTAATTAATTCAATTAAATTTCCACTAATTAAATTATAGATAAAAAGAAAAGATAGGTATTTGATTTAAAGTAATTTATGATTTATCAGCAAGTAATGTATGATTTTAAAATTTTTGCAGATAAAAAATGCTCTTCGACCATACTTCAGTATTCAATATCCGTTGTTTCGTGTGGATAAAAAGATTAAGAAGATATCTACGTCGCAAATTATAACAGATAAAGTAATATAATTTGCCATTAATTATAACAGATAAGATGCCTACGTCGAAAATTATAATAAATATAAATTGCAACAGATAAGGTCTTTTTGAAAAAGTTTTAAAATTTTGTTTATAATTATAATTACTTGAGTAAATCAATAAAATTTATAAAAACAACCATCACATCTTTCAATTTAATAGTTTGTATCGCTTAAATTAAGAATAATTCAAATTTGTTGTTGACTCTTGAGAATTTCATTTTCTTTGTTTTTCTTTTAATATATGCTACATAATTTCAAAAGAACTCAAAGATTATCAGGAGATTATCAAAATCAAAAAATTATCAGGAAATTATCAAAGTTAAAAAACTATCAGGGGATTATCAGAATCAAAAAATTATCAGGAAATTATCAAAATCAAAAAATTTAAGTTTAATAATTAATTCGAACCAAAAATAGTTTGATTTTTTTTGCAGCTTTAAACATACTTTAACCTTTGAAGAAGATAAAGGAGGAAGAATAATTGAAAAATATTCAAATCTAAATTTAACTGCGATACATTTGATTGTAGTCGTTTTTTCTTTTTTCATTAATTAAATTATCGAATTAAATCCAATGAATCAAATTTGAACTTTTATCACAAAATTGATTAAATTTAAAATTAACAATTTTTTTTGTTTGATTTTTCAGATACGTTCACCGATCAATGATAATTTATACGTGAATGTGATGAATTTAGGATTACGTGGTAATGAGGGAGTACATTTGGAAGGAAGACGAATGAATTTTACTGCTGCAAATGATATTTCATTTGCAACAACGGTTTGTTATCAGTAATATTTTCAATTTATTTAAATTACAAATTAAAAGGTGAATTTTCAACTAATTCATTTGATTTTCTTTTGTTTTAGAAAATTTACATTTTATAAGCTTAAGCTTATATTTTGCTTGAACTTTAACATTCCTTTCAACATTTTTATCAATCTATCTTTTCTCTTTTTGAAGTTATCAATCTATTTTTATATTATCAATCTATATATTACCAATCCATCTTTTCTCTTTCTAAAGTTATCAATCCATTTTTTATATTATCAATCCATATATTACCAATCCATCTTTTCTCTTTCCAAAATTTATCATACAAATGCATTTAATTTATTTCTATTAGGAAAATTTTATCCAAATATAATTATAAATTTATGATAAATTTTACCTAAACTATATTAATTAGTTTTAATTAGATTAATTAGTTTTAATAAGTCCTATTATTTAAGTTTTAACGCAATTACTATTTTCTTTCTCTTCAAATTTTGTGCTATTTTAATGAAGCTATTCTAAATAATTACTCCGATTGATTTTATAAATGCTCTCATTGATCACAAAATAAATTCATTCAAATACATTCAATGCAGAAAGAATTTAGGGAACGCTAAAAAACTATTAATAAAACTAATTAATACTAATTAACATAGTTCAAATAAAAAATTAAATTTTACCATATAATTTTAAAGTTAAAAAGAAAAAGGATTATTCTTGATGATAATTTCTATTCTGTTTTTTCCAGGCTGATGGTTCCATAAAGTTTTCGATCCGGAAAATCTATTTGGGAAATAGCTTGAAGACGTTAGCGCTCAGTTCATCTCCTTCATTAACTGCTTCGATAGATGCTTTACGAGTTTGTGTTTGTATGTCATCAAAGCCTAAACTATTTACGGTAGCTGGTAATAAGCCATGTTTAGCACCACAAGGATTTTGTAAGTAATAAATATGATCATTTGTATTTGTTTGATAAATAAAATTTGAACTGTAACTGTTCATTTTGCAAATCGTTGGTCATTTGGTCAATTGGTCAATTTAAGATGAACAATTTATCGTTTCTTATCGTTTCTCAAATAATAATTTTTGATTTTAATTTTTGAAATTCAAACAAACATGATAATTAATCATCGATCATATTTGTAACTTAATTTTTGTTTTTTGATGTTAACGATACAATAAAAAAAATAAATTGACAAATATTGTTGAACAGTTCATACAAAAATTCTACTTAATTCGATAAATATGAAAGTCCACGTAGTCCAGAAGTCTACGTGAAATCTACGTAATCCAATAACTTGCATGAAATCTATTTTAATTCAACAGCTTACATGAAAATTCGAAATTAAATTGAACCGCATCTTTTCCTAAAATATTTTATCGAATCTCTTACCTTTTCATTATTGGTCATTTACAGGTGTTCTCATCTTTTATTTGGCATATATGAATGAAATAGTCAAGTAGAAATTTCTGTAATTTTACACTTCATTTGTTAATTAAAACTGTTATTAATTAAAACTAAAACTTTTCAAATATCTTAATTTGAACTTTCGATTATAAGAAGTGAAACAATTAAATTATGATATAATTAAAAAATCGAAATTAATTTTATAATAAGAAAATGTAAAATTAAAGGATGAATTTGCTTATGGTTGGTAAATGTTTATAATAATGAAATTGCTTGCCTTATTGTTAGAAGACCAAACTGAATAAATAAATGGTCAACGGCAGACAGCTGAGAATGGTCAGTGTAGTGACATTTTCAAATACTATTTGAATATGACCTCTCTTTCACATTTTCCTCTTAGAAAATCTATTTTCCCTCTAGTTATTAATCGATCGATAATCATATTTTTAAATATAATATAAATTATATATATGATCTATTATAATTACATTCTATCAATTGTTCACTTATTCATTTTCAAAATGACCATTATAGTTAAGAAAGCGAAAAAAAAATAATTTTAAAATAAATTTCATTTTAATCACTTTTAATTTAAATATCGGAGGAGTGACTGTCACACAAATTTTCAATTTTTATTGTTTAAAATATTGTTTTGAATGAATAGTTTAATTTGAAAAATGAAATAATTCAATATTTTAATTTTTTGTAAAATTTAAATTCTAATTGAAATTTTAATGTTTTCATTTAAACGTAGGAATATTGCGCATATGTCGGACGGAGAAACTACAATATAAATTTAATAGCAACCATTTTAATTTAAATGTAGGAATGTTACGCATATATCGGATGGAGCAACTGTAATACAAATTTAATAGTAATCATTTTATTTTTAATTTAAACGTAGGAATATTGCGCATGTATCGGATGGAGCAACTACAATACAAATTTAATAGTAATCGTTTTATTTTAATTTAAGCGCAGGAATATTGCGCACATGTCGGATAGAGTAATTATAGTACAAATTTAATAGTAATCATTTTATTTTAATTTAAACGTAGGAATATTGCGCACATGTCGGATAGAGCAACTATAGTACAAATTTAATAATAACTATTTTATTTTAATTTAAATATAGCAATATTGCACATATATCGAACAGAGCAACTATAATACAAATTTAACAGTAATCATTTTACTTCAAATATCAAATTAATTTGAAGTAATTAAAATTTAATTCTCTTTTTTCATTCAATGACTAAAAATGGTTAATTAGTCTATAAAAATGAATGACTAGTTTAATTTGAAAAATGAAATAATGCAATATTCTAATTTTTTATAAAATTTAAATTCTAATCGAAATTAAAAATTAGTTAATAATAAACTTTTTATTTATGCAAAATAATCTTTTTTGAATTACGAAAATAATCGTTAATTAGCGAAATATACAAATTTCAAAAGGTAAATGAAAATATCATAGTGTGGTATATTTAATAACGAATTTATTGTTTTTAATTTGATACGACACATTTAATCTATCTCATTGTTTTTGTTTTCTTCCAATCCAAATTATTTAATTTTGGTGCTTTTTTATCAGTAATGTTGCTTATCCTACCTACCAGCTTATTTGTCAGCTTACCTGTCAAATCTGTCAGCTTTCCTGTTAATATAATTTTTTAATTAGTGATGATTGTGTGTGAGATTAACAAGGGGTTTAAAGGATTACATCTCTTGTTTCTGTTTTTCCCCATTCCAATGAAAGACTGATGTACGTCCTCCCCCGCATTTATTGTAACCCTTTCTCATTTTCGTTAGTGATCCATTCCTAACATCTCCGAAAGATCGACGTATGTCCTCCCCCGCATTTATTGTAACCCTTTCTCATTTTCGTTAGTGATCCATTCCTAACATCTCCGAAAGATCGACGTATGTCCTCTCCCGCATTTATTGTAACCCTTTCTTATTTCCTGTTAGGGATCCATCCCTAACATTTACTTGTTTTATCCATCCCTTTCTCCTTTTTTCATCTCTCTACGCTTATCTAGTTTTCGTTGACCGTGATCGTCGTGATTCATACCATCCTACCGGAAATTTGCCGGTTAGCGTAATATGTGGTTGATTGCATCGAACAAATCTCTCCCCCCGGCTCGTTAATATAGTAGCTTTTTTGTTATTTAATTATTCTTAAGCTATCAAACATTTATTTGCTTACTTGACAATATATCATCAATATCCAGTAAGAATTTCTTCGATAGAAATTTTTTCTATTACGGCATATACTTTTATTTTATCATTTAATCTTGATATAGAAAAGTTGATCTGTTCAGGTCATTTATGCTCTCTCTTTCTGTTCCGGAGGTTCGATTATAACTCTTTAACAAAAAATGGGCCTAATTTCCACAGCCTAAATATCCTAATTATTGCATTGTGTTATAAATAAATAAATAAAAATTCGGAATTCTTCCTGTCAAGAATTTTTAATCTTAATTTGGCTACAATGTATAGGGAATAATAAAGTCTCCTCAGAGAATAATAAATGAATCCGGTTACAAAAATCATGAAAGTTTTATAGATATCATAATCTAAAGAAAAAAATTTTTCCGGTCAATACAGTATCAGGGGAAATCCATCGATGAACGAGTGTGTGCTATCAATTTGTCTAATGGAAAACGTCGAAGAGAGTTCACGTGACGATGAATTACATGCTACTAATGTTAAACTATACGTGAAACCAACAACATGTAATGACAGTCGAAATTTGACAGAGCAAATTTGTCCGGCATTACTAATTCGATCACCGAAAGCAATTCCAAAAGTGGTAAAGCATATTTACAATCATTTAGCTGCATATTCATCTCATATTGATGAAAGTATTCCGGATGTTATCATTTCGTTAATTGCCGGTGAAAATATTATCGATTTACAGGTAATCAATTCTTTTCAAATTTTTGAAAACATTACCTTTACCTATTATTTTACATCTGATATTCATAGAGGAGAAAAAGAAAAAAAGATATTCTCTTTTTCAAATTTGAATTTCACTTAACCACTATTGTTACTCTTTTCTACCATCTTGTCATTTATCACTTATTTCTACCATCGTGTCATTTGTCGCTTATTTCTACCACCTTGTCATTTGTCGTTTACTTCTACCATCTTGTCATTTGTCGCTTATTTCTACAATCTTGTCAATCATCCATCTTTTTACTATTATTCTTATATTAGGCTTTTGTTGCTAAAAAAATTAAGTATAATTAATTAAGTATAATTTATTTTAATTAAGTATAACTTCAGCCGTATTTTTCATTTGTCATTCATATTTTTTTCGCCTTATTTAAAAATAATTTTGCAACGTTGTTGAAGAGAAATTGAATTGATAGCATTCAATTTTTCAATAAAACTTTGAGCTCATAAGAAAAGGAAAAAAGGAAGCCGAAAAAACTAAACTTTTATATATTTATAATAATTTCTGAATTTTGTTCGAAAGCATTCTTCCGTATTCTTTCCGTATTCCGTTTTTTCCTTTTCATTAACGTTTCCTTTTTCAATTCCTTCTTTTCCTGATTTTAGAAAGAAAAAATTGTCCAATGATCTTTCTTGAATTATGTAAAAAAGAGGAAAGAGAGATATTTGTAGAAGCAAAAACAAATCGAGAAAGCTCTACTACAAATTATTCTAAATTGTAATTCATGGATTGTAATATCGGGTGAAGCGCGTGATCCGTTATCTTCTGCTGCTGCTAAAATTATACATGCTAAAGAATCTTTGGTAGGTGAATTATGGATAATTTTAAAGCTGTTAAAGATTGCATAATTTTATAGCTAATTGAAAAAATTTTTAATTTTTATTTTTTATAAATTATCAAAATTAAGTTTAACCATAAGTAATACTTATTTAGAATTTAATTTTAAAATAATACTTCTTTAAGATTTCTTTAGAATTTAACAAATGTGGAAACATTATTGCTAGTTGTGAATGATATTAGTTGTACGGCAAATGAACAACAATCTTGTCATATACCAATGATTGATACTCAATGCAAAACAATCATGATACTATGGATGGAACAATTAATTTCAGCTGAGAAATTTGCATTATTCAGAAGTCTTATCACCGCAAAACTCTCAACACCACCATCTGGTAACTTTATTGGTATTCCTTATGAATATTTAGGGTTGAAACGATCACTAAGATAGTCTGTATCATTGATATCATTGATTTTTTTTCATTTCTGCAAAATTATTATAGCGGAAATTTTTTTTCTTCAAAATATTTCAGCATCACTAATCGAAGTACCACAAAGTGGTACTACTACTTATCAATCATCATTGCCAACTGCAAGCTTATTATCGCTTAATGAACATGAGAATTTACCAGTACCGATAGCATTATTCTGTGGAAGTGAACTATCATCACTTGCTGAACTTCGAGCGCATTTGCAATGTGGCATACCAGTAATCGTTTTGCAGGTAAGCAAAATCATAAACAGATAGAAAAATTACATTGAAATAAAGACTGTTAAAATAATGAGGTATAAAAAAGTAATTTGAATTATAATTAGCTAAATTGAAATGACAAAATAATAGGAGCAATAGAATTGCTAGATGATAGAATCCATTATTCTCTTAGAATTCATCAATTGTATTTATGGATAATACAGAATCCATCAGCTGTGATGGATGATAGAATCACTGTTAGAATGATAGATGGAATAGAATCATTGAGAGAATTCATGGAAGAAAGAATTTTTCGTAATTTCTAATTTAATTTTTAGTTTTCTTTATTTCAAAAATTTATTATATTTTGAAAGAATTTTAGGATGGTAGTGAATTATGTGCAATATTGAATAATTCCTGGTTACTGTATCGCAGTTCAGTATTTCATTTCGAAAATTGGTTGGAATGGTTAGATTTGGAATTGCATAGTTTAGCACCAAATAGTCTTCCGCATGATAGTAAATTAATTGAAGAAGCTAAGGAAAATATTATTACTTCACTGGCTATTGGTTGCGGTGAATTACCATTACTAGATTTTATCCTCATTAAACAGGTAATTAATTTTTTAAACTATTATGGTCAAACTGTACTATTGCACATTTCTTGATTCTATGCTCTTTTAGAATTTATATAAGTTGTAAAGCGATATATTTCAATTATCATCTGTAAACAATATTTTCTTTACTTTCAATTTCAAATGATTTATTTGATAGCTATCCATTTTTCAAATTTCTGTTTCACATTTTAGATTGGTAATTTACGTGACCATTTTCTAAAGTTATATATGCAAAGTATTATTGAAACGAATGATATCCATCGTTTACTACGACTTGCAGTAAAACTCAATGTTCCATCGATCATTTTATCCACCGATCTATCAACACATTATGCTACTAACACGGTAAATGAAATTTGTAAATTATTGAAATTATAATAATTTGATTAGTTGAAAATGATGTCCAATTGATTGTTGATCGATATATTTCCGATACTATGTCTTCATTAAATTTCATGAACATTTTTGTTTAATTGTAAATTCAAAAATAACCTAAAGAGGAAGGAATATTTCTTCTGTTTGTTAAATCATAAGCAGTGGAGAATTTTTGTTAAATTTAATAAATTCAAATAAGAAATTGAAATAAATTTAAAATTCGAAAAAAGACCGATGCAGTATTTTTGTTTTAGGCCATTAATGATCTTTTCGAAGAAGCCTTACTATTAGATAATCGATTGGTCATTCTGGCAGCTATATTGGAGCAAAATATTTCATTAAAAGTTACACTAAATTTGTTGACAAAAATGATGCGGCATGCTTCAGATCAAGTAATCCATTTCAAAAATCGATTTAATTTTTTGACAAAAATAAAAATTTGAAAATTTTTAGATAATAAAATTTTTGGAGAAAATTAATGCAACTGTTAACGAATAACAAAATATCAAAAATGATAAGATAATATTTGACAAATATATTGAGTTTGTTTTGATCAAATAAATGTTATTTGTTCGTTTATTTGTTTGTTTATTTATTTGTTTATATTTACAGGCATTTTTTAATAATATCATTGTGTCGCATTATATTGGACGAAATGCGCCAATTGATAAAATTGATATTGCTTTCATTGAACAATTGGAACAACTTCTGGTAATTAAAACTATAATCGAAAATATTCTGATAAATTAATTAATGAAAAAAAGAGAAGATAAATGAAATAAAGGGAAAAAAACAAATGAAAAGTTATTTCAGGTTTATTTATCTGGTGGTATTAAGAATTTACTGCCATCATCATATTTTCATCAATCTAATTTAAGCAATGAAAATCAATGGCTTCAAATATTAGCAATATGGTCGGTGCTGCTGAATCGTCTTGAATTAGCAAAATGTTTATGTGCATATTCATTTGAACCGATATCATTAGCTATAATTCTTGCACGAATTTGTAATTCGCTTGCTTTTCAGGTTTGATATATAAAATTGTGATAAATTTAAAATAAAATGTGTATCCTTCCTAAATTGATTTCAGTTTTTTCTTTCTACGATTGTAAATTTATTTTTACAATTTATTGCAAATAGTAAATTTACTATTAAGCTTATGATTTCAAAATAAAGCTTTTTCTTTAAAGTTTATAAATAGATTGTGAATTTATTTTAATTCTTAAGCTAAAGTGAAAATATCATTTTACTAATTAATTTTTCTTTCTTTGTTTTTTATAATTTAGAAATTGTCGATCGATTTAATTTAAAATTAAACTTACGATTTCGAAATAAAACTTTTTTAAATTTATAAATAAATTGTAAATTTATTTTAATTCTTAAGTAAAAATTAAAATATCATTTTACTAATTAATTTCTTTTATTGTTTATTTAATTTAGAATTTATGAAGAATTATGTGTAATTTAGTGTTACAGTAATATATTATGCTAATATATTGTTATTTAATAGAAGTGTGAAATTATTTTGTTTAAAATTGAATTAATTACGAATTTTTTTATTGCAGGTATTATTTTTATTACAAGTATATCATTTTTTATTACAGGTATATGATTATCTTTTGTATATGAGAATGGATTTTAGGATTGAATTAATTATGGAATTATTTGTTAAGAATTAATTATGAATTTTTATTACAGGTACATGATTATCTTCTGTATGAAAATGATTTGAGAAGAGCAGCAAGATGGTTTAGTACTCATGCAAATGCAGTATTAGATATTACAAATACTGAATCACCGGGAGAAACTTATCGCTTATTATGTTTGCCATTAGAATTATTTGGTGGACTAACATTAACAGAACTTGCACTTCAGGTAGAACATTCATTTAATTGAATCTAACAGGTAAAATATATTTCGATGGCATTTTTTTTAATCTATCATTAAAGCTATTTAGAATGGAATTTTCAGACAAACAATAAACAATTCGTCACTCATCGATGTTGTCAAAAATGGATTTATCGACTTTTGTATGGAAAATTACAGGTATACAGATATAATTACAGGTATAATATTTGTAGGGAAAATTACAGGTATAATATTTGTTTATGTTTACACAATTTGACTTAATTTAATCTTATTGCCATAATAAAGTATATAAAACATGCATATATATTATTACGTATACAAAATTAATTGAATTTAAATTACCATAATTAATTTTTTATTTCTTAAAATTTATAGGTTGTTTGTTCGAATGGTTCCATATTTTTACCAGATTGGTTAAAAATTTTGCTTTCATCAATACTGATAATTCCAATTCAATGGTGGATACGATATCGTATACCAGAAAATCATTTTTCTAATCAAATCACAACTATCAATCCCACAATGGCACTTCTGCAATTTCATAGACAACAAAATACTTCCATTTATAGGTGGATAAAATATTTGAAATTAAATCAACCTAAAATATTTCAAATATAAATTATACAAAATATTGCGTAACAAATAATACGGAATTTAGTTAAATTTTAAAAGATATATTTTTAATTATAGCTCCAATAAATGTATGCAACATGATGAAGTTATTGCGCCAGCTATGCATAATAAACGATCAACAGATGAAACATCAGCAAATTCTTGTTTTCTAATAGACGGTAAAGTTTGTTAATCATTTTCAATATCCTGTGATATTTATGATTGATCTCTTAAAATATAAATAATTTTTTAAAGATTAATTTGTTGCAAAGAAAAGTCAATTTTATTAATGAACTGTTGAATTCATTAAGTTCGAAGTGTTGTTGTAGAAATTTCATTAGGTTCTCAATCAGCGAAAGATTTGATGCTAAGAGCATTTGATCCGGTTGCTCCGATACCAAAGATGAAATCGGATCAAAAAGAAATTCAACGGCAATTTTCCACTTTATCTCTCAGAACATTCTATTCTACACCCATCGTTAAATATTGGCTTTCTCTTGTTTTTCGACTAATTCATATAGTTTTATTCGCATATACTGTTAGTTTAAGAATTTTTCACAATTATTTTCATCGTTATAATCAATAAGAGCGCATTTGTCGTAATGATATCTTTTTGGATTGCTTACGGTCATCCAATATATATTTAAATGCACAATAAGTATCATTGGTTTCTTTTGGTCCTGTTTTATGATTTAATAAATTTCAAAATTACTGATTGGTTATCTTAGAATTGATAATATTAGATATCATTACCTGGTTGTGGATCACTTATTTTGGATACTTTAATATGGCTTTGGACATTTTTATCGCTCATCGAATCGATTTGGGTATTTTCAAATCGTATTCAGCGAGCTCCTTTACGTCAGGTATGATTTATGGTTTAATCAAATTGAAATTATGTTAGGAATTTAAAATTGTTGAAATTTAGGAGCTAATTTAGAGCAGCTAAGTTAAGTTATACAAGTGATAACATATTACTTTGTAATTGAATAGATGAATAATGACATAAAAGGAATTGAATAACCGAATGAATGAAATAATTTCCAGCTTCGTTGGCGTTTCTTTGATATTATTGTGATAGCTTTGAATCTTCTAATTATACTCACCCTGAAAGTGCTTTCTTTAATGATCCCAATCAGTTCTATGGTTTGTTTTTAATTTTGTTCAAATTACCAGTAAAGGTATATTCCCAAATATCTGTCATTCCATAGTTGGCAGTAAAAATTTTGAGAAATGTCCCTTACATAATGCTACTAGTCTCGAGATCATTTGAGTAAATTAGCTCAACATTCGAATGCTACTATTGTCGAGATCATTTGAGCAAATTAGCTCGACATTCTAATACCTACTATTGTCGAAATCATTTGAATAAATTAGTTCAACATTCTAATGGTTACTAGTGTCGAGATCATCCGAATAAATTGACTTGAATTGCGGAATTGTCAAATATGAAAGTCAAAGATATTTTTAATTCAATTCTCTACTTCAGCCATTTCATACACCGTATGCTACTCGAATTTCGTCGGCATTTCTATTACTTTATTTGTGTTATTCAACATTATTCTACTTTGTTCCGTTATCGCAAACATTTGGCGCTTTTGTCGTACGGGTTAAACTTATGATTATCAGGGATTTTTTCAATTTTTTGATACTCATCGGTTTAGTTGTTGGAAGGTTGGTAAACTTTAAATTGACTAAAGATAATGATAATTTTACTTATTATATTATATAAAATGAATTAAGTATAAGAGTAATACAATCGGACATGATATCAAATATTTGAATGTTGAAAATAAACGGTTAGTAAAACTTTGTACGCTTTTTAAACAGTAAATTATTAGCTATCATAATTGTTGAAATTACAACAATATTCTCTTTCTCATTTCATAAAATAATTTCAAGGAATTTGCAGCAGTGCAATAGCAGTTCGTTCATTACTGTACCCGGATCAACCTTTAACATTCTTATTAATTTCAAAAGCATTTTCTTGGGCTTGGATTTCATTATTTCAAATTCAATATGATGGTAATTTATTTCTGACCCCAAATAACAATGATAATTTTCATTTATGCTTCAATTCAAATTGCACATATATATATGCATAATTTTAAAATCATCAAAAGAAAGAGCGGAATTTCGACATGTGGCTTATTTCTAAATCTAAAAATTAAATATTCCGATGCTAAAATCTAAGCGCAATTTTTAAACGAAGTCGCAATATTTTAAAATTTAGAAAATTTTTTTTTGTAGGACTTCAAGAATCAGAATATTGTAAGAAGGCATATCTTGGCGATTATCATAATCGTGACCGTTGTATGGCAATTAGCGGTTTTAACGATTATAATTGTCCAACTCAAAATTGGTTTGGGCATTTAGCGGTATTGGAGTATTTCATTATTGTCAAACTAATTTGCTGGCCAATACTTTTTGCTTTTTTTTCCAAAACAGCCAAAGAAGTAGATGATAAAGCAGAGAAAATTTGGAAATATCAACTTTATTCATTGGTTGAAGATTTAAGGTAAGTTAATTAATAATACCTTTCATTACTTTAAATGCTAATTACTTAATAATATTTAATATTGATTGATGCTATCATTTATAATTTTTGAAGCCTAAAAACTCTGCAGGATATTTCTCAAAAAGAAGATTAGATTTTGTCTATTATAAATTAGGTTGAAATATCACTTTCATTTTTCTATCATTTTAATTTTTTAGTCAAATTTCATTTTATGATATCATAAAAATTTTCATTTAGATTTCGTCCATCACTACCACCACCATTTACACCAATTTTCTTCCTCGGTGCTTCATGTTGTCGAGCATGTGATTGTTTTCGTAATTCATGTCATAGTTCAAATATGATCAATTTGGATCATCCGGATATTGTTCACAATCAACAAACTGCAAAATTATTCAATATTAAAAATCGATTTGCAAATAATACAAATCAAAATATCTTTTCGGTTGAATGTATATTTTTGAACTCACAATTTAGGGTAAAATTTTAACAATGATTTCAATTGTTTTATAATTGACCTAAATTGCTATTCATTCAGCTCATATTTTTTATTTTTGATTTTTCTAAAATTTTCTGACATCAAAAGAATTTCTGTATATTATCGATTTTATTTACCTGGCAATTTTTTCCATTGTTTTAGCAGAAAATCGAAGTTGTTTGTATTTTTTAGACAAAATCTATAAATCTATGGAATGAAAGTATGATCACATCAGCAAATTCAGATGGTATTTTTAAATGTGACAGTGAAAATTGTCAATTGGAAGAACAAATTCGATTACTTACCGTATCACAATATTTTTCGACAACTTCTAAAGGTATAATCATTTGTTAAGAATTTATTTCACTTCAATAACAATACGTATAATATCGACGTGTATTTCTTCTCTTCACATCTAACATTCCATAAGCGACAAGCGCTTTTTGACATCTAACTTTTATAAGCAGCGCTTTTTGACATCTAACTTCTATAGCAGCGAGTATTTCTTGACATATAACTTCTATGAGCAGCGCTTTTTGACATATAACTTCTATGAGCAGCGCTTTTCGACATATAACTTATAAGCAGCGCTTTTTGATATATAAATTCTATGAGCATCGAACGCTTTTTGACATCTAATTTCTATGAACAGCGCTTTTTGACATCTAATTTCTATAGCAGCGAGTGTTTCTTGACATATAACTTCTATGAGTAACGCTTCTTGACATCTAATTTCTACGAGCAGAGAGCGCTTTATGACATCTAACTTCGATGAACATTAACTAAAGAAGTTTCTCACGCTGCCCAAAAAATATTTATTTGAAGGCGCAAATGATACCTGGAATAATTCATCCGAAAGTGTACTATACGATGAGATAGCAAATATTCGGAAATTAATGATTGCGGAAAAATATCGACCTCATAATATTTTGATATCAAATTACTATCCACCATTTTATTGCAAACCTATTGATGATTTCCCAAGTGATGTACAAAAATATGTTGATATTTCAACACTTGAGGTAAGTAATAATTTACCTGAATTAATTAAATAATGTATAAAGGAAATTAAGATTAATTAATCCTTCCTCTAGGCTTTGTTTTCACTTTACATGAAATAATGTAATTTCTATAGTTTAAATTTTAGAATTTAATCTTAATAAGAAAATATTGGAAACGATGGCAACAAAATAAAATGGTAGAATTATTCGTACTTTCACTACCATTTACGATTAATGCATCCGGTTTACCTATGAATCCAAACGGTCGACAAGGTATTGCCGGACGTGGAAATCATCTAAAATTTGGCGTTAACTTACTAAGCGTTTACGTTTTAATACGAAGAACCAGTAATAATCATTTAATGGTATTTAATTTTAAATCTTTTAATATTTTATAATGATTTTTCTGTTGATACGTTACTGAAGAAATCATTCGTTTCTTACCTGTGTCTTACCTACGTGATTGTTTAATTTCTGAAATTGCTAACAGATACAATTTATTAATTCTTTTTCAGATTTTACTGGAAGGAAATACATTTCCAACTCGTTGGCGATTAAATAGCGGGTATTATGACGAAGAACTTCAATTAATTTTACGAAATTATTTATTCAATGAATTGGATATTCAGGTAAGTTAAACTAAAAACAAACAAACAACATTGTGAATTATACCAAAAACAAATAAACAAACAACATTGTGAGTTATATCAAAAACAAATGAATAAACAACATTCCGAGTTATACCAAAAACAAATAAACAAACGACATTGCAAGTTAAACTAAAACAAACAAGCAAACAACATTGTGAGTTATACAAAGGCAAATAGACAAACAACATTTGTGAGTTAAACTAAAACAAACAAGCAAACAACATTGTGAGTTATACAAAGGCAAATAGACAAACAACATTTGTGAGTTAAACTAAAAACAAACAAGTAAACAACATAATGAGTTAAACCAAAGACAAACAACATTTCAATTAAGAAAAAAAATTTTAATTTTAAATTATGGAACATTTCGAAGATTTTATTTGATACCATATGCTAAAAAAAAATATTATCTGTCAACAAAATTATCTTTAAGTTTATTTTCAATCATGAAATAAGCTATCATTGATTGACTGTTATTAAGTTTTTATAAAAAAGTTTAAGCTATTCTTTGCATGGAATATTTTAAGTTATTTGTTATTTTGCATTTTATGAAGTTAATTTATGATTGTAATACGTAAATTAAGGCTTCTCATCAAAACCATCGAATATAGTGATGAAATTAAAATTTTGAAATTTAACGCAATATTCTAACGGGCCTTACGTAATATTTAATTTCATGTAAAAATGGAATTTAAAATTAACTATTGAAAATAAATATAAATATTACAAGCTTTACAAATTTTAGTAATCTTACAAACTTTACAAATAAACTTTATTAATTCTCCTTAATTAATTCTATCTGAAATTAAATAACTTCCGCGAAGTTCTTAAAGTATTCAGAAGTGATTGCCAAAAAAAGTTATACGATGATTTGGTGTGGTCAGTGATAAAAGTTGTGGTCAGCAGCGTAACTTAATTAACTTTTAAATAAATTTAATATAGAACAATATTTTTTATTTATGTTTTAAAATTGTTGAAAATTATTCTAGGCTTTCTGCAGTCAGAATTTGTTAAATATTGGTGAAATAAATAATGATGTAGCACATGTGAAACGTGTATCAATAGTTGACGTACGTGATACGGATAATGCATGGATTGAGCATGATATATGGGCAATTTTTCTTCGGTACATATTTTCTGCCACGTTTCTTTAATACGAAAATTTATTATTCTTAAATATATGTATATATATAACATCTAGAAGTGATCATAGAAATACGGTAGTTACTTGCAAATTTTTTTCCTGCATTGTTGAATATATGAGCTATTTCACAATGAGTAATATAATTGCTCGATCATTCATTAAAATTTTAAATCACTTTCATTATTTATTTTAAAAATTTGAATTTAAGAATAAAATTAAATGAAAGATTAAAGTCTCCTATTATTGTATGCTCTTTTATCATTATTTTGAATTAACTTTTTAAGTTTTTCTTCTTTTCTCTTTATTACTTCAAACTATCCCATTTTGTGGTTCATTTAATTTATATTGAGAATTTTTAAGATCGCAAGTGTCTGATACATTACCAACATCTGGGACATTAAATTGGCGAAGTTATAATGAAGATGTTTTATCGATCCGTGATCGAGAATATCTCAATGCTTCCCTACCATTCTTCATTGATATTCAGCAATGTAAAACCATATGATGTTTTAAATTTTTATGAATTTTATATTGTTTAACTATAATATATATATGTATATATATTGGATCAGATGAAAATATATATATGTATTATTAAATTATATGTATAGTAAAAAACAAGAAATTTCCGCCAAATAATTGTGCTAAATTCTGATTGATACATTCGGATGAAATTCAAAGTTATTAAAGAAAGAAATTTCCGCCAAATAAATGCGCTAAATTTTGATTGATATATTTGAATGAAATGTAAATTTACTAAATTACTATTATTCAAGCGATTATATTCATTCTTCAGTAATAAATGAATATTATATTTGTTCAGATAATGAAATGAAAATTTTAATTCTTGTAAAGTTTACTAATTACTAATTACTAAGGTAGAAATAGCAAAGTTAATCTCTTCATAATGTAATTAATAATTTTCAAAAAAACATTTCGTTAAATTTTTTCATCAAAAAAAATTATTTCATTTTTAAATTTTGCACCAATGAAAACTTTAAAATTATTTTCATCTGATCCTATCAATCATTCTATCGATTGATTTTATTAGTGTTAATTAATTCTATTGAGTTTGTTTATTTCTGTAAAAAAAAAGATGATTGATTTAATTTCTACTCATCTCATGAGTAGCTCATAATTATTGTTTTACTCATGATTATTTACAGATATTTCTGATAGGTATTGAGTAAAGTATTAATAAATCTATTGACGGTCCTGAAGCGATCATTTCTCGGTCGTAAATGATCATTTCTAAATTTGTAAAATAACTATTATTGCATTTTTGATGAGGATATTTTATCTTTTATAATTTGAAAAATTATTACGACTTTTAAGATGGAATAATCAATCCGTAATAAAAATTCCGAATGCTATCAATTTGTTCATTCAATTATTACCGGAATAAAATCAGCAGCTAAGTAATCCGTAATAAAAATTTTGAATGCTATCAATTTGTTCATTCAGTTATTATCAGAATAAAATCAGCAGCTGAATAATCCATTCTGAATGTTATCAATTTGTTTATTCAATTATTACCGGAATAAAATCAGCAGCTAAGTAATCCTTAATGAAAATTCCGAATGTTATCAGTTTATTTGTTTAGTTATTACGAAAATAAAATCAGCAACAAACATTTTCTACTATTTTATAGTGTGTGCAGAGATTATTGAGCCTAATGCATTTGGCCACCAAATTATACTATTGACATAATGGGCTTTGTAGGAATGAGCTTTTACGTTTCGTTTTACCGAATCAATAAATTAAGGCTGCTTGGATATGTAAGAAAAATCAATTAAATAGAAGCTAAAGACATTCAGGCCTTTAGGCATTTTAAAGATTTCATCAATGAGAGAGAGAGAGAGAAAGGGAAAGAAAAAAAAGTAAACGAAGAGAGTTTTTCCATTTTAAAATTTCTTTTCTATCATTCTTTTCATTTTTATATAATTGAAGGAAAAAGTGTTCGTCAATAAATTTTAGTTATGCTTAAATTCTATCTCCTAAAATTATTATTTATATATGAGAAATTGAATACCTTTTACCTTCTCTTCCTCTCTCTCTCTCTCTCTTTCTGTTTCTTTGGTAATACAGGTTAATTAATTGTATTGAAATTTCCACTCTTCAATTTAGCTATATATCACAATTCTACAAGTTTATCATTACTTCGGCTACTTATTGAAATTGAATACCTTTTATTCTCCTCCTCTCTCTCTCCCTCTCTCTCTCTGTTTCTTTGATAATACAGGTTAATTAATTTGTGTTGAAATTTTAACTCTTCAATTTAGACTATGTATCACAATTCTATAAGTTTTTCTTTTTCATTACTTCGGCTAATTATTGTTTTTGTTTAAACGAAATCCTTCCTTGAAATTTAATTTTGAATTTAATGAAATTTTTCGCTGTCATGGTTAAAATCTTCATTTGACCAAAAAAGTAAATTTGATTTTAAATTTAATTCCAATATTCATAAAGTTCATAAGGTCAACCTCTCTAAGATTAGAAAATTGTTTTAAATTCTAGAACTATTTTTAAGTTAAATTTTATCTCATTTGTCATCTTATTTATTATAAATAATATCGAATCAAATTTTATTATCAAATTAAATTTTTTTACTATTTAAATAATAATGCCTATTAAATCACATTAACGTTCATAAAATTCTGTCAGCAATGCCTATGAAATGCCTTAATATTAAACTTTTTTAAGCCTTAATTTTTTGTCTTCTGAGTTTTTATTGAGCAAAAAGAAAGAAATGAAATTCTTCAAACAAATAATAGCTATACCTTTTATATAATACATGTCATGTATGCATTGATAATTAATTAATTGGAATATTTCAAGTTATTAAATTTTTGAAAATGTTTTCAACAATTATAAGTTATAAATAATAGCTATAGCTTTTATATAAAATACATAATACATGTCATATATGAATTGATAATTAATTAATTGGAATATTTCAAGTTATTAAATCTTTGAAAATATTTTCAACAATTTTAAGTTTTCCATTACTTTGCATAACTTTAACATTTCTTAGAATAATTTAAAATGTAATTTTAAATTTCATTAGGCATATTTCTTAGAATAATAATTATTAACATTTCTTAGGATAATTTAAATGTAATTTTAAGTTCCATTAGGTATATTTCTTAGAACAATAATAATTATTTTCTATTAATTGCATGTACTTTGGAGAGAGAAAGAAAAATGTGAAAGTTAAAAATTAATTTTTTAATAAAATAAATTTCACAAAATTTTCTTCAGTACCAATAATACCAACAATACTGGGCCTTTAATCGATGAGTTAAAATTTCATGCAAAAATTTTCAATGTATAAAATATCTATTGGACAATTATCCTTATCCATTTATCTAGCAATCGTGAAATTGTTCAATTCTCTTGAGAAATCTTTCACTTATATCCCACGAAAATCGGAAACAGTATTCTTATTCGTTTCCAGTTTCTCTTTATTATTATTATTACACCCATGGAAAGAGTTTATCTTTCTTTTCTCATTTCAATTTTTTGGATATAAGCAAAATATAATGTTGACTGTAATCGTTTTCAATTTGTTTACTTGTTTACTTATTTACTCTCATCAATTTGTTTACTTTTATCAATTTGTTTACTTTTACAAATGGAATAATTTTGAAATATCAAAAGCAATAACATTATAAAAATTGAACTTTTAAATATTTATAGCATTTAAAGTTTAATTTTCGAAATATAACAATTGAAGTTCAATTTTCGAAATGTGACATTTAAAGTTTAATTTTCGAAATATAAAAATTAAAATTCTCATAACATTGAAAAGCTCATTTTCATAATTATTATCATTGCAAGTTATATTGAAGTAAAGATGAAATGATATCTATTGATAAAGAATCTATTGATTTATTGATCTTTGGTATCTATTGATAAAGAATTAATCCATATCAGTTCAACTTGTAATTTTAATAAAAATTATTTTGGAGTGAAAAAAAAATTAGCGTTATCATTATGAAAATTTCTTTATCAATAGATATTAGCTTTATCAATTAGCATTATCATTATGTATAATCATTATCATTATGTATATTTATTCCTGAATAGAAATAATGAATGGAATCTTTTGGTATCTATTGATAAAGAATTAACTATATCAGTTCACTTTTTTTAACTTATAATTTTAATAAAAATTATTTTGGAGTGGAAAAAAATTAGCGTTATCATTATGTATAATCATTATCATTATGTATATTTAATCCTGAAGGGAAATAATGAATGGATACAATTGTTGGAGAGAAGTGTTAAAAGTGTTGAAAATATTTTTCGCGATTTTATTTAAATTATTGATATTTATTTTTGTCTTCAAAATTAATCATTATCATTATGTATATTTATCATAGAGTTCAAAGTTTCCCTGATCAATGTTAATTTTTCAATAACAATAAAATGCATGCCTGACAATTAGATTATTAAATTTAAATACTAATTTTGAATTACGTAAGCGCGATATATTTATCGTGTTGCGTGATTTTTGTAATGTTTACATATTCTTATTAGTCATATGTAGCGTAAATATTGCGTAAATGACGTAGACGTTAAAAAAGCAATTCATTCATCAGTGAACAATAAAATATCATACCAACAATTGGATTATTAAATTTAAATTTTAATTTTGAATTACATAAACGTAATATGTTTTAACGTGACTGCGCAATTTTTGTAATGTTTACATATTCTTATTAGCATAAATGGCGTAAATATCACGTAAATGGCGTAAAAACATATGAAAAGCAAATACATTCATCAATGAGTTGGAAGGAAAAATACTTAAAATAAACAAATTGTTTACTTTTTTTTTTCAATACTTTCATTTACATATTTATTTAATTATCAGTCAAAATTTTTCAAAAAGAAAAATTCAATTTAAAATCAGAAATTTTTAAACGATTTTTTAGGTAAAGAATATCATCGCCCACACATTTTCACATATTTCTATTTCTGTAATGAATGAATTAAAATTGAAATGAGAAATATTTCTCATTTCCTCTCATTTATCTTTCTAACATTTCATTTCTTCTGACTTCATCTATTTCTTTCCATAAAAATCCTCTTCCATGCATTGGACTTTTTTTTTTAAACCACTCAGCTGGTACTAATCGATCTTTTTAGGCCTCTTTTATGTTAAATTGTTGGCTCTGAATTGGTTAGTTTTTCGACATTTAAATGCTATTAATATTATTGTATCTTTTTTTTTTAGCATTGAATCATTTCAAATTTTAGCCATTTCAATTAAAACATATTTCTAGGACTAATGAAATTAAATTAATGAAATATAAAGTGTCATTTAAATTTTAAAAACTTTTTAATTCCAATTACCGTATTTTGAATTTTTTTGAATGGCATTTTCATAATCGATTAGTAAATTTAATTTGTAATATATATAAGTTAATTTTGTATAATTATATAAGTTAATTTTGTATAATTTAATTCGAATATTCAATTTCAATTTTAATTTCCAATATTATTTTACCGTAAGAAATATATTATTTCAATTGTATAAATGTTATTTCACTTGTTTATTAGATTTTTAAACACGTTCATTGATCATTGAATTGTTTGCTTGCTAAGCTTGCATATTACAAATATAACATCACTGAATAGCATTTAAAAATATTCCCATCTTATCAACTATTTCCTGATCCTGTTGCTAATTTAATAATTGAATGAACAGGATAATAATAGTATTCCGGTAAACGGATTGCATCCGTTTTTTTTTAATTTTGATCTTCGTTAGAACTATAAGTGAATCTTTGAAGCGTTGTTGGATATTTTGTGTATTTGGAACATAGGACTTCTTGACCCTCTAATTGACCTCTTTCAATTCTTTTATTATATGGTAGAAAATCAGTTTAAAGAATCAATTTTTGTTTTCATTTCCTAAAAACAAATGAAAATAAATTGTTCCATTAGTGTAAAAATTTCTAACAACATTAAACTAAAATTTCTTTAACCGAATTAATTTAATTCTTTTAAAAATTCAATTTCAAAAATTTCAACGATACGTAGTAATTCTTCATCCATACTTTTACTTATTAATTTAAATTCGTTAATTAATTAATTCTTCAAATATACTCTTCTCATTTCCTATTTGAATTTTTCCTTCAAGTTCAAAACATTCAAAATATCCTGGGATTCTCTTCTTTTGACAGCCTAATAACAAAACCCAAATGACAACCCTATACCCATCGGCAATTATATTTATATATATTGTACTATTTCGGAAATCGATTTCCATTTTGCGCTTAACCCATCCTACCACCATTATTATCATTCTATGAAGGCAATAATCACAAAATTATTGCGCCTTTTCTATTTTTAACTTTCGCCTTTTTTTTTCGGTCAATGATTTTAAATAATTTAAGCTTACTCTTTAATTATTTAATTACCATATTTACATTCATTTATTTACTTGTTTATTTATTTATTTATCATAAAGTTGTTTACTTTTTCGTCATTTCTTCCTTTCATCTTTCCCTACTTACTTACTTACTCATTTACTTATTCATTGATCTAATTTCTTTATATAATAAAATTTACTGATAAGAGATCATCATATATAACAAGGCGCTCTTTTCATATCATCTTATCAATACTAAATCTTGCAAGAACTTTTTTTCCATTTCTATTAGCGTTCCCTTTTTTTTGAAAAAGATTTTTCATTTATTTATTTTTAAAATTTTATGAAAATTTCAGTGATTGTAATAGTTGGCAACAACAATTGAATATCTTGTAATGTATAAATCAACGAATGATAAGGTAAATATTCTCATCCTCAAATAATTTTATCAGTTTTAGAGAAGTAGCATTAGTGTGATAATTTGTTTATTGCATGATCAGAGTAATCAGATTACTCATTCCAATTAAATTTTATGATTAATATTTCTTGATAAGAGTAATGAATGATGCAAATTTATATCGATCGGAAATATCGATTAATTATAGTTAAATTCTTCACAGCATATTTAATTTATGCCAATTTTTAAAATTTTGATTGAATAACTGATTAACTGAAAAATGATTGAATAATTTTTGATTAATTGCTTCTTGGTTAATTTTCTTAGAGCTAACTCTTATCATTATCATTTTACAAGACTTAATAATAAAATGTTGCATAATCAGTTAGCTCCATAAAAAGTTTATCTGCTAAATAATAAATCCTTTTGATTAAGTAGGCAAATATGCACATATAAAACTAAGCCCAATGTATGATTAAATAGTAGGCATGTTTATATATATATGGCCAGGCTTATTTGATATTAACTCTTATCATTATCATTTTGCAAGACTCAATAATAAAATATTGCATAATTGGCTAGCTCCATAAAAAGTCTGTCTGCTGAATAATAAATCCTTTGATTAAGTAGGCAAATATATACATATAAAACTAAGTCCATTCATGTATGATTAAGCAGTAGGCATGTTAATATATATATGGCCAGGCCTATTTGATATTATTAATATAGCAATGAATAATTTCCTGAAAATTATTTAACATAGGAAGAATGCTAGATTGTTTTAAATTGATTAGAATCTTAAAATCTTTGGAAAAGATATATCATAAATTTAACAAATGTAATAAATCAACGATCTCTTCATTATTATTGATTGTCTAAAGAAAAACAAAACGAAAGAAATTAATGTCAACAAGTTTCTTGGGAGAAAATATCGCGGCATCTCAAAACTTACACCCACATGATCATCACATGTATCCTACCACCTTCTTCCCCCGTTCTTTTCTTCTCAGTAAATCAAAAAACAAAATTTCAAATTTAACATAAAAGGAAAAACAGTTTTTCATTTAGATTTTATTTAATTACAAAATATGCAATTCATTCTATGCGATATATTTCTCTGATAAAAACAATTTAATTCCCGAGATTTCTCATTCCTCATATATTTTCGATAGAAGCTATCGATAATAAAAAGTGTAATTTCGTTTTCTTTTTGATTAATTAATCAATATTTTGAAGTTGAAGAAAAATGAATTGAAATTTCTACAATGTTAAAGGACGGAAGAAATACATTGAAAGGTTATTTTGGACTTGCAACAGAATTTTTGCCCTTTGAAAAGGATCTTAAGCCCTCAATGTCAGTGAGCTATTTTTTGAATTTATATATTTTCAGGTCTCAAACGAAGGTGAATTGATCGGTAAGAAAGATGTGGGAAAAAAAGTGATTGTCGGAAGAGTAGGTTCCGGTACATTAATGTATGTTGGTCCAGTAGAGGGTAAGACTGGTATATTTTGTGGTATAGAATTGGATCGTCCTGAAGGGAAACATGATGGTACCTATCAAGGTATGTTAGTTTTATTTTAAAGAAATATTTTATCAGAGATCATTTGGAAGATAAAATTGTTGTGATAGAGAAAGAAAACGAATTCAACAATTCAAATGAAGAAGTTCTTTTAGGTATCGCATATTTTCATTGTGCTCCACAACATGGTATATTTGCGCCTTCCTATAAAGTAGAATTATTGCAACAAGTGCCAGTAGTATCATCAAGACGACATGAAGTTAGCATTTTCTTACTTATGTTAAAATTCAATTAAAAAGAAATAAAAATTTATTGCTAAAAATTTTGATGATCATTTTTTCTCTTTTTAAAGATTCAATGATACTTCAAAAAACTTTTATCATAATTTGAAGTATAACTATTGATATTTCTTTCTCCAATTCCTGTTTTGCAATTCAAATATTATCAAATTTAAAATTATAGCTATTGATATTTCTTCCTTCAATTTCTGTCCTACGATTCAAATATTATCAAATTTGAAATCATAATAGCTATTGATATTTGTTTCTTCAATTCCTGTCCTATGATTCAAATATTATCAAATTTAAAATTATAGCTATTAATATTTCATTCTTCAATTCTTGTTTATCAAATAATTTTTGTTCCTCATTCACTCAATAAATGGATCATTAAAGTTTTTGCTAAGAAATTAAAGTTTTGGTGGAAAAAATTAAATCATAAATTTTTTTCAAATAACAAAAACTTCGCTATTTCTTATCCATTCATTCAACACATTTATTTCTTCTTATATTATCAAAACATTCTCTCAAAAGTACAACAAAACAATTTTTAATTTTAACAAGAAATGAAAATAACCGAAGCTAAAAATTGAAATGGCTTTTAGTGTTTGTTCCCTAAAATTCATCCATCATTTGATAATATTGAAATCTGTTCTTTTTCAAAACAAAAAATGTTTTTTTGGTGTTTTTCAACAATGTCGTAAATATTATCCTTTCATTTCTTTTTTTCTGCTTTCTTTTTCTTCGCTACACTTGCGATTGGAGATTTTTCGCAACAGTTAATTGCGAGAGATTTTTCGCAACAGTTAATTAATTAAAATTTTAATGATATTGTTGTTTGATGTCTATTTAAAATTGTTTTATTTTTTTTTTGTCACCAACAATTTGCAATCATTTCTACAACGATAATTTTATTGATTTAAAGTTTAACATTCAAAAATGAAACTTCACCATAATATCAATTTTAATTTTGTTTCACCAATTTTAATGATAACCATTTTTTTTAATGATAATTTCATCATAATATCAATTTTAATATTAATCATTCTATTTTACTGATAACTTCACGATAATATCAATCTTAATGATAACTTCACCATAATATCAATTTAAATTGTTAATAATGATGTTCATTGTTTCTATCATCTATTCTTACTATTTATAGTACTCTAATAATTATTTCATCCATTCTTGTTATTTATAGTACTCTAATAATTGTTTATTGGTTTTATTTGTAGTATTCCTAATGATTGACTGCTGCTATATTAAAGGCTTTTTAATTTATATTATTTTAGATTTTCAAATAATTGTAAATTAGTAATTGAAAAATTTCAATATGAAGTAATGCAAATTGTTTAACAAATTCATTCTCTCTCTCCCTCGCTCTCTCTCTCTCTCTCTTCCAATTTGCATATCAATTTTATAAAAGATTTTAACACCCAACATTAACTGCTCAATATTATATTATAGTATATTGGTTTGAAATCGGCGAATTTTGCACTTGAAAAAATTTCGATTTTGAGCGGAATAATTCTTCTAAATATTCCAACTCATTTTATCATCATCAGCTTCCTCATTATCATTGTTTTGAAAGTTATTGATAAACTGAAAATAGAAGAATTTTTAAATTTGAAATTTAATTATTCGATTAAAGTTACATATAATTTTTGCATGTAAAAATTGGTTTTTACTTCTTAAAATATAATCTTAGTTAAGAATTTAAAATTTACTCCATTTTTTCAGAAATTTTACTTTAGAAATATTTAAATGAAGATTGCATCTTTCAGTATCCGATAGGTGATTTCTTCTAAGATGAAATAAACCATTCTGATACTTGAAAACCTAAAATCACAAATCTTCCAGTATCCGATAGATGATTTTTCCAGTATGGAATAAAGCATTCTGATATTTGAAAACCTAAATTCACAAATCTTTCAATATCCGATAGGTGATTTCTTCCAATATAAAATAAATTATTCTGATACTTGAAAACCTAAAATCACTGCTAAATACTTTACACTCTTTTATTTGCCAAATTTGGGTATATCAAAAAAATTTTACAATTTCAAAATTATTTTCAAATAACTTCCTCTAAAACATTTCGTAATTTTATGAGTGCTTTTTTTTTTACGAAGCAAAAAACTTGGCAAGTTGATTTATTAACAAAGTGAAAGTACTTTTAAAACTTGTTTGAAATATCGGTCAAACTATTTTGGAATGTTATTTTTGCAATACTATTATTATTATTATTGATATTATCGCGCAAGCTTTATTTTATGCTTGATCTATTTATTTGCTAAAATTTTTCTTTTGCCATTTCTAATCAATCTGTCATAATTCAATTTCATTTATTTCTTCTCAGAAGGAATTTTCTAGTTTTATTAATGACTGAAAGCTGTCATTTATTAATAAGAAAATTTGTTTAAAATAGATTTTTCTCTCATAATATTGTTTTTCTTTTTCTGAAATCAATTATGCTTTTAAATAATTCCTTTTTTTGCAAATGAATTTTCGACAGCTATATGATAGTGATTATAATGATAATGATGATGATAATGATATTGATTATATGATAATAATGATGATGTGTCTATCTGGACTGAAAGCTGTCATTTATTATTAAAAAAAATTGCATAGAATAAATTTATCTCTCATAATATTTCTTTTTTTCTGAAATCAGTTATGCTTTTAAATTATTCATTTTTTTGTAAATGAATTTTCGACAGCTATTATGGTAGTGATTATAATGATAATGATGATGGTGATAATGATATATGATAATAATGGTGAAACATTTATATTAATATTATAGCATAAGGTATTGATTTGTTAGGAATTTTTGAACAATCTCTTTTGTTTTTTTCACTATTTAACAAGTTAATTATATCTTATAAATATTTGTAATGGAAAATTATAGGAAATAATATTGAAATTTTTTAAAATGATATTTCTTAAATTTTTTTATTATAAATTTATCGATTCGACTATAATATTTTCATTAAAAAGCTAAATATTTTCGATTATTTGCAGAAATTGATACGATCAGCAATTTCGGCATTTGCTGGTAGTGGTGATATGGAAATGTCAACAGGAGCTGGAACAACACGTTCAACGATGCCATCGATGGATATTAGTATGGCTTCTGTTAGTTCATTGGGATCATCGTTCATTCTCGATCATTCAATGGTTAATTTCATTTTCATTGTTAATTTCATTAACAAATTTAAATGTTATAATAATAATAATAAAAATTGATAAATGAATGAATGAAAGAGATCATTAATAGATTAATGATCATATATCTACAATTTGATGGAGAAATTTTACTCTCATTTTGAATAATTTCATATAAAAGAAATTATTATTACTATTATTTAAATTACCTAAAAATTTAAAAATCATTTTAGCAGATTGTTCAAAAATTTAAAAATCATTTTTTTGCTAATTTTAGTTTTAAATTTTAAATTTTTTTCTTCCTTTGATAGCTATCCTTTGTTTTTGATCGATTAATTTGAAAATATTCTAAGGCATATGAAAGAATTGACGTTATAGTTGCGCAAATTGTTTGTATGAGAAAGATGATATTGGTGATATTTAATGATATTTAGGAATGAGTAGGAGCAATTGTGGAATTTTTCGTCATAGTACCACATTAATTTTAATCTTTCTACGATATAAAATGATAGCTATAATAAAAAAAACGCTCAATTAACGACGACATTTTTTGTAATTTCTTCTGATAGTACTACTATTTTGTAGTATTACCACTATTAGTATCAATATTGGTACCACTACTTTGTAGTACCACTATTAGTATCACTACTTTGTAGTACCACCATTTATAGATAAATGTTATTTAATTTTTTCAACAATTATATTTACTATCATTATGGGCGGGCGTTAATTGTTGAAATTAGTTTATCGAGAAATTAAAAATCATTCGGTACAAATAATAGAGTTTAATTTCTTCTCAATGATTGGTTGAACTGATTCTCAGTATGCCATTTGTTGTGTGAAATTACATTTCAAACTGTTTTATTATTCTCTTTTATAGTTGTGATAAGTGATATAATGATCGACTGTTTAGATATGTAGTGTGAAATGATAGTGAACAAAACGAGTTAACTGGTTTCATTAACTATTTATTACCTATTTCCTGTTTCCTATCTTCACATCGTTTAGATAGGATACCTTTGAAAAATGATCCTTTTGATAATTTCTTATCATATCTATCTTTTATTAGTTTCATCCTTTTTTTCTACCAAACAAATTTTTTGTTAAAAACTTTTTTATTTAAATTTAAATTTCATTAAAATATTTACTCTCTTTTTTGTTTTTGTAATTTAAAAATTTTTTTAAAATAATTTTGAAAAGTATATTATTGATCATTGAAAGTAAGAGAAAATTTGATCATTAGCGTTAATTTGACAGGTGGAATAATTTGACAATTCATATTTACTGATAAGATATAGTGTTAATTTGACAGGTAGGATAATTTGGCAATTCATTATTTACTGATAAGATATAGCGTTAATTTGGCAAATGGGATAATTTTTAGATAAATTTGGCAATTCATTATTTACTGATAAGATAAGAACAACAAAAAAAAACTTTTTTCCTTCTTAAACTATGAATTTAATAAATTCTGTTTTTAGTATTAATTTATTGCCTGAATTTCATTTACGTTAATTGAAATTAGTAAATTCATTAATTATGTCACATTTATAGTTTTGTGAAAAGTTGAGCGCTTATGAATGATTGCCATTAATAGCAGGCAATCATTCTGAAATTTATTGTGACAAAATATTTCATAAAGAATTCAGGTCATTAAATAGTGCTGCCAGTTTCATTGATATTTGTTTTTAATATTTTTTAAATTAGACTTTATCAATTTTTTCATTTGCAAAATTATTCATTCTATTATTGCTAAAATTAATTAATGAACCAAAAAAGAAGCTTTCAATTCATTTTCACAATTTACAATATTACTTTTGGTTAAGTAAGAAAAAGTTAATTACTTTTGAAATATTCATTTCATAATTAAATTGAAAATAAAATTTGGGTTAACCATTTTTCTTTTCTTGATAGAGCTAACCTAAAATTATTTCGATACGCGGTGATGGGAGTTAACTTAAAATTATAGATGATGAGTGGCAGCTGGAACAGTGATGCAATGGTCAATTCACAAGCAACTTATACAATTGCCGGACCGGTGAATTATTTACTAAAATTCGCCGAAAAAATTGCTTCCGTTTTTTTTCCTGAAATAAAACAAAAATTATTATATTGCAATATGATAAAGAAAAAACAAATACATTATCAAATGATAATTTCATAAATAGAAAAGATTTGAATTTTATGGTCGAACTTTTAATTTAGAGATTTCAAAATATGAAAAATTAAGAATTATATTGTTGAACTTTAAACTTAAGATCTTTTAACTCAAACTTATTAATTGATAATTTAAAAATAGAGAAGATTTGAATTTTATGATCGAACTTTTAACTGAGAGATTACAAAATAGAATAGATCTGAATTTTATGATTAAACTTTTAACTTACACCCTTTAAACTTAAACTTATTATTATTAGCGTCTGAATTAAAAATTTATCAGTAAAAAATACTCAAAACCAAAACTAATGCTTAGTAATTCAGATTTAAAAAAAAGAGAATCAATTTGATAAGAAAATATCAATTCCTATTTTCTCCCTAATTTATTATCAACCGGATTCAATTATAAAAGAAATTTCATAAAACTTAATTGACAACTGTTATTCATTCTTTCTTTGTAATTTAAATTTATTATTTCTATTTTATTTATTAATTATTTAAATTTACTACTTCTATTTTATTTTTAATTTATTATTTCTATTTTTTATTTAAATTTAAATTTAGTATTTAAATTCATTATTTCTATCAAATTTCATCTATTAAGTAAGCTTAAATTCCAACTACTTCATTTGAAGCGATAAGCAACTGATAATTAATAAAGTATCAAATATAATTAATAGTTGATAAAATATCAAAATAGCTGATAATTGATAAAATATGCAAAATAAGAAATTCAAATAAGCTATCGGATACTATCAAAAATTTTACTTTTATTTCAAAATTTATAATCATCTGAATAGATTCATTAAAAAAAGAAGGAAATCGAAATAATGATTGATTTTTTTCTTTTGTTTTATTTCATTTAATCCTTATTCACCTGTATGATTGTTGAAAATTGAAAATTTAGATTGGTCGAAGTCATCATCATTATCAATTACTGGAAGAGATTGAATGCCCAAGTGAGCTTATCGAAGTTGACGATGATGTGCCATATCAACCATGTAAGTGAAATAATTTTAATATTATAATTAATCATAACTTAATACATATTTTAATTGAACTATATTATTAATATCAAAAAATCAGTGCTGTAAAATTTCCCAAAAAGAAGATTGAATGTTTAAGTGAGCTTACCGAAGTTGACGATCATATGCCAATATCAATTAATTCAAATTTTTATTTTATCTCATAATATTGATAATTAAATATTTCAACAGTAATGTAAACAGCTAGGCCTATTTTTCTGTACTTAAGAGATTGATGAAATTTCCTCAAAGATTTATTTCAAAAGATTAATGGCAGTTATCACTTGTGATACTTTGTGATGATAAATTGTCTATTCGATAGTTTTAAGTTTATTTTTATAAACGGATTTTTTTCATTTATTTTATATACAATATTGAGGTATATTAGTTAATAAGAATAGTTAAATCATTTTAAGTGATATTTATTATTTTACTAAAATTTGTTGAAGTTTTTTCAAAACTCTTAAAAAAGTTTTAGAGCAAAAAAAAAAGAAATTCAAAAAATCATTGAGCAGAGAAAAAAAGGAATGAAAACTTTCTTAAGAGTAAGGAAAATTTAGGATTAAAATAATTTTTCAACTATTAAAAAGTTTTAATATCAAACAAAAGAAATCACAAAGTACCACAAATGATAATAATTGTCATTATTTTATTCAATTCAAAACTTTCTCTAATCTTTCTCTAAATTGCTAGACAATTAGAACTTTACAAAAATGCTGAAATGGATTTAAAAAAAGGATGGTAATCATAATAGTTTAATTTTTGGAGAAAATTCATTTGTTCCTAATATTTTTTTTGAATCAGAATTTTCCACTAAAATTGACAGCTTTAAGAATTATTAGAGATGTATTAATTCTAGCTGTAAAATATAATTAAATAAATATTTTAAATGAAAAAATTAAATATTAATTTAATAATACTGTAAATGAAGGAAATAAATATATTAATTTAATAATACTGTAAATGGAAAAACAAAAGGTTAATACTGTAAAATGAATATTTTTACAGTGAATACTAGCCTAGTTTTGGAAGAATCACGTATTGGAGTTGATCGTCTTCCGATCGTGGATGACAACTTATCCACCCCATTGGTGGAGTATGCTCCTAATAATGATTCACAAAAATATCAACAACAACAACAACAACAACAGCAAAATCAGGCTTATATGATAGATAGCCATGCGAATCATTATAATCCATATCAGATCAGTAATGATTCGCCTACTGAGCTTACAACTAATTTATCGGTAACACAACTAATTCATCCGGATATATTATCATATGAATCGGAATTTCCACAACAAATACCAAATGTATTATCACCTACTGAAAGAGTATCATCTAGTATGAGCATTGATTCAACTATGTCCGATGATGTTACCGTTGATATTCATCATCCAATTCCTCTTGATCCATTGGAAAAACAACAGCAGAAGTTACCACTTCTTGTACCCCTTCCGGAACAAGAAATATCACCTGAAACACCGGTAAGTTATAGAGTACGGTATTAAAATAACTTCTCTAAATTTCAACAATCAATTATGGTCGATAAAATTTATTCCTTCAATTTTTGCATGCTATATTCGTGTTTTGAAATCATCTCCTTATTTAGCAAATTTGATTAATTAATTTAAAATTTGTAATTAATTTAAAATTTGACGAAATATTTTTCAAATTTAAAATTTCAATCATTTCTTATAGACAACAAGTACGGATGTAACAGAGCAAGAATCAAATTGCTATAAATCGGTAAATAATAATTTTACGATTACAAAAGAATCAGAGTTCAAAGAACATTCACAGAATAAAAATGTAACGGTGAAAAAATCGGAAAGTGTAGGAAAAGAAGAGAAAAAAGAAAGACCGAAAAAACCAAGACCGGTAAGTTTTAGTTTTAGTTTCAGAAACTATAAAACTTCCATAGTAAATTTGTGTAACTTTTTTTTCTCATTTTTGTACATTTCTTAATTAAACAAATTAAATTAATTTTAGTGAAAGTGATAGTAAAAGAAATTTTAGTTGTCAATAAGGGAGCTTCAAAATGCGCCAGTACCAGTACGACCACCAAAATCGAAACCACCATCTAAATCACAATTACTAATGGAGAAACTTAAAGCAAGTATTGAAGCGGATAAATTAAAACCAAAAAAGGATGTTAAATCAAAACTTCACAATATATTAGCAGTAACTGCACCTATTCGACGTACACAACCACAAACGATTGTTGATCGAAATGAAGGTTGATTTTCAAGCATTAAATAAATCAACCGAACAGCTAGCTGGTAGCTAAATGACGTAAATGAAATTTTAATTTTTCAAAAAAAATTATAGTGCAAAAAAGTTTTCAGCATAGCAACAACACATCAGGTATCTATCATCATTTTTTCCTTTCTTCCTCCAAACTCTTAAACTATCATTATGAAAGTTTTACTTATTTTCATGAGGTTGAAATTTTATTTATTAGAATTTTGAATCTAATAAAATTTTTGAAATTTTATACTTCACATAATCATACCTGTAAGGTAAACGATATTTACTAATAAAATAATAAATATTGCTTACCTTACAGGTATGATTATGTAAAGTATTATGTAAAGTTCACTATTAAAATCATATTTAAGTGAGTTTATATATTTTATTTATGATTGAAAATTTATCACAAAAGATATGATACATCTGTGTGTACATCTTATCATTCAATAAATGTGAACTGTTAGCAGTAAGAGCATATCGATTCCACTTTATATTGTACTATATGATAGTAGTAATAGTGAATGTATTAAAGAATATTCTTGTAACATTGTTGGTTTGGGTCAAAGGTCAGATAATTTTTCTTCATCTTTTCTTTTTTGTCAATTAACGAAATATTGAAAAATTTCTTCTTCCTACACAACAGTTAACTATTTTTTAATTTAACATTTGATTAATTCAATTACTGTATTATAATATTATTGTTTTTGGTATCCAATACTATTTAAATTTAATTTTAGTAAATTCATTCTATGCTTGTAATCAATTCTCGATTAAGCTTAGATTTGAATTATCGGCTACTGAAGATGACGTTATCATTCGGCGGATATTTCAATGAAAGTTCATTTTTTTGGAACTTATTCACATCCATTCATTTCTTCCAGTTTTCATATTTTTATTATTCAAAAAAGTTGGCAGGAATTCTTCACTTATCTTTCAACTTATCAGATATTTATTTTTGTTTTATTCTCAAAGGATTTCCGGAATCGATCATCTCATCTTATTTCGTATCATATGTTATCATATCATTCCTCATTTTTATTCTTCCAATTCTATACGAAATTTTAGTTCTTTCATTTTCACCACAAAAAACTAAATATGGATTTTTCTACTTTTCCATTATCATTTATCTATTTCAAATATTTCTATAAACGTCGCAAATGATAAAAACAATTTAATAAAATTGAATTTTAAGTGCAATATTTAATTATTGCAATTTGTAATATAAAAAGAACATCTTTTCATATAGTGTTTCAATTTTATACTCCTTAAATTAGCATAATTTTTATTAATTACTGTTAATTATTTTCACGTAAGAATACTTTAAATAACTTTAAGTCTTCCTATTTCTTCACGCTTACTAACGTGAAAAATCAGACATGTTTTACATATCTTACGCATATCTTTTTACGCTTAGATTAAATTTATATTTTAAAATTTGTTTTATATATTTTGGTCTTTTCCTCCATTGTAGAAGAAAAGATGTCACCTAATGATGAAAGGAAAAAGTCGCTGCAACCGCTATCACCGAATGCGAAACGTCGACGAAATGAGGCATTGAAAACGGTAAATTCACGTACGCGACCTGAACAACGTCGATTATCACAACAGGTTGATAATGCAACAACATCAACAATTCGATCAAATATGAAATCAACACAATTGTTAATTCAACCAAAAACTGTTCAAAAAGGTAAGTAAGTGTTTATTTTGTTGATAATGAATGATTCATTACAGATAATTTTATTTTGTGAATTATCAATTTGTACAACTATTTGTCATAGGCTCATTTATCATTAAAGTTTTTGAATATTTATAAATGAATCATAAGTTATATGAAGAGTTTTTGATATCTCAAATTTATGTATTTATTGAAACTTTTTTAAGATTAAAAATGAAGCTAACACTAAGGTTAAAGAGATTAAGGTGGTTTAAGGATGAGGCTAAAACTAAAGTTAAGGATGAGGCTAGGCTAAGGCTAAGAGTCATGGATGAAGCTAAGGCTAAAGTTTACGAAGCTAAGACTGTGGTTAAGGAAATAATTCTAAGGATAAGATTAATAGTGAGACTAAAGCTATGGTTAAAGATTAGGCTAAGAGTGTGGACTTCTTGAAAAATCTCTTTCCAAAAATTATTTGAAAATTTTAGCTGCAAACAATTTGTTTATACTTTTCACGAAATGCTATCAAATTTAAGTCAGATATTTTTAGCTCTTTCTAAAGTTATGTAATTTTTTTTTGAAACCTGTCTAATAATTTTAAATTTAATTTCTATTGTTCCAAAAATAATTAGTGATGAGTGTATCTCTTAAAGACTATCTTAGTGTAGCATTCATATATCAAAATATTGAAATAGCTTTGAAAAAATCTAAGATTATTCAAAGTTTTGATGATTGTTCAAATAATTGCATTACAAACTTTTTGAATCAAATTTTAAGATGAAATGGATTTTAGATGATAAATAATTGTTTGAAGTACTTATAATGCGATCCGAAAAATTGAAAAAAATTTCCTGAAAATTTAACGGAGCTTCAGATTATAATGCGATCCGAAAAGTTGGAAAAAAATTTCCTGAAAATTTAACGGAGCTTCAGATTATAATGCGATCCAAAAAGTTGGAAAAAAATTTCCTGAAAATTTAACGGAGCTTCAGATTATAATGCGATCCAAAAAGTTGGAAAAAATATCTTGAAAATTTGACGGAGCTTCAGATTATAATGAAATCCGAAAAGTTGGAAAAAACTTTCCTGAAAATTTAGTAGAGCTTCAGATCCTAAATCAATCCCTTCCTCGATCACTAAATATTAATGCTAGATCAGAATGTAAGTATCAATTGTCTTCTCAAAATTTAAATTTGCATTAAAATGAGAGCTATATAGGAGATTTGATATTATTGCTCTTACCTTAGACTGATATCGTTTATCTTATTCAGCCAGGAAGGAGCATTCTCTCTTTATACTTCTCTTTATATACTTCAAAAATTATTCAATTTGAGACAAATCAGAGTTTAGAAATGAATATGTGGAAATTTTTAACTTTTATCGCTCTTATTGAATGACCTAATTGACCTCAATTGTATAGTGTATATGATTGGATGTAATAAATTTCATCAAATCGAATAATTCTTGAAATTTTATTTATATTTTAAAAAATCGATACAAATTTCAACTCTCAAAAAATTTAGCATTATTCGCTATTATTTTATGTTGCATAAAATCTAAGAGAAGAGATCATTCGATTGCTTCTTTTTTAAATTTTGAAATTTAAAGTAAAAATTTTTAGGAAATTAGCTTATCAGTTGGATTGGATAAAAAGATTGATAAGCTAACACAATCCTTTTATCTCTCTATCATTATTTCTTAACTGAAGTCAATTATCTGTCAACTATTTTACCGAAAATTTATATTAAGAAAACAATCAAATGAAAAGATTAAAAAACTGATGTTATATGAGTTTCAATTGACTATTTCAATTGACAATTTTAATTGACCTCAATTTTAATTGACCTTTGTTGAATTATATTACTTTTCACAAAATTTTGATTAGATTGATTCTCTTTTTTCTTTGCAGCGCTACACTCCGGTTTGTCGAAATCATCTGCAACACATCCATCAGTTAAGATTCGTAAATCCGAAAAACAACCTACCTCAATGATCGTTGAAACACAACAACAAGGTTAATGATTTGTTAATTTGATAAGTTTTTTTTGTTGTTTATTGTCATATGATAAGTTAACTTTTTTTTTGTTTTAATTAATTTAATTTTTGTTGAAAATATCAGACAGATTAAAAATGAATTTCATGTGCGACAGATGTTTTGAATTGAAAAGTAGGAGTTGCGTTTCTTTTTTTCGTTTGAAAATTGAATTACAAATATAACCGAAGTTATAATTCCGATTCTTAGTTAATTGCAAATATAACCGAAGTTATAATTCCGATTTTAAGTTAATTTATAATTTTAATTCAATCAACATTTCTACTTCAGATCATTGCCACTTTTGCATATTGCAAAAATTTTTCTTTTATGCTAATTTTTATTACAAAGTTTGAATTAAAATTTTATCCCATCGATGAATTATTTCTTTCTTTTGTATATAATTTTTTACAAAAATCAAAATTACCGTTAGCGACTATCATAATTTAACGATAATATATTACTGTCAGTATTATTGTTGTGAAACCAATTTTATTGCATTCCGGTTGATAGAAACATTCCGGTTGATAGAAATTTATCGTATCAATTAATACATATGCTGAAAATTTTGCAGTATAAATTTAACATTCTAATTCTCTAGAATATTCGAAAATATCCAGCACAAAAAGAGAATCATCGAAATATATTAATAATACCACCGAAATAAATTAATAATATTTATTCCTATACCAATCTCTAATTATTATTGTTTAAATCATTTTCATTTAAAGGCCTTAAAAGGATTATTTATTGTTTAAATCTTTTTCATTTAATGGCCTTAAAAGGATTATTTATTTGTTTTAATCTTTTTCATTTAAATGCCTTAAAAAGGCAAGCAAAATTTATGTGAATAAAATTTAAATCAATATTACAATCTCAGAAAATTATTTATTGGTTATTATTGTTTATTAAATGTACGCAATTTAGTGTGGAATGCGTTAATCGGCTTTACAGACCAAATCATCAAATGCTAATTTCTTTATATTATTCGATAGGAAAAGGAAATAATAGATTTTAAACGAATGGTTTAATTTAATCTCAGTTTAAGAATAGATTCTAAAAATTTGATTTAATCCAAATTTCATCGTAACTCTTAAATTCGTCTAAATTTTCACCTAAACTATAGGTGAAATTAAAACCTTCGAATAGAAGTGATATCAATGAATTTTTATTATCACTGAGTGGAATCATTTGAATGTGATGAGCAATTTTCAGTCCTCAAATAATTTCCGCTTTGGAAAACGGAAAGGTTCATATTTTAAATTTATTATTAGTAAAATGTAAAAATTGCAAAGATATAATTTATTATGAATTTAAAACAAAAAAGCTTTATTTTTAGATGACAGCTTGAAATTAAAACGATTAACCGATGCAATTCGTGCATTTGACATCCTTGCTATTGTTTTCGGACAGCAAATTCAAAAGGTATATTTCTATTTATATTTATAGTATTTATTTATAGTATAGTATTTATAGCATATTTACCTTTCTTTCGCTATCACTAATTAATTTTTTATGAATGATAAAAATCAAAAAAAAAATTATTCTTTGATAAATGATAATGTTTTAGGACTTAGAATAGGTCATTTAAAGTGAACTTCAGCGAATGTTAGTTAGTAGGTCATTTAAAGTAAACTTCAATGAGTGCTAGTTAGTAGGTCATTTAAAGTGAACTCCCCGAAAATGTCAAGGTTGTCGATACGGTTGAAAACTAATTGACTATAAAGTGTTAATTCAGTGCTATAGATATTTTGCATATTGTATAATATATTTACATTATTCTTCGTAATTGATCGGAAGAGTTAAAACCCTGAAGATTAACTGGTTTTCCAACTGTATCGATAGCCTTAGCGAATATCACATAAAAAATTTTAGATGATTTACTGATGAAAGTAGAAAGATGAACAAGAAATTACTATTCACAATTTATTAACGTATAGATTTCGAGTAATAATTTAGGCTGATATTTTAAAATTATTTTGCTAGCTTAAAAATTCCATCAAAATCCAGCTGGAAACTAAATTACAAAGTATTATTAATTCATTTGCATTCATTTAAAATATCAAAGATCATTAAAAATTAAAAATTCTTTAAACTTTAAAAAATTCTAAGAGTATTATTTGAAAAGAAATCTTAATCATACTCTTTACTTATTATTACGATTAATTATTTTTCGTACAGTGAAGAATTACTCTTATTATTACGATCAATTATTTTTAGTATGATGAAGAGCTACTCATTAATTGTTATTACGATTAATTATATTTAGTATAATGAAGAATTACTCTTTACTTATTATTACGATTAATTATTTTTAGTACAATGATGAATTACATGAAGCATTTGAAGAAAACAGAAAATACGGTATGCTTTTTTGATTTCACACTAATTTTGTGAAATTTTTTCGATCACAAAAAAATTTAAATTATTTGTAATACTAGCAAATCTTTAACTTCTTTATTGTTATTCCGGTTAATTATTCCGGCAAAAATTTGTCATCGATAAGCATGAATACTATTATTCCCGTTGATTATTCCGGCATCATCGATAAGCATGAAAGAGAAATTGTTAGATAGTTTAAAATTTTAAGCTATGATTTTGAAAACTTTCTTCTATTCATTTCAATTAGTGAATTATTCTCTCAGAAAAGAAATTGTTTTATCAAATTTAAATTTTAAATTTGATTTCTGAAACAATTTCACATTAATTACAACGAATGATTGTTGAACGAACTTAAATTTCGTTAAAATTGAATGATTAATTTACAATACAATGAAATTGTTTTTTTCAACGAAAAATTTTGATAAAGTTTTCGGCAGTAAGATGGGAAGTTTGGTTTTTGTTTTGCTTTAGAAAATTATTTAAGATAACAAAATTTTTGGAAGTTGAACTTTGAACTAACGAATGGAATAGTATAGTGCATTTGCACGATTTGGTTAAAGTTGTTAGAAATTATGGAATTGCAGAAAATTACAATGAGTTATTGTTTTATACTTTCATATGAGATTGTTGTTCTTAGATGATAATTATTCGATTCAATTATTTTAGCATTAAATAAATGAAAAGGCTAATTCAAGCTACTTTTTCTACTATTTCAATTCTATTTAAAATTTAAATTAAAATTTACGGGTAAATAGAAATAGTATTTTTAGAATCACATATGAAAACATTAGAAGCAAAATACGAGCAATTAATGATAGCAATGAATACCGATCATAATCGACAAATTGAAAATGGTTTGTGAAATCTTTTCATATTTAACTTTTAACAAATTATTTAGCTTTTAACTTTTAGCAAATTCATTTTGCGGGTAACTTTTTTTTATCAGTGATAAACGTGCAAATATAAAAGAGATAATAATTCAGAATTTATCAATCATTTCATCTTTTCCATTTTCTTTTATTACAAAATTAACTGTTACTGTTGTTGATTGATTATGATTCTTTGAACAGAATCAATTATCAAAATGAGGATATTACCGTGTTTTTTATCAATGATAAATGAGCAAATATAAAAGTGATGATAATTCAGAATTTATCAATCGTTTCATCTTTTCCTTTTTTTTTCTATTGCAAAATTAATTGTTACTGATTCTTTGCACAGAAACAATTTCAAAATGGAGATGTTATTACGCTTTTTTTATCAGTGATAAATGAGCAATTATAAAACTAATGATAATTCAGAATTTATCAATCATTTCATCTGCTTCTTTTTCTTTATTACAAAATTAACTGTTACTGTTGTCGATTGATTATAATTCGTTGAACGGAATCAATTATCAAAATGAGGATATTACCATGTTTTTTATCAATGATAAATGAGCAAATATAAAAGTGATGATAATTCAGAATTTCATGTCACTGCTTTTTTTATCAGTGATAAATGAGTACTGATAAATTTTTTGAGTAGAATATAAAAGTACTGATAAATTTAGAATTTATCAATCATTTTATCTGCTCTTTTTTTTTATTACAAAATTACTGTTACTGCTGTCTAATGATTAGTATTCTTTGAGTAAAATCAATTATCAAAATGAGGATATTACCATGTTTTTGATCAGTGATAAATGAGCAATTATCAAAGTACTGATAATTCAGAATTTCATGTTACTACGGTTTTTTTTATCAGTGATAAATAAGCAATTATAAAACTAATGATAATTCAGAATTTATCAATCATTTCGTCTGCTCCTTTTTCATTCTTATAAAATTAACCGTTACTGTGTTGCCGAATGATTATTATTCTTCGAGCAGAATGAATTATCATAATGATAAATTCATTAAAATTATCAGTTTGCAATTGCATTAAATTATCATTGTAATAAATAAAATAATCCCTAAAATTACTAACATAATCAATTCAAATCATCATTTTTAACGAAATAATTTCCCATAAATATCAATTAAATTGTATTCTTTGCTAAATTCTCAATGACAAATACATTAATGTGAAAAGCTATTAGAAAATTATTTCAGTATAAGTTTTTTTTTTGTAGAAAATATTAAATTCAATGAAATTTTTAAATTTAAATGACAGATAGTAATAAAAGGTTTTTTCCCTCTTCCTTACCTTTTAATAAACTTATGTGAAATTTCCTTTTTTAACCTATAATTTAAATTTTCTTTTTTAAAAAATATATTTTAATACCTGTTCTCTCTCTCTCTCTCTCTCTCATATAGTAAATTTATTTTTAAAAAATATATTTTAATACCTGTTCTCTCTCTCATATGGTTTCACATAATTTTGAATATTAAGTATCTGTAAGGGAGAAAATGTTCATTTTAAAATTGTTTAATTGATAGTTGTGATGTATGATAGTTTTATTTGTAATTTATATCATTTATTTTTTTTCTTATTTTAATTGACCCTTTTACCTCATCGATCCTTTTTTGATGACCTTGGAAAGAAAGTTATTTCGAAACTCTATGAAATTTCTTTTTTGATGTAAAATTAATGAAAACATTAAGTTTTCTATTGTTTTATCAAATTTTGTTTTGGTTAGTGAAAATAGAAGAAATTTATGAGAAGTGAGAAATTTTAAATTTTAAATGAGAAAAGTTTAAAAATTCTCTTAATGTCCATTAATGAACTATTGAGTAATTAACTGTTTATATATTATAGTGAAAAGGATGTGAATGATTTAAGATTTAGAGGTATATGGTCTAATTAATGAAGTTAGAGTAAAATGTTATCATTTTTTTTCATGTTATCATTTTATCATTCTTTTTGAAATGGCATTTAGCGCTTGTTATCTTTCTCTAGGTGACATTTAGCGCTTGTTATCATTCTCTACAATGCATTTAGCGCTTGTTATCATTCTCCACAATGCATTTAACGCTTCTTGTCATTCTGTGGCTCTCATTTAGCACATTTCCAAAAACAAAACTTTAGGATATTGAGAAAGACATAGAAAAATGTAATTCATATATTCTGTCTAATGGTATTGATTATCATATTACAATTCTTGCCTTATCACAATTCTCATATGAAATTTATTTATTTCAAATTTCATTCAAAAATCATTAGGCTCTTTTTTCATTGGAACAAAAATCATCAGGCTGTTTTTTAATAGAACAAAAATCATCAGGCTGTTTTTTAATAGAACAAAAATCATCAGGCTGTTTTTTAATAGAACAAAAATCATCAGGCTGTTTTTTAATAGAACAAAAATCATCAGGCTCTTTTTAATGGAACAAAAATTAATTGGTATAAATTAGTTCAAAAAAAACAATTTTTTTCTTTAGAAATAAAAGCAAAGAAATCATGGAAAATATTCGGCGTTTTGTTATCAGTTAAGTAAATCTGTTTGGTAGCGTTGATGTCGGTGACATTTAATGTTGCGTCACCAAATTTTCTTCATTTAATATGCGTTTGAAAAGTTTGGTAACAAATGAAATGATCAGTAAAATTGCAAAAAAAAAGAAAAGATCTGTTTTACAGGTAGAATGAAGCAATAGAAATATTAAATTAATTCTTTAACAGATCATCAATTTGATGAATACATTCCTATCAATTTTTCACTGATATTGAATATGGAAATGCTATTTATTTCTAGGCAATTATGATTTTAAAAACAGAATATTTTTTATGGCTGATATTTTATTTTAACAAATTATTGAAATGGATATTTCAATAAATTGTTGAAATGGATGAGATATTTCGATAAATTGTTGAAATGAATGAGTGCTATATAAGAGAATGCATTTTATGTTTAATTCATATAAAAGGAGGAATTTGAAAAGAAATGAAATTTGAATTATTAAAAAGAATTTGTATTGTTGTTGTTGTTGTTGTTGTTGTTGTTATATTTTTAGAATTATTGTTTATTTGATCAATAACAATTTTTGTAATCGAATCTTCTTCTCACCCCGCGGAATATTCTGAAATTTTAATGAATAAATAGCGATCATATTTAAAATAATCTTATCTGATAATGAGTTATCGAAATTGAAGAAAAGCACGAAAGTAAGATTAAGTGAGTAATTAATTATTATCAGAAGAAAATATAAATTTCTTTTATTAAATATACTTTTAGAATTTGATAAACATTGAAATGATCTGTTCTTAAGATGGTGAAATATAGATTATGCAAATTTAGGATATATTTTAAAAGCAATGAAGGTCATTATTCCTTAAATGGGAGGTGGGAGGAAGTAAATGACCTTCATTGGCTCATAAATTCAACAAATTCATTAGCATTTTATTATTGTATTGTTTAGAATTGATTGTGAATTGTTTATGTTGTTGAAATTAAATGAATTTTAATTTTGTTTATGTTGCTAATTAAAATTAAATGAATTCTAATTTTGTTTATGTTGCTAAAATTAAATGAATTTGACTATCATTAAATAATTTCTAATCATATTCGGTCAAGTTTGTTAGGTCTAAGTATGTTTGGTCAATGCATCATATCAGTGGAATATCCTATTATTACAATTTTAATGATCAATCTGACCTTACAGGGGGGGGGGGGTAATATATTTAAAAGATTTATGATAATGATAATTGTGTATTATTTTTTGATATATGAAATTGAAGGCTTATAATCGATTTACTGCCAATTTTCATCACTCTATAACTTTTCTACTTCTCTTCGATCTTCCTATTTCTTCACGTTTGATATTACTGTCATCACCTATCATTTGACCTTTTATTTCAAATTTACAATGAAGAATAAAGTTTACTAATTAACTAATTACTGTATTTTCATTATTTCTTTTCTGTCCCAATAATATTTTCATATTCTTCGAATACTATTTCATCTTCCTTATAAGAGTAATGATGAAAGAAAGAAAAGGAGGGAGAGAGAAAGAGAGTGAGAGGGAGAAAGGAGAGAGAGAGAAAAGAAAAGGAGGAAAGAAAGGGACAAAGGGATAGTGATCATTTTTGGGGTTTTATCATTTTGTTCATTAACAATTCTTGCTTTCCCCGAATGTTATTGCGCTTTCTGTGACATCCCATATTTGGACCTAAATTTTAAACTTAAAGAACTTCCCCTTCTTCTTGGCTGATATCTATCTTCTTTGGCTGATATCCATCTTCTTGGCTAAAATATTTAAGGCTTATACTTTTTACCTCATTTAATTCAATTTAAAAAACAAAAGAAAATAATTGCAATAAAAGAATAATCACTTATTGTTACTATTATATTCATTTATTATTCCTTTCTTATCCTATTCCTATTCTTATTACTATTACTATTACTATTCCTATTTCTATTCCATTATTCACTATTGAAAAATGCCTATATTTTGTATGATACCAAATGTAATACGTTTGAAAACACCTGGCCTTGTTGTATTACCGTTCATTATAATATCATTATTTTCATCAACAGCAATTTACATCATTTTACTTGCATGCACTACAACTGCAGCATCATCTGCAGCAACAGTTACCTTGCTGCAATCATCAACCATTCTTTTCCCATTATCTATCACTTTGATATTTTTGATCATTTTATTTACAGTGAAACGAAATCATGACGATGAATTGAATTGTGTGAAAAAACGATATGAAAAGCAGGTATGTTGATAAGTTTTTTTCTTTCTTATCACCAGTTCTTATTAACAGGCTTCCAATTTTATAATGATTTTTTCATATAGAATGAATAATCATTAACTAGCTTAACTAGCTTCCAAAAATGCTGTTGTATAGAGCGAATAATCAATGAAGCTATAAAATAAGCTTAGCTAAGAATATCTTTAAATTGAAGACCTTAATTTTTCTTTTAGTATCAGATATCAATTTAGTACCATTTATAAAGTGTAAATACGTTTATTTTATCATTTACATATCTTAATTTAATATCGAAATATGATTTTCTCTTTTTATATTTTATCATTTAAATATCTTAATTTAATATCGAAATCATTTAAATATCTTAATTTAATATCGAAATATGCGTTTCTCTTTTTATACCAAAGAAAAAAAGTGAAGTAATTTTTTGATTGTATCTTATCAAATTATTTAAATAAATAATAATAAATAGCTGTAGGCAATGATAATTTTGAAATTAGATAATTTAAAATAGCAAAGAGAGAGAGCGAGAGAATCAGATGAAAAGAGGAAGGGTTTTTAAAGTATTAGTTATCAAATTAAATAAATACTTTTAAAATGAAGAAATATTTTATCTGTTTGAAACGATCAGATTCTTTTCATTCATTTACGATAGTAACTTCGAAAAGTGATTCTAAAACATTCGGCAAGATACGATCATTTATGCTCTATCGGAGCTATGATTTCAACATATCACTGGCCTATTTTTCAGGCAAATATGTTATTACTTGTGAAAAATATCCAATTATAGTCCTTGATGAAAAGGCTTTTACTCTTGGGGAAATGAAAATTAAAATTAAGTAAAATTAAAATTTCGAGTAAAATTAAGCTATTAAAAGCGTGACTAATTAAGAGCTTTGATAAATTAAGAAATTATGATTTGTTTTTTTTCTTTCATTTTTTCTTCATTATAATCATTATTTTGCTATCATATAATTAATTAAAATTTAACTTTTACTATTATTTATTTCCATGGCACTTCATGACAGCTTTTTTTATCAAATTATAATTTAAAATTTTCAAATTAAAAGATTCCTTAGCAAAATATTTCTGTTACGATCAAAAATAGAAATGTTTAAATTTATTTTGAGAAAATTTTTCTTCTATGGCATATATAATTTAGTTATTCCTCCCTCTCCCTCTCCCTCTCCAATATCCTATTAAATTTCTTCGAATCTTTTTTAAAATTTATTTTAATTAAATTAAGATGAAAATGGAAAGATATTATGGGTGGTGAGTAGTGCGATGGATAAATGATTGAATAAATTGGTTAATTGGGATGATACTTCTTTAAAAGTAGCTTCTTGATATTATTGATTGTCGGATTGATCAAAGAAAATCTTTATGGTTATATTCTGGTCATTTAAAGATACTTATAGGGTCATTCACTTATAAATTGTATGTGAATTTTGAAATTTGCAACAATATGTATTTAATTTATGCAATTTGCACATAAATTTTATTAATTCAGTGTTTACACACATGACATAGTTTCTCTTTTATTCATTTATTATTAATTTATTTACGTGTGAATTTTGAAATTTGCAACAATATATATTTAATTTATGCAATTTGCACATAAATTTTATTAATTCACGTATTTACATACGTGACATACTTTCTGTTTTACTCATTTATTATTAATTTACGTGTGAATTTTGAAATTTTCAAAAATATATATTTAATTTCTGCATTTTGCACATAAATTTTATTATTTCACGTATTTACATACGTGACATATTTTTTTGTTTTACTTCTTTATTATTTATTTATTAAATTATTTTCATTAATTTATTTGCCGTATTTTTTCTTATTTATCCATTCGTTGAATTGATAATTTTACATTTTTTCCTTCATATTTCTTATATTTTATAATGCAAAAAAACTTTGATTAAATTAAATTGTTAATTTTTTGATTAAATTGTTAAATTAAATTTTGATTAAATTGTTTTAATTTATGTTATTAATTAATATTACTATTAATAACTTTTCAAGCTCTTAGTTAATTTCTTAAAAAAAAAATTTAAAAATTTTTAACACAAATTAATCACATCGTTTTCATATTTTATAAATCAGTAAAAAAAGTTTGGTATCTCCACCACCATTAGCAAGAAATTAAAGATGATAAATTTTAATGCATATAAAAGAAAGCTCGTTGATAAATTTTATCATTTACGCCATTTAATCTTATCATATGTAAATGTCTAAATTTTGATATAATAGTTGTCTTTACATCTGATAAAATAAACTTGACGATCCTTCTACTATTAATTATTAAGTTATTAATCATTAAGTTTAATTATTTTCGAGAAAACAATTATTGAATAGTTTTTAATAATAAATTAAAATAATTTTGGAAAGAAAAGAATTGATGATATTTTATTGTGATTTATTTATTGTTTATTTTAAGTTATCGGAATGTAATGATGAATTAATCCGGACGTTGGATGAACAACGTTGCATTCATGAAGCAGAAATTGAACGTCTCAGTCGTTCCAATCAACTACAATGCTCAAATTTAGATAATAAATTAGCGGAAGCGGAAAAGAATGTGGAAGAACTAATCCGTGATAAGAAAAATCTTGAAGCAACATTAAGTAAAGATACAAATGAAAAAGTTGCGGTAAATCTTTTTTTGTTTTTTAAATTAATTAAATTTTGAAAATTTTATTTCGTAAAACTTTTTTATGCTTAATTCTTTTTTTTTCTAAATTGTTTTAAATGAAGTTAATTAATTAGAAGTATCTTTTCATTGAAATTTCGATATAAATTAGTGCTTTCTAAAATTCATAGGAATACATATGCATTTTAAATAATTTACCAATTTCTCTAATAATTTAATTAATCGAAGATTAATTAATTTTAGGAGCTATCAAAAGAAATTAGTAGTTTGAATACAGCATTGGAAATTAAATCAACTGAAATCAAAACATTACGACATTCAAATGCAAAATTGCAATTGAAAGTGGAAGAGATTCCACTGAAAGATATTGAAATAAGCAAATTAAAACATCGTGTTCGTGAATTAAAAATATTGGTGGATCAAAAAACTAATACAGAGAAGTATGTAATCCAATTAATTGATATCCTTATTACTTGAAATATTGCAAATTGCATAAATGTATAAATTGCATAAATTATATTAAATTTGTTATTTAAAAAAATTATGCTAAACTTTGCAAGAGTAATTCTAATTTAATTTAATTATTTTTTCTAATTATTTAATTATTTTTTCTAATTATTTAATCATTTTTTCTTCTAATTTAATTATTATAAATGTCTTTGTCTTTTTGAAATTTCAATTTTTTTGCAGAGTTTTGACATCGAAATTTGAAGAATTACAACGTTCGGCACGTAATCAAGCAGTAATGTCTGAATCGATGCTAAAAGAGAATGATTTATTGCGATATAAAATTGAGGAAATGGAATCGTCAACATCGGAGGGAGAACCAAATTTTGTGAAAACTGATTGTGCAATGTAAGAATTATGAGAAAATTAAAAATTCCTTTTTATATTTTTATTTAACTTTAATTTTTATAGTTTTCTTATTTTCCTAAAAAAATTTCAACAAATAAATTTCTAAAATTAATAGCCTTAAATTAATTATATTTGCTAAAATGTTATAATATTAAAATATTTAACTTACAGTATCATTTTCATTCGTTTTATTTTTTGATATAACCAAAACAGGTAAATTTTTTTTGAGAATAATTTTGGTAATTTTTTTCTTTAAGGAAATATCGTACACCACCGCAACCATTGAATGTTTGTTCGACACATTTATGTCAAAGTGAACGACGTCCGCCATCTTCAACTATTCCGCGTCGATCTTCACAATCACGTATGGAATTATTAATTTATGAGAATGATGTTATAAGTTAATTAGGTTTATTTTTTCTTGAGCATCTTTGAAATTTCACAAATAAGCAAGTAATTAATGAGTTAGCTATAAGCTGATTAATCTTTGCTCTGATAATTGCTAAATTTAATATATATAAGAAAATGCGCTTATTTATTTATGTCGCACCTTGCGATGTTCATATAGATGTTTGCTCCTTTTTTATACTATCGTATATCATGCGATTTTTTGTAGGATTTTTCTGTGTAATAGTTTGATGAGATTTCTCTGTAATAATTTGATGAGATGACAAAAAATTAATAAGTTAAAATTAACTTTGATATTTATGCTTTCTCAAGTTTGAATTCATTTCAACTAAGTAATGTTTTAAAAAAAGGATAGAAGTATGATAGAAGTAAATTCTTTCGGTTCATTAGATTCAAAAAGAAAAGTAGAAGAAAAGCATCTTAAAATTAGAGATTTCAATGTTGAAAGAAATCGTAAATTTTTGATAAATATATTTTAGGTGATGATGTGATGACTCGTTCGGTTATTTCGTTATATCTCGAGCAAGGACGAAATCGGTTTACCAAAGAAAATATTGATACCATTTATACACCGGAAGGAACATTCATCGGTATGTTACTTAAAACGCATCTGTTAATTTTCTACGAATTTTATTTTATGATAGTTCTTGAACTGTGCTATTTTCATCTTCATCATATTTTCGAAATTTCTCAGAAATCTAAATTTGTTGCAGCAAAAGGTCGCGGTTGCTCACAAAGGTTATCTTTTGATGATGCACATGATGCAGATGATGAAGGGACTCCTCGTCTGTAAGTTAGCACATTGTCATTCAAAGAGCTGAAAATTCAGATAAGAAATAATTAATCAGGAATAAAATTCAGATGTAAATGTGTGTAACATTTTGGAGAAAAAATTTACTTTAGAAATGATACACTTTTACGACTGAATACTAATCAGTTTTAGTTTTAAATTATCAAATCAAAAAATGATGCTCTTCCGAAGGCAAAACATGAATTTCATGGATTCTTAAATTGGTAAATTAACGTCTCAGATATTTTTATTTGAAGTTTGATATCGAGATCCATTGGGAAAAAACCAGCAATTCTGCAATCAGTCATTGATCATATATGATGCGTGGGAGCATGATCAGTATTGCTTAGAAAGTTGCTAGTTTGGAAAATACTTTCGGGTTGCTTCTTTTTAACAATTTCAGTGCCCGGACAAACGAACAGTCATCAGTTTCTGGAAGCAATAATTACCATGAAGCATCACGAACAGCGAGCACTGTACTAGACAGCGGTATATCAGTTTGAATTCAAATATCTCTACCGATCGATCTCGTCTGAAAATTTTAGTTTGTCCTTGTAAACTCTTAGCTTTTGAAAGTGTAAATACCTTAAACAAATGACCTACAGAGTTTCAAACACACCTGGTGGTGTTATTAGGCTATTTTAATTCTACGGAATCTCAGGAACAGCTATAAGTCTCCTATCTTCAGACACACTTAGCGAAAGTATCGTTTTCACCCATTTTTTCACGACTATCAAAAATTGTCGTAATATATCGCTATCACATATGCATTCAGTGAATAATTCTAACAAATTTAGAGTTGAACTTAGAGACTTAGATTTAAGAAAATGCCTCTCAGGGATTAAGTTCTCCAGAATTGTTTCTAGCTTCAAAAAGCCTTGCGCAAAATCGCCGCTTAGGTTTCCACTTAGAAAAAGAGAGTCGAAGTAATTATCCGTTTTTCAACTGCTATGAAGAAAAGCTGAAATTGACTCATATCTGCAGCATACTTGTATTTAATAACTACTGCTTCCTTGCATCTGACACTGTAAGCTCAGGTGTTGTATTTTTTAAATTGTAAAAGACATATGTAACCTCTCCGTCAGTTGTAAGCGTAAGTAATGTTGTGGAATCCAAAAATGTCTCAATTTTCATTGATTTATGGCATTAATGCATTATCACATAATCAGCTCTTCATTGTATGGCACTGATTCTTGTGTCAATATAAACAAATTTTCTTCTGGACGAACTTTAAACTGTTATTTTCCGCTGAGCAACACCACAACTTTCCACTGAGCAACGTCACAACATCACTGCTTACTGCATGAATGACATAAGGGATCAACAAACTAGATTACAATCAATTAGATAGGATTCGACTGTAAACCACGTGAAATTACGCTGACGTAAGCATTTTGCTTTGTCACAGTTCAATATAAAGTTATCACCAACAATTGTAACTGATATCTCTTCGGTTTGTTGGCAATATAAAGAATTAACCATTGCGTTATTTAAAATTCCGTTTGTTGGAATAAAACATGGGAGTAGGAGTAGGACTTTAAACAGTTTACATGGAGACGATATTAAAAACAATTTTTGAACATGAATAAATTAGAAAAGGGAAAGATCGTATTGTCCACTATAACTAAGTTTCACCGTATTCAAATCGTGAAGTGAATGCATGTACAATTAAACTCACTTGGAATTGAATTGACATGTATTCATTTCACATAGGGAATTCAAAATTTTAGTGTTTGTAAGAACAATCTTCAGCTGATAGAGGACATCCGCTGGAATGATATTTGTGGAACCAGCAATCCGCTGTCTTCAATTTTCCTTCCACTCTTCGAGTGCCCTCTGCAGCCCAATTACGAATTGAAACAGTGCCTTTAACTACCTGAAATTATTTGATCACTGAAAATAAGTCAGAATTCTCATTTAAAAACCAAAGTATAAATTTAATGGATTCGATTTCTGCAACTGCATCTGCAGGGCACAACAGCGGGAGAATCATACCATTTTTTTACCACTGCATCCGGAAAAAATTTGATTTCACTTGTATCTTACTTTGAAAATTTGATGCTGATTTTTCAGGAATGTTTGCAAACCGCCATCTGAATCTCGAAGCTGCGCTTTTTCTTCCTCATCGAGTAGCTCAGCTATTTCTTTCAGAGAGCATGATGGCCCTCCGTCCCAACAGCTGCAACACATGATTTAATGTGGTGACTACCTCAAAATCTGCATCCATAATTCCCGACTAATAAGTTCGACAGTACTACTTTGAGAAAGTTCGAAATCTATAATATCAGGTTCTGAATTCAAATATATACACTGTCGTTTTGTCCGGTGACAGCTCCAATAAATGCGTGAATATCTTTGTAACAAGCACTTGCTGGAAATCCCGAGAAAGTTTCGAACAATTTCTTATCTGAAACGTCTGCGTATATAAACACTTTGTTCAGGACAAGACCAATTATTGATTAGTTAAATGCTGTGAGCTTTACAAATTTTACAATTTAAAGGAAAAACTGTTTTACATTAATAATTTTTATTTCAAAAACTAAAAAATGAACTTTACAGGATCCTCAGAAATCTATATCAAACCTATACCTTTTCAAATTTCTCTCTCGGCACAAAAACTGGTAAACTCGTATGTGGCAATACATTATTTATAACACTTTCTACATTTTCTACTAATCCACCAGCAGGTACTGTGCAGAGGAAACAATAACGTTTCGTTGATGGAATTTTCAGCCGATCTTCCTCAACGCAATAACCCAGCCTGAATATTTTTTAGTGGTTCATATCTTTTGAGAATAATCCAGCAAAGAAGGAGAAGCTTCACGCAATTTGATAGAAAGGTTCATCACTATTGAAATAATATCAAATTTACCTCAAACAGATATCGCGAATAAACAGAAGATAGGAGGAATACACACTAGTAGTAGTCACACCACACTTTTTTTGAAAGCGACTATAAAAATCAAATGGACAGCATGGCAGTAAGAAAAAGTTACTTCTGGATCTGAAATTAACGGCCATAAAACGACTTTTAAATAGCAACTGATTTTTGGAAATTCTTTTAAATTTGATAACTTCCGAAAATTTTCAATAACTAGGAATAAACAGAGAATAAAGTGAACATATTGCGCATGAATTCTGACCGAAGATGTAAGTTTAAAAATATGTTTCTTTGAAAAATATCAAGTTCCACAAAATAATTTAACTAGCAGCCATAATAGGTATCCAAGGGGTCAATTCATCAGTGTGATTCCCGATCAGAAAATCGCTATCGCTCAATAAGTCTTCAGGATTTACTGTTTTTTCTCTCAAATCAGTTCCAACAAACTTCTTCCATATTTTGCGCTGTCTTAAATCGATTCCATAACCATTTATCTGTAAAATCACACAGTGAGATTATCCTGAATTTTTTCATATTCTGACCAAAAATGGTGGTCGAATTGTTTTTCCCCAAAATAATGTATTACCTAAAAACACACACCTTCATCTTTTGCAAGAGATGTACAAGCAAGCCATTGCCACAACCAATATCACAGAATCTCTGTGGTAAGAAACCTTTTTGCCGCCAGTAGGCCTGAAATTCATTTTTCTAGCAATTCTTAAAATTGGGTTTATTTCTGTCGTATTTAACAGAAAAACTTCTAACTTACAATTAGATAAGCTGCAATAGCACAGTCTTCATAAACAAATTTCTGTGGATTCGTTCTTTCTGTCCAGGTCTAAAAACAATCAATTCAATAAGTAGAGCTAATTTTGAAAAAAAAAAAAAAAACAAAAAGCACCCACTACTCAGCGGTTCGGATATATCAGTATGTTGTACCGAACGATTATTCAATGTTGGCAATTACTGCAATTTCAACCATCACAAAACCGAAAAACTTACTGCTGCAATTTTCTGGCCCCATTTATTTTTGATTTCACAATAGAACTGGGAATAATCTTCCATGTTAACTAATCTGTGCGAAACTATGTTATTCCTCTGCACATCGGTTTCAGCAAACCATCTAAAAGAACAGAATAGTGAAATTTTTGGAACGAAATCAAGATCCGAAATCTCAAAAAACTCACTTTAATAAACGCGGAAATGCGATTTTCTGCAGCCAAACATAATTATTCTCATCGTTAGGGACGAAGAGACTTAGATTCCTGGAAAAAAACGTAATACTAATAAATAACTGAATAAAATACTCATCCTTATAAATAAGAAAACTAAGAGCAATGACATATAACCATTCAAACGACGTACCATTGTTGATCTGAGACTTCTTCCAAAGCAAGACGATATGGAAATGAAACATGAGGATGTCGCTTCTTGTCCAATACAGAAGGCCGAAATTCCACAACATGATTACCTAAACTGTACGATCTTAATTACTAGTTGATGTAAGCGGTTTCAAGGCATTCAGTTAACATGCTTACAAGAAGGTTCCGATAACTCTACATAATTTCAATTTGAATCTCAAAATTCCAATAATTCATTTTTAAAAGCGATAAATTTCACCCGAACTCAGCTTACTCTCAGTAAAGGCATATTTTAAAAGCAAAACGAATCTAACCAAAAAGAAGCTTCATATGCACAAGTCGAAAAAATGTCAGGCGATTTAGGAATGAATTTACGAATTTCAGCATTTTTTGGAAATATGTTAAGGATAGTTAATATATGTCCAAGCTTAGAATCCCATTCATCCATTGACACGACGCTTAATAAACGTTTGTTGACTAAATGACAACGTTCTTTCCACAAGTAGATGACCTGAAAAGTTGATGTATCGACGCATTATTAAATGAGAAGATGAAAAGATGAAAAATTAGCAATAATCAGACTAATAATGATTTAGTTTTACAGAAATGATCATGAATCATAAACCTATGACATTCAGGAAATTGAATCTTAAAGCAATTTCAATCTTGCTAAGATTTAACTTAGTCTCGGAAAACGAGACTCATAAATACAAACCTTTGAAAAAGCTTCCCGTACGTCGAACTTGAGCGGTATTGACAATGGAGCTGTGGCAATCTTTGTAAAATCCATCTCAAACAGCCTGCAAAACAAGGGTAATTTCAATCAGTTATATCATACCATCATTGCCTGCGAAAACTCAGTCCCTTTCTAAGCCTGAAATATAGCCATACAGCAATTTGCAAGTTATTGAAGAAAGCCAAACATTGAATCTGGCATAGTTTAAAAACTGTAAACATTTCTTAAGTCAGTTTTAACAATTTTAAAAGAACGCAAGTAAAAGAAAGCTTTATGCAAATTCACAATATCCACACGAGACAAATTACTAACATTACTGAGTACATATTCTTTTCGAAGCAGCATTTCGCCAAACTAAAAGGATCATTAAATTTTTTCTGTAAGAAAAAAATCTTAAATATCCAAAGTTGTTCATAAATACGAAATCTTACAATTTTTTCGTTAAAGAAATTGAAAAAATAGAAACAAAAATTGAAAAATTATAAAAAAAGCTTTTTTACAACCACAGCGACGGTAAAGATATCCAGCATAGATGACAATCAGCGGAAAAATATAACAATAATCATGATCGCAACAAGGAACTTTCATTACTACTAACTTTATCAGCTACCATATCGAGTATCAAGATCGACTATTGAACGGTTCGCCCGGTGTAGAATAACGCCCGACAACATCGGAAGGTACAGTTATATTACCGTGCGGCAGTGGAATCCATTGTGATGCTCCAGTTCCTACAGGATGCCTCGAAAGATGTGAACCTGAAAAACCAGCAAAGTTTGAATTCCGATGAAAACAAGAACTTGTCTCTTCCTCACTTATCAAAATATTTTGGAAAATACTGCTTATTTTGCACTTATTTATTTGTTGACATAATAAATTCACTAACCAACCCCTCCTCACTGCAACACATCTTTCTCAAAAGTGATTGCTTAACTGGTTTTCTAAAATCGGAATAATGAATGACGCTACCTGCAAACGCACTATACTGCTTGTGCTTCTGATGCTGTGGTCCATAGCCAGCAAGGTGTGAAGCACTATCTTCCTGGAATTGCTCATTAGGTAAAAGAGGCACCCAACTGGAGCTTGATGGCGTGGGATCTTCAGCAATTACTCCTAATGATACAGCAGAAGGTGGTGGCGGTGGAGGCGGACGTAGCAAAGCTAATTCAGTAGCATAATTTTCACGCAACTTTCGATCCAAATGACGTCTTTTTCTTCCTGCTTCTTCTTGAAGTTCTTCCTGAATTCGCGCTTCACAAACTGCTCGAACACGTTCCATTTGTTCCGCTTTTTTGAGATCTTCTCGTCTAATCACTTTTCGAATGAAGACAGGGTAACCACTGACGCAATGCTCTCCGATATTTATACAGCTATTACACGATTCAATTTCGTCAAATGTAACATACGCAAAATATAACGGCTTCTGAAATCAACCAGTAGCTGAACAACTTTGGTATGCCATTGACATTGTTTCACAACTTCATGCTGCAGACTTCACTTTTTCAGTGTTGGATTTTCTACAGCACAGTAATCGTTCCAATACCCACAATCTTTTAACTGCTATCTTAAATATAATACTAAAATCGAAGTACCAAGCATTTGCTATGGACTTTTTAATATTTTCGGCAGTGTTCAGATTTGAACTAAAGCAGAACCTCATTTAGTGTATCCACTGCATAATCGAATTGAGCTGCACCAAATCTTGAAAAATATTCTTCGACTTCATCGACTATAAGTCCTGCACCAAGGAATGACACTAGAATTTTTCGTGTATTGACATACTTGACAATCGGATTTGAAGATACCTAAATATCTTATTTAATGAAATAATGAACATATGCAAAACCTTTTAGAAATAGAACGAAATCAACCTTAATGACAGATCTTTAAATACGTGTTGGTAATAAGTGTCAGAGATGCAGAAAAACTACAGGATTAAATGAACTGACTAACGCCTTTGATTGGGCGCATTTCAATTTGTACACCATCTATTGAATGTGGTTGCGCTTCAAGGCATTGTTCACAGTGATGATCCCAAACAAAGCAAATAAATCCGTATCCTCGAGAACGCCTCGTATTCTGAAAATAAACCGAGTTTCAAAATCAAATACGAAATGAATAAAAGTCATAGAAATTAGTCTAATTCTTAATTAAACAGTTCACTTACCAAACCAGAAAAAAAAACAATAAGTAAGCAAACTGCATAAGTAACTTTGTTGCCAATGATACAATTAAAACATTACTGAATATATAAATGAAATAAACGAAGCACCTTGTCAAACATGACAATGCATTCGGAAAGTGGACCCCATCTCGTAAAAAATCGTTCAATGTCACTTGTCGACGTCTTCAGATTCAATCTCTCTAGTAATATCCTCCTTTCCTCCGGTACAATCGACATCTGAAATCCTATTCTCACAGTTATTTAAATTTAAACTAAATAGCAATACTGCCCACGAATGTTTTTTATCATGTAGTAATTGACAAGGAAATTACCATATGCAAAGAGCCAAGATAAGAATGTTCTCACATTAAAATAATAAATATATACTCTATCATGTCAATTTAATATCTCTGGGATTTAATCAAAGCGTGAAGATATCACAGAAAGGAGAAAATCCTAGCAAATAAAGCAACAAAACTAAAGGCTAACGTCTATATATCATTTCCCGCATATTTTAAAATGATTTCAAGAAAAATGACATTTCGACTTTGAAAAATCAAAAAATCACCATGCCTTGGTTAAAGAACCTGTAGCATCAAGCAGTTGAGGTAGATTATCACGTGGTGTGGAAGCCGCCAAAGTTATACGGATACAAAGGAATAAATATGCTAGATTTCTGAAAAAAATGTCTGATATATCATTCTTGATATGTCTGATATACTGATATACTGATACTTTTCACTGAAGGTGAGATATTATTCACTTTCTGAAAAACTATTCCTGATAGAATTTTTAGTGAATCAGACATATCAAGAGAATGACGTGAATAATATCTCACCTTCCGTGAAAAGTAAAACATACATACAAAACAACAGTGAATGATATCGATTGCAGAGTAATTTTGCGCTGCGAAAGATGAATTAATACAAAAAGGAATGCCTGATATATGGTATGTTGCATTGGTTGGTTGACTATGGGACTTGTGCCGCCCGTTTGTGAACATTTTTATGAAGCATTGTTATATGTGTTTCGGTGTGTTGTGTGTGCGGTTTTAGGGGCGTTTTTTCGATATTTGGAAAGTAGAGGATTGTTTGGGATAATTACCAAATGGTTCTTTTGGAAGATCTCGGTAGTGGATACTGGTTTTTTAGAATGATCCAGCAGTTAGTAGTGGAAAATTTGTTTGTTGTAAAAGAATTGAAGATGGCAAAGCGGAAGATTGCTGGAGGGATGGAGTAAAAAATAGTATTGATTGAGAGGAAGATTGAGAGCGAACGGGAAGAGCGGCGTTTCACTAGCTCATGATGGTAATTCTCAAGAAATACCCTCGTAACAGGCAAAGTGTATGCATCGTATATGACTCGGGTTGAATCAGAGATGGATCTTGATCATAAAGTATCATAATGGATATTGATAGAAAAAGAGAGGTTTTAAGCAAAAAAAATTGTTGAAATTACCAATCTGTTACGTCAAAGCTAACCTATTACGTCAAAGCCAATTTGTTACTTCAAATAATTTATGCTGTCAAATATGGCAACAAAAGTGCAGTGTGGAATGAATTGTTAACAAAAACGCCAGTTGAAACTACATGATTATAAAAGCGCCTATTATTGCATTGCCAGTATTTTTGTTTTTGTCAAATAGTTGAATAGAATACAACAGAAATTTCAGTTCTTGATGGGATACACAAATATCACGACTCGTAGGAATATTAACGTTAGCCGAATGCTTTGAGTGAAAGAGGTTAAATTTTCTAGCTAACTGGCCTGCTGAGAATGATTGGCCATAAAAAAGATGGTCTTACTTGCTTTTGTAAATGGATTCTGGATGTTATATCATGGATGTTATATAACTTTGTGGACCAAGGAATGGTATCTGTTTTGAAAGGTAGACAGAAGTTACAGCTGGAAAAAATCTAGGGGGAGGGGGAGGCGGCGGATGAATAATTTGTTCGAAGGACTTGAGGTTTCTCTCCAGTTAGTCTTCCGGTTTCCTGCGTTTCGAGTCCGGTGCTGGTTCCTAGAATTAACTAACTGTCATAATATCTTGTTGGTTGTCAGAAATTATGATGCATAGGTTTTTCTCCGAAAGAAGAAAAGTAGGCTATATTTGGAGAAAGAACTTGACAAATTTATTTTCATCTTTTTCAGGAATTCTGAGCGGTTGTGTTCTTTAATAAGAGGTTTTATCATAGTGGCTCAACCGATCATTGAAGTTCTGGGGGATTTACTTCTAAGGGTATTATCATTTAAAAGAGAATCTGTACAGCAGCATCACGACATTTCGGGACATCATTTTAGTAAGTGAAGTTTTTTTATGTTTTCACATGAATTTAATGTGAACGAATTTGAATCAAATGTATGGAATTTATCCGCAATTCTCGTTCTTGATAGAATTCGGTGACTGTGTATGAAGAAGCTGAACAAAATTCATAGTGGAGTTTCCAGTAACGTGGCATCGGAAAAAATGAAACTTCCTTCTGTTTTTTTCATTTCCCTGTTGAAGAAATTAGGAACAGGCATTTATTTCAAGAAGTTTGATAATTTAGAATCGGGTGAAAAAGTAGTTTATGAAGTTAGGGATGTGGTCATTGGTGGTTTAGAAAAGGAGAAAAAAAATGAAAGGATGGGAACGTAGAAAAAAAATGAAGGGGTGGAAACGGGGAGTTTTTCAGATGGAGATTTACTTCCTGTTGCAAAAATATATATTCGGGGTAATATCAGCAAGCAGCTATGTCTCTCTTGGTGGTTCTAACAACAAGCCTCAATAATCTCGCTCAAAGGTTTTTCAGGAGGTGTATGTGCAATGTTTAAGTTTAACTTTCCTATCCAACTCTGATTAAAGTGTATTTTTTAAAATTATGTATCAGAGTAGTACTAATCCAGTTAATGGAGGGATGTAGAGTATGTAGAGATGCTCGATTTTTGAGATGAAAATAGCAAACAGAAGAGCATTTGCATTCTTCATTGTGTGGAGTAGTAATTTATTATGTTTTTTTGTTAGATCCTGAAATTTCATACTGTGCAAGCAACTCTCGTGAGGAATTTTCCATTTGGCTCTTGAGTAAAAGCATTTTTATTCCATTCGAAAACCTGTTTATATGTAAATGACTAATAAGCATTGTCATTCATGTCGATTGTCCTTCTAGAAGTCTCCGAGATCAAGGCATGCGATAGAAAATGTTCTTGAAAGAATTCATGTTTTGACGTCAAATATAGTTCATTCCTATTCTCCAACTTTTTTCAGACAATTCGTGGAAATGTCAAAACGTTCATCACCGGGGAGTGATGACGACTCTCCTGGTGCAGATGAACCACTTTATAATAAACGAAGACTTGTTGAATTTGAACCCATTCGCATCTGTTCAGTCAGCGGGACGGTAAATTTTCACTTGTTTTCTCAAATTTTATGAAGATGTTCTGAATTATAAAAAACTACGCACTTGAAATCTAGAAATTTCTCTGTATCCAAAATTTGATAATTTAATAACTGCATTTCGTGTAGAAGTTTCTCATTTCTCTTTCTTCGAAAATAAGATTGCAAGGCAATGCTACTTTTTTTTAAATAACTATATGTAGTTATTCCGTACTATTTTATTTTTTGTTTTAGCATATTTCAATATGAAATAGCGCCATTTGTGCACTGTAGAACACTTTCAATTTTTTAGAGTGATATCGATGCAAAAGTTTTGGCGGTTCAGCATTGCAAGTTATCTGAACGTTTTCATCTCAAGGAACGTCAGACGACACAATTACAGCATCGCGTCGAACAGTTAGAAAGTAGACAAGCTCAGGATGATGCGATGATGTGCACTATTAACCGTTTCTGGAATCTAGTAAGTTGCAATTATCGAATTTATAGATGCTTTCATTGTGGAGTATGTTTATGCATCGTATGTTACGTACCACTGGGAGTGAAAGCCTCTCAGTTATTATAAAAGTCAGTACAGTAGAGTCAGCTTATTGAAATCTGGTGATCTTCTAATTCAAGTTAAATTGCAATTTTTGTAAATAAAAATATAATCAGGAATAATTGATTTCCAGTTCGATGAAAATGTTAGGACGTTGCTGCAAAGGTTCGATGCCGAAACAGCGGTGGAAGGTGAGATCAAAAGTAAGTATTTACTGGTTTTCACGGTTTTTCAGTCATAAAATTCAGGAATTTAATGTTTGGAAACTTAGAGAGCGGTAGGCTTGTGATCGAAGGTCAAAAAAAAACATGTAGTATATAACTTAGCTTCTTAGAACGCAACTGGTTATCGATCTTTTAGTGGTGATCACCCGATTCGTATGGATCGATTTCACACATTTAGATTTTGAGTCTAGATCTTCTGGTATTTGATATGGTAGTTTTCATTTCTCAGGCTGGGTTAATAATAATAATATCATGTAAAATCATGTAACTCTAGTGTTTATAAAATTCAGCAATTTTTAAGTAGAATATATGTTTCAGTGGAATGTGAAGAAACTAAAAGTTTCCTTGCAAAACTAGCTCATTGGGACGATGGAGAGACTGAAGAAAAATTGAAGCAACGGGTAGAATTCAGGTCGGTAATGAATCTATTTGTTGATATCACCAACTAATTTTTCAAACTCTTTAAAGTTATTAGTCATCATGATCCATCTGTTTTCTGCGCTTTTAACCATGTGATATGAATATCTTTATTACCCTTCCTAATAACGTGGTAGCGGAAGTGATTCGGCTTCTATTTAATGTTTGGTTTTAAATCTTCCTTTACAGTAGTTTGTTAAAGATTACATGGATTCAAAGATATGTATTTGAAAATGTAGGTTATGACTTCCAACAATCGAATATTGATAAGACGTGTTAATATTGCAGTCGTCGAGCAATATCGAAACTGATTCAAGTGTTTGATCATATTACACAAAGAAATGGAAAAATTGCAGAAATGATAGCATCTTGTTCAACAACAGATGAGAGTCCAAATGACGGTGCTTTCTGATTTATTGATTTTTCTGATTTTCTGTGGAAATTCAGACTTTTTGCTGATTTTTCTACTGCTTGTCTTAATTATGTCTCTTATTAAATAACGCGGGATTAAATGCAGACTGCTTTAATGTACATGGAAGGAGCGCACATCCTGAGAAAGAGAAACAAAAAAGAAATTTATCGGGCGTATTAATAAATTATTCACTAAAGTTTTAATCTAGTTTTACAGTTGTTCTCACTTTCCTTTTCGCACAGGTGCTTCTACATCCGATGGAAGACCAACTGTAAATGCCATGTTGGTAAAAAGGAATACCGAGTTAAATGAAGAAAACATAAAACTGCAAAAAATGATTACGAAATTGCAGTCAGAAAACCACAGTCTTTCATCCAAAGTATATCTTCGCGTTGTTAGATTTCTCATTATTCATTGATATTTAATAAGTTCATGCAAGTTCTGCTTCCGTATTTTGAATAGAAATTTCGGTTAATGTTTAGGTGTCAGCTCAAGAAGATAAATTGACGATAATAGACACTCGTAAACAAGAAATGGATAACAGTTTGGAAGAGATGAAGTATGAGTTGGAAAAAGCAATGCGTCGCGAGTACAAACTTGATTTTCGTCTTGCGGAGGTTTACTTACTACTTAATACTGTAATAGTCACTGTGAATTTTTTCTCGGGGTTTTGAAATCTGTTTCCTCTGCAAAATCTGTGATTTAGTTATTTGAACTTTTCTAATATTGAAGCAGTATTTGAATTGAGAAATTTTTTACTGACCTGAAATTATTTGCAGTATGTGAAGAAAACACACGATCTGGAAATGAATTTGATGAAAGCATCAGCAGCGAATGGTCCAAATAATACAAATAATACGAAACCAGATTCATCCCCAACAGCCAGTGTGAATAAATCAAAAGTAAGGTCATGCTGACTCATTATGAATTACAGTTTAATTTCCAAGTAATGGTTGGAGATAATGGGCGAACTTTTGAATTAATGGAGAAAATGCTAAAAATTTCGTTTCGATTTCGTTCATTAGTTTAAGCTTATACTTTTTTTCGGAAGCACGAACGCACGTATATATTATTAACCTTAAAAACCAAAATTTTCTGATAGTGATGCTGCTGCTGAATAATAGCTGCATTTTACTGCAACAAACTGAGTTATATTTTGGTTAATTTCGCATTTCGTCTTCCTTACTTTTTTATATGTTTTGTTAGAAGTCCAAATCCTTTTTCTGATTCTAGCTGGAAGAACTGGAGCAAAATCTGGAAATTCAAACCGAATTGGCTGCTTCTCGCTTACAGGAATTGCAAGAAATGTTGGATAAGAATAAGAATCTGACGAAGCAAGTTGAAAATTTAAAAATGAATGTGAGTTTCATAATGATTATTATCGAAGTTTCATTCATGGAACCCGTAGTTAAGAGTGTAATTTGAAAATCGCTTTTTTCAGTTAAAGAACATTCCCACAGAAGTCATTAGGACGTCTATTGAATATACTACTCTACAGTCGCAGTTCTCTTCACTTTTTACAGAAGCAAATCAGATGAGGTAAGTTATCGTTAACATGGTTCATAAATATTTTTGATTCTTCAAAATTCCGTTATTGACAGAATTATATCAATAATGTTGCTTGATGTTATTGGCTGTTCTATAGAACGAATATGTATCACACTGCATAAAATACACTAGAGGGAAATTGGCTTTTGCATATGTAGTGAAAATGGTATTTTATGTATGTAAAACATTCATGAAATTTAGGACAGCATACTGAAACTATTGCATTGTAAATTTAAGCAAACTGTTTTAAGGCAACAAATTGAAACGGCGAAGTCGCAGTTGGCTGCCTTACGTAGCGCTCATTTTAAGCAGATCGAAGTTATGGAGGTTTGTTAAGTTTATATCATGGATAATTCCTGTAACTGAATGTAGACGTTATTAGGAATTTTCATTATAAGCTTTGGTGATTAGAAACCACTAATTTGAATGATAGAAATTATTCAGATTCTGCTTGCAGAGTGAGGAGTGTCAGGCTCGCGAACAAATGCAAGATACAATGAATAGGCATGAAGAAGAATTGTATCAAGTTCGAAGGGAGTATGAAATGTTACGCTTGGAGTTCGAACAGAATCTTTCTGCTAATGAGCAATCAGGTGTGTCTTTTCATACAAGTTCTGATGACATTTTATAAGTCATTCCTAAGCACAGGCTGGAATAAGCCCTGTTTCAGGCCCACTGAATAAAGAAATTCGTCTGATGCTTGCATCAGCAAAAGCTGAAAATCAGCAATTGAAACAAGAAGCAAGTCGTTTCAAGAGGAAGTGGAGGGAAGCTGTTTCTTCATTAGCCAAAGTGAGTTATATTAGTTCAGGGAAAATGATTTGTTTGGGAGCAGGATAGTGATGTTTTGCAACCATGTAAGTTTTTATGAAAACTTGATTTTATTATTTCATTTTCAGTGCAATAAAGAGTTAGAAAGCGAGAGACGTTATCGTGAAAGATGTTTGCTGATTGAAATAGAAGATGATAACGATGCTTTGGCATCACCGGATCAGGATAGAAATACTACGGAGCCTTCAGAGTCAATATTGCATGATGGTGGAAGCTGTGAATACAGCAATGAAATTGATGGTGATAACGATGTTGGAACACATCCGAATAGAGTTGTACAGTTAGTTTAATTTTTCAAGCATTAATTCATTATTGATTAATCTCTTAAATGATTGATTAGGTGATTAATAATTAATATGTTGTGTTTTTTATCAATCTCGCTTGGCAGGTTACAAATATCTCAATTCTCCTAAGTAGATTACAGATTTGTTCAAGGCTTTCTCCAATTTCTTTAATTATATAGGCAGGCCAATGGACTTTTCTGCTCCTATTTCAGGAAGCTAAAGAAAAAAGTTGCGGATTTGCAGTTGAAAATAGATGCTCTAAATGCACTAACAGCTGAACAAAGGGAACGAGTTGAGGTAACTTTTTCTGAAATGGAAAAGGAAAGAATTTATCAATAATGATCAGTACATCAATCGCAACATTTTTTTGAGAATTGGATTTGATGAAAAGAATACCATACTAGCGTGTTTCTATAGATCAGTGTTTCTGTATAAATTTATATATTACAGCTGTTGGCGCGAGAAAGAAGGCTGAAACTTGAAAATGATAAGCTGCAGCTTCATATTAAAAAACTTGTTGGCGCCGATCATAGAGAGAAAATGAAATATTATTCGGACGAAGCGCAAAGAAAAATCAGGCTGGGTTTTTTATTCCAATTTATTTCCTGTGGGTTGAAAATTTCTTCATATCGTCGACATTAATATAACACAATAGTTGATATAATGTTCACAGTTTTTTTTCAGTGTACACTTGTTCTTGTAAGTATTAAATCTAAGGGTTCATTTTTCTTTATAGAAGTCTAGAAGAAACAGCAGATCGCCTTCGTAAGGAAGCTCATTCCGCGAGGCAAGAAGAAGAAGGTCTCATGAACGATGTTGAAACTACGGGTCAGGCATTTGAAGAAATGCAGGAACAGAATACTAGATTACTACAGCAACTTAGGGAAAAGGTATTCTTTTAGTTCTGAAATATTAATGTATATTAATGTTTCGTGTTTTTTGTTTAATGTTCTTGTTTAACGTACTAAAAACCGAAAGTAAGATGAGAATGAAATGACCTGCTTTTGTTTCCTTATTAATTTGTAATGTTCCAAAATTTTTACTTGAAAGCTGATGAATTCTACTACAGATTTTCTTTTATTTATAGGATGATGCGAACTTAAAACTGATGGCTGAACGAATACGTGCCAATCAATATCAAAAAAAGATGAGTGAAGAAAGAGAGCGCACAGAAGAACGTATTACTAGTTTGCAGAATCAAATCGAAGCTCAGCAACTCATGATATCAAAATTGGAGGAGACGGAAAAGCTTCTGAGGCAGAAAAACTCTCATTTAGAGCACCAATTGAGGTTGGTGAATTTATATATTTTAGTTTTACTTTGTTTCAGAAATCCGTAACGTTTTTGATATTGAATCATAAGATTTATAAAATGAAAGGTTCAAAATGTCGTGAGCAAATTCTTTGGATATGAGTTAACTTATAAATAGATGAGGGTTTGGCATTTAGAGTCATTTTAATTAGTTAGATGTTCAGGTAAGTATACTTCATAAATAGGAATATTTATCGATTTATTCAGGACTTCATCATAGACTGGAGTTCCTTTTAAATTTCGATCCAGTTTTTATTGAATTTAGATTGATCGAGCAAGCTAATGATATGCATAAAAGGAAAGCAATCGAATGTTCACAGACATCGGCTGATTACAAGGCTCAGTTGGAGAAGTGCAACAGCCAGCTTAATGATGCACAGCAGGTTTCATTTTCTTCATATATGCATATATAACATTTCAGACTTTGACCTCAGCCTAAGCATAGAAAAATATCCAGTGGCTTATATGATTTGTTCAAAAATAGAAACAACAGATTTTTCAGGCCGTGACAACAAAAACTTCACAACAAGAGGTAGATTCGTTCAAAATAAAGCGTTTGGAAGAAGAGAAAAGTATCCTGAGAAAGAAATTAGAACGGACAAAGAAGATGGAAAAAATGGAGAATTGGGATGAAGTGCTGAATGAAGAAATTAGGGAACTCAAGGTTTAATTTGTTTTGCTTATATTTTTCTGTTGTTATATTTGATTTTTTTCAACGAGATGAATAACAATTTGATCATTTGTTTGCAACTATCAGAATTTGTGAAAATGGGATTAATACTTGCACTCCCTTGTTATTTTATTAAGAAAAGTGTAAAAAATGATGGAATTTCAAAAATTATTTCCTTTCATGTGTTCCTGATAGTGAAGCAACTTAATTTAAGCTAAGCGATCATTTCCATGGTCATTAAATACATGAATAAGTACGAAACTGTTATGTTTGATCATTATTGTGAACTTTTTCGATAAAATCACATTTTTACAGGATATTTTGACTTGCCCATCGTGTAAAGTGCGGAGAAAAGATGCCGTACTAACGAAATGCTTCCATGTGTTTTGTATGGAATGTATGAAGACACGTTATGAGACAAGAAGACGTAAATGTCCGAAATGTAATGCTGCATTTGGTGCGAACGATTATCGTCGGATGTATTTCACATAGTAGGAGATTATATTTTCTTTTTTGTTTCTCGAATTCATTTATCGATTAAATGAATTTTAAATTATTTGTTATGTTCTAACTGTCGTACTGGACTTTTAGCTTTGGGTTTTATTAACCATGAAAATTTTCTTTGTGCAGTATTTTTCAGTGTATGCATCAATCTTTTTGTATTTGAAGACTTGAGAAGTGTAAAGTGATAGAATTTTTTGAGATTTCTTCCGTAACACTTTCGACATTTGATCGAATTACAAATTTCAATTCTCTTTTCTTTCAATTGCATCACTTTCATCTTGCACGATAGAAATTACCGATCAGTTTTTTGTCGGTCTGCTTATATGCTTCATTTTCATTGTGTGATGCTTTTCTTTATGGTTGTTTATCATTTTTCTTCACATGCAAACATGAGTATGAATCCAACATGGGATAAACTTGGATTTAATCCTGAGTACACAAATTTACTGTATTTTTTGGTATATATTGTATACCACTTACTATTTGTATTTGCAACTGCTTTCCTTAAAGGTTTTGATGCTACTTTGTGGCGGCCAATTTGATGAAACATAAATTATTGATGAAATTGCTGATTCATTTACCGGTAAAATGTGTATTGTTATTCTCCTTCTGATATACTCTTGCGATGTGTTTTACTTCTTAATATTTTCTTTGCTTAAACCGTTTGTCTGTAATATAGAATTTGTATTACGGCAGTGAATGTTTCGAAACACTTCCGCACTCGTATATGTGATTTTTGGTATGTTTATGTCATTAATATGAAATATTTTTTGTCTTTTTCGCAATTGTGCGCATATTCACAGCCACTGATGGACAGCTTTCAGTTATATGTTCCATCGTCAGCTATGTATTTTGCCTACTAATGCTTTGCTGGTGCAACCTTTAAGTGAACCTGGTCTTATGGTAGAAATGAATGCAGGATATATAAATTAGGAATGGTGGGTAATTCCCGATATGAGATCCCGCATACTATTCATTGATGATTTGTTCTAGTCAAGCCTGTCGGATCATTAATTTAAGTGATCTTAATCATATACTACTATGCCAGATCGATGATCTTCGATATAGTTGTACATTGGGCCTGAGATTTTCGATTCATTTCAGAAATTGCTTGTAGCGGGGACTTTAAAGTATGTTGATCATCGTGGGATCACTGCGAGATTTCCATACAAACGTAATACTCTCTTGCTAGCTACTAATTTATGGACTTACATGATTCAAGCGCCACAAGTTTTTATCAAATTCTAGATTTTAAGAAATTTCCGGGCGTTGCCATAGTTCTTTCCTATTCATAAGCTTCGCTTTTAATTGCAGAGATAAAAGTCTCGATTTGGAGAGCTTTCTTGTAATAATTTTTATACGACTTCCATGTTTTTTAGTCTTTTTAAATGCGAACTTCAAGAAAGTTTGGTTATTTTGGCAGCCGTTCTCACTAGATCACCAGTCGTCTATCAGTTTTTTCGTAGCTTTGTTATTGATTCGAATGCAGAATTTAAACTAACAAAATTTTTCATTCCCATGTACTTGAGATTTATAATCGTTAATTTGTAATGCATACGAGAAAAACCAGTTTCTCGAACTTCATGTGTTTCGATTAGTCCTACCAAAACATAAAAGAAATTTGAGGATGAATGTCTATCAGTTTAATCTAATATTTTGAAATTAAAAGTCACAGGATGTATTAAGTGCTTATGGAATCTAAAATGTCCCTTAATTTAAAATCGGAGATTCTTTTACACTCAGTTTATGACCTTTGGGTTGTTAGCTATTAGTTCTCTTCTCTGTTAACTAAATTGATTTTATTGTGGAAATGGACTACACCAATATGCAGCATGTTTACAATTTTATGGATAATTTATTTGGAATTTAATTTAATTCCATTCAGTAGTAGTACATACAAGAGTGAAGTAATCTTGCACTAAAAAATATTCAACTTCTATTCCCAGCTTTTCAATATTTTCAAATTTCTACGCTCAGAAAGTCTGAATGAGAATAACCTCACTTCATCCTCTTAGATCGCTGTTGTGCTCGATTTATCGAAGGAAGTTGCTGATAGGGGATTGAATTCCAAAATTTATGTTAGCATTCGCAGACGATTTAAAGGAACTTATATTTTATATTTAGAGCTCGAAAACTCCATACTACATTTCCAATTATAGGAAGACTGTTGTCACACTTATGGCCTTATGGCGGTAACTGGCATTGGTCCTTCAAGAATTAGAAAAGTGTTTATTAACTGTGAAAATTTTCTCAAGAAACTACGGTATGCGACCTGGAGTACATGTTTGTTTGGAAGTAATAAAATTTACGATGCTAAAGCATTTCTGGTTCCTCTCGGTACTGAGATATAATAAATTAGTGAGTATTTCGTTACGGTATAATTTTTCTTTATAAACGACCTCCTCAAATTAGAGACTTTAGTTTTCTGCAACAATCTCCTCAATAATGAGAAAAATGATAAGGCTTCAGCTTGTCTCAAAATGGATTAGATTTCACGAAGTTTTTTTATTTATCAAGTCCACAGTGTTGAATGCAATTTCAGGGATCCATTTCTCATTCCTTCACATTTACTTGAAGTCTGGGAAGCTACATCTTACTCGCTGAGATTTGTTGTGTAAATTATGTAACTGCATCGACATAGATTTTTGATCACCACAGGGTCTTTCCTCTACTATTTTTTTGAAGATAACATAATCAGAAAAATTTCTAAAATAATGGTAAATTGAGTTGAGGTGCAATATTGTTTACCGTCAAGTTGACACTCTAATCTAAGGCTGGTAATTGAAAAAATTCTAATTCATTTGCAGTCTCGACTGTAAGAAGTATTATTATCATTTTAATCTTCCACGGAACATCAAGTAAGTGGCAGGTTGCTGACTTTCTAACAAAATCGATGGCTCTGAGTTTTTTTGAATTCATATTCCACCAGTGATCACACAAGGCGCCAGTCTTACTGCTGATTGATATCTAAAAATTCACTAAATCTAAAATTCTTTTAGAAATATTATCTACTGCTGATTCTTAAAATTCTTAAAAATTCTTAAAATTATTAAAAAATATAAGATTTCTATTCTATTTTGTTGATTCTTGCCAATAGATTGTAACCCTTACGTGAAAATTTGGACAGGATTTAAAGGCAAGCACTATTATTGCCTTATTGAAGATTTCAAAAAAGAAAAAAGCTGAGCAGAACAATAACCTTCGAAAGGTTCAATTCATGTTATGTCTGGCAGCAAAGATGAGAAAGGACGATTCTTTCTAATTGATTTCACGAAAGGATGAGTTAAAAGTTTTGATACAGACCACCTGAAAAATACCATTAACAAACATGATTAACTATATATTTTGAAGGAATTGCATCTTCTCTGTATCAAATAATAATTATTATTCGATCTTCTCTTTTAACACAGTTATTTTATTTTTCAGAAAATAAAAAACGGGAATGCCTATCAAGTCCTCAAGATGGAGAGTGAAGAAATGTAATGTTATTTTACTTTCTTTTTATAAAGCAAGATTAAACTCCTGGATTAATAACAACCTATTTTCTGGCAGTAGTTTGAGACAGTTATTCGTTATAACATGTAATGATTCACTAAAACGTCGTCGCTGTCGAATTTGTTGATTACGTTCTATGTCTTCTGAAAGTAATAAGATTAATTCCTTATGTAATATGTTAAACCATATTGGCATGAAAAGTGATGATGATCAAAAATTAAAAAAATCTACCTTTATCTGGAAGAGTTGTGCAATCCAGTAACCGTGGTATCGTTCCTTTACTTTTTTCGAAAAGCATCTAAAAATATTCCTATAAAACTTATATAAGAATTGAATGATACAGTGAAAAAAAAAAATGCATTGAAGAGAGAGGAAGCAATTCAACAGCCACGAAAGCTTGATAAAATCGTACCTGTAATCGATCCATATCTGAAAAGGGTGGAAAACCGTTGGCCATTTCGCATATCGTTATTCCAATGCTGTACACATCAGATGGTAAACCATAACCATATAAATCCTAAGTCCAATATTTTTAGAACACAGGAAAAGAAAATGCCAGAGAAGGCAGAAAATCTTCAAAATTCGATAGCTTGCCGAAATAATTTTACACTGACATGTTATAGAGCTTTATGAAAGCAATGCACAGAAATAGACTTATTGGAACACCTAGTATCTTATATTTATTCACCTGTATGAAAGACCTTTCAACTCTCGACAAAAAAGTCATATTTTTAAATCTAGGGAGGCTTGCAGACGTACTTATTTTGAAGTGATTGCACATTCTGCAATTCCCGGGAAATTTTTTTTTTTTTGTATGCTTATTACATGGTCTAATAATGAAGATACTTTAAGAAAACAAATGAACACTTTTGGCCAAACTAATAAATCAGAATTCAGAAATCATAACTAGTATCAAATGAGGCTTTGTGTTTAAAACTTATCAATTTTCTCTCATGAATTTCTTTTCTATAGCTTTTCATCGTTAATTTAACATACTTGTTTCAATATTTCAGGTGCCAACCACAGCAATTCATCGGAAATTTCAGCATCGAAGTTATGCAGAACATCATCGGTACCAGTCAGCTCATTATGCCGCAAAAATACACAGTGGCGAAAGCCAGTCAATTTCACGACACCCGTTGAATGTAGTAAAATATGACTACATCGTATAGACCTAAAATTTATATTATTTTCAAGTTTAATCCAATTTTAGCGCTGTAAAATTCTTGGATTTAGCACTGTTAAACTCAGCATTTGTGGCAATTACTTCTCGAATGACCAAAAACTTCAACTTACCATTTGCAAACTCAAACTGAGAATGAAAAAAATATATCGAAGCACTAAACGACCAATTAATTATTCTACTTTCTGCACCATTACTTCACTACTATTTTATTATTAGCAAATGGTAACAGAATTTCGATGGGTGAAATCCCTAACAAACTCATATACATTCTTATAATAAAGTAGGAAACTAATCTATGAACGATTTTTTGATCGTGTAAATACTGTACGGCTAGCAAAAGATTTTTAAGAATTTGCGCAATAGCTTTTTCAGGCAGACCATATGGATAGTAATTATGCACCACATGTAAAACTGAACCTGAAAATATAATGAAAAAATGAAAGCAAGAGTAACCAAATCTATTCAAAAGAAGAAAATGATGACACAATCTAAGTGAATGTTAGATTCGAAATAGAATTTTTAACTTGTAACACTTGAAGCCCGAAGTACAACATATGCTAACGTTTCGCAATAAAAACGGTATGGACTTCTTTTAAAATTCATTCTGATCTCCAAAACCTCTGAACTCCTTGAAATTCTAAACTAAGGTCCATAGTATGGGAATATCATCTCTCCAGTGAGCCTTAATAAATATTCATTACTTATTTATAATAAAAAGTAAGGATTAAAATCATCACTCTCAGAAAAACAAACAGAGATCGCAAAAAGTTGAGAAGACGTAAACATCGCTTCCCACAGAAATTATCTGATTAATTGAAATAATACACGGATGGGACAACCATTTTAAAAACCATACTTCTTCCTGGAATAACCGTAATTGAAAGAAAAAGGATATTATATGGAGAACACGAATGAAAGCCAGAAACTCAATTTGTAATTTTAGATTTGGAGAAAAATTGCATAGTATTGTAAGCTTTAATCGACTTTATTTTTAATGGTACATGAATTTCCTTAAAACCGTGATGGTTTCTGGATCTTTACAGTAATTTTTTTTTTTTTTGAAAATAAAAGACTAACCTTTATCTTCTCATAATCCACCTTTTCGGTAGGTAATATCCGTAGAGCGGAAAGATTTTCATCAGGCAGTCGTTTTACAAGAAAGACATCGCTTAATCCGGAACATGCCTTACCTTAAAGAAAAATAATTCACTTCAATTTCATTCAAAAATCGAGTTTAACAGCATCAAAATTCAGAAAAAAATCTCATAAATATCTTTAAACATATTTCATAAACAATTTACCCAGATTTCCGCATATAGTAAAATCGGCCGGCGAGGACATCACTTCAAGATGCTTCAGCTATTTTTTAAAACATTAAATTATACTGAAAAGAACAGCTGGTGAATTTTGATTACAACTATCCAAACTATAAATACTAGCGTATTTCACTTCATTCTTAAGAAATCATCCTTGTGATACGTCAAAACTAATTCTATCAGTAATTGAATATGTTCCTTCATCTTTTTCAGCATCAAAAACTAAAAATATTTTGCATCATTTAAAAGCTAACTTCTCCCTACATGTTCTATATCATTCAATGAATAACGGATGACATTACAAAATTATTCTATCCATACCAAAAAATTATAACAGGAGTTATTAGATAAAGAAACAGTAATTTGATCGAGACCACAAGATCAAAGCACAATCAAAGAGTCTGAATAACAAATATCCATTTCATTCCTAAATATCGCAAACAAAAACCAATGAGATTTCGAAACAAATCATTTAATGCAATATAGAACAATAGAATCGCAATTTTTTACGACGATCCGTTATAAGCTACTGCAAATCTTCTTGGAGAAAGAACAAAAATCAATCATTCAGTATAAAAAGAAGCCTGTCTTTTGAATCCCAAAAATACTCCTATGTATAAGATCAACAAGTAAGACGAAGATAGTTTAAAGAGTCTTGAAATTTGGATTTAAAAATCATGACCAACTTAGAATCTACTCTTTTTTATGGATGTGATCATAATTTTGCAGATAAAATACATGAAAAATGGAATGCACAATACGATCAGCATAACTTTACAAAACAAAAAAATGAGCAATTCATCAATAAATAAGGTCGTTAGCAGCATACGGAATGTCGTGATCTCAGCTTTGTCAACTCTAAAAGCCCTTGACGACGACATGAAAGATATCTTTCAACACGAGTAAAATATTTTAATATAAAAGTATCCAGAGGTATTCAACCATAAACAATTCCATTCTAAATCACTGAAAACTGAAAAAAACATCTTGAACCCTGAATTTAGTCCTATTTATGTACAAATACATGCTACAAAGGCCTGTATGCTTAATGCCAATAAAACCCCGAACATTTGGTGAAAGCATCCATCAACAAATATTTACAAAGGTAATAAACATAACAATAACGATGCTATTCAATAATTAAGTAACAATAAAGCAATTCGTATAGAAAAAGAAACAGAATCAGTTCATATTGTATACACACGAAAATCACGATACCATGTTGTCTTAATCATTATTATTTTCTATTCCTCAGTTTCATGAGTGATTTTTATTTCCATTTAATATTTTTTATTGAGCTCCAAGTTTAGCTTCAAATGGTGGCGAAAGATCAATTTTGAAAGACGCAGACACCTTGTATTTTTCGTTAAACATCGCCATTTTTTAGTAAATTAAACTTGTAATTTTTTGATTATTGCCTTCACTTCCATAAAGCGTACTGCAATAATTGTTTCGTTGCTTTGTTTTATTTCGTTCAAAGTAATTAACGAAGTAATTAAAAGGAATTGAAATATAAAAAAGAAGACAATGTCCACTAAAAAATACATAATGCCTGTACCTTCAAAACTCACCTGTCGTCACTGAGAAAAGTTATTTAATCCCAGTTTGAGGCTTTAAAAAACAAATTACATGCAATGGTATTGTTCTTGAAGAATTATCTGCAAAATAATGCTCTAGGTCATTTTGTAGTTTTTGTTCAAAATTCAAAATTCTTGCTCGTTTGTCACATTCATTTCGCAAAACGGTGCTTTCAGATTTAAGAGAAATATTTCAATATTCTTATCAATTGCCTCCACCTCTCTTAGATACGTATGTTTTTTCAAAGGCTGAAATGAAACACTGTAAAAAACAAGCGCATAATAAGATGAAGTCAAGCAAAAGGTTATCGCGAATGTCAAACTTTCGAAAAATTAGAATAAATCGCTATAAACCATAATTTCATATTACCAGATTAGTAAATTAGATTTTAGAGATCTAAGAAAATTGCATGTAGGATATTAGATTATTAGGTCTTTTTGCATTGATTATTAGATAGTTTCGGATAGTTTTTGCGTAGTCAACAAATTATTTATACTTACAACGAAAGTCAATAGGCTAAATCATAAACAGAAATTAAGATTTCAACTTTGAAACGCTTCAAAATAGAAAATGTTAAAAATTTAAAGCCTTATAAATAATAAAGTTAACCTGAATTTTCTACTCGAAATATTCAATTCGTTTTTAATTTGCTGCTCATCGACTAGATCCTATATGATCTTTTCTGCGCACAACATTCATTCGTTCCTCTACATTAATAACTTCACCCTTCGTGTTAGTGACACTTTTTGAATCGTTTGGAGTTTCCGACGCTGGATAAATTTCCAGCGGTGACTGCTTCGCCACCATAATGGGATCCACTTTCTTTGTTAGAGGTACTAAATACTTTCATATGCATTAAAATCTTAAACTGTAAAATATTTTAGCAAGGAATGATTTTTTTCAAAAATATTCATCATATTAACTACAATAGTGATTTTTCAAAAAAAATTGAACTTACACTGTGACTGCTGAATACATGAAGTTCGTAAAGGCTGTTTGATGGTGTCCCTGATATGCACAATAGTACACGGTGCTTGGACAGAAGCGGAAATCGTACTACTCGTACTGGAAAGGACAGGACATACTGTTGGTAGTGCTGTCGATACGGGTGCCACTTTTACCGAATTGTTTCTGAAACATAAAAAACCTCTAATACGAAGATTTGACTAAAATTGCTAAATTTCTGATTGCAAATTTTTTTAAACCCTCAATGTGAATTTTTTTTTTAAACTCATTAAATGAAATGATAAAAAAATCCACTACAATTAAATCAATCATATTTTATGAGTTCAAAAAAATTGTTAAGAATCCACAATATTTGCTCCGTTGAGGAGGCAATCTGAAATGAAATAGGAGACAGCTGTAGCGAAGTTGTTGATATCACTTCTCTATCTTATAAAAAAACTAACTTTGCCACTGTATAAGTGACTAAGAAGTACTTGAGTTTTATTGAAAAAAAGCACACAATTGGGCTTGCAGTAATGTTAATGCAATATATTACTCGATTTCACTAGCTTTTCTATTCATAAAGGAAGAAACCTTTGCAAATCGTATTCATCGGCACTTTCATCAGCACCAGTATTTTCAGCATGCTGCAGATATTGCAAGCATCTGAAATGATACAAAAGTATAAAATAAAACATTTAGCAAAACTTGCTTTTATGCAGCCTGGGATTTGCTCGTCAAATTTGACGAACGGACCATAAACATGATCCAATTTAAACTTATTAAAATTCACAACTCACACAATGCAAATTTCATAACTCACACAGTCACTGAAAACAGACCTTTCTATATCATCAATTTGAAAAAAAAATTAAAAGAATTCATGCTAATATTGTCTTTTTTTGACTGCTCATGCTGATATTACCTTTTAAATTCCACGTTTTTTCCGAATGTTAATTTCTGGAAATTTCAAATTATAACATCTAAGAAAAGTTAGTTACGATCTCTGCTATAAAGTCGTTACAAAAATTAAATAAGGGAATGATACCTTTCCAAAATGTAACCAAATCTAGTTGGAGACATTTGTAAAGAAGGTGAAGATAATGGAAAATTTGGTGTGACACCAACGGGTAGACCAGCAGATCCAGGAACTCTAATTTTTAGCAGTGCGGCTACCGGCAATAACGGTGAAGAAACGGAGTAATTAATATCTGGTATCATTACTGGCACTAATGGAACCCGTGGCGCTGGAAGAGGTTGTGCTCGTGGTATCAAATTTCGAACTGAAAGAAAATAAAAAAGTAAATAACCTGCAATGACTCCTGAAGACGAATAATAGTTCCATATGGAGGAGGAAAGAGGATTTCAATGTTTCAAGATTAAGAGGAAAAGAAATGCTTTTATTCATTTAAACTTCGAATCAACAAATGAAATCGTTACGTTACATATACATGTTTTCTCGTTCGTTTGTTTGCTCAGTTACCTCACGTTTATGTCATAATACGACTGCGAAAACAAGCAAATTTATAATATAAATACTTTGTAAGTTTACAACCAACCGGATGATTCCTCTGTCCCAGCAAAACCATTATTTCCAACAGCTGATAATGGGCAAATTCGTGAGGCATTTGTCAACAGTGGTGGGAGTTCTGCCACTTGGAGTTGTGGGACTGCTGTGGGCGATGCAGCGTATGCTGGCATTCTCATAAAGATAACAGGTAAAGGATGTGATTGCATCTGCGGTATAGGAGCATGAAATCTATTTTTAGCAAGCGCGTTCGTACATTGCAAATTAGTAGGATAAACATAATCAGCTGCCATATTTCCCAGATTCGAAAAATTCCTAGAAATCAAGAAATTTAGCCATGAAATGTTTCCCTTTTGAAGTAATTGAAGTATCAGTTGACTTACCGAGAAAAACGTGTTTTATAATTGCGATCTCTGTGATGACATATACCAGAACGTATATATCTAGCTGTAGAAATTAATTTATCTATGCTCCTGAAAATTTTAGAAATCTTAACATAAAATAAGAGTCAAATAGATAAAATATACACGAAATTATGAAATAATGATAATGAGTGTCTATGTACATCAAAAAGTAATACTTATCTAGTTTTTTGATTTTTACAACTTTTGACAAAATAATCTGACTAAATGGAAAAAATTAAACACTACCTTGTCCGCATGAATTTAACGTATGCTTTTACTATAAATAACAAAGAATCGAACAAATCTATTGCCAATGTCCAATCTGGTAACTCTGAATAAAATCACATCACTTTAAAAGTTTGCTATTGCTATTGCAAGAGACGTTACAGTTGGTATGCAAATATTTAATCAAACCTCACAAATATACTGTTCTAAAATAATAAGTTCTAGAACAAAATGCTTTCAGCAAAAAATACTTTGCAAACAGCAACGCAATGTTACATAATAAAATGTGCATTACACATTTGTTTTGGTCAACTATGTTTCCAACATTTGATAAGCTTATTTATCTGACTAATTGTGGAAATTTACCATTTAAGTAATCAAAACTGGCGAAACGTTGAAAATGTTCGAATGTTCGAATAAGCATTTCCCGATCAGAACTTTGTTCTATTGCCGCCTTTAAGTCATTGATTTGTTGTTCGAAATCTTGCGTTGATTGGAGCTTAAAACAGTAAAATTAATTCAGTTCAAATTAAAATCGACACTAAAGAGTCATCAACATCTCTTGGCATCTCTTGGCATTGTGGTTTCTCAAAGAAGACTGCTAAAGTTAATGATGCATGAAACCAGAAATTATAAAAAAAAAATTGGTAAAAGAATTCTTATTTATAGCTCCTCAATCTAAATCTGACCCTTCTGTCAACTAAAAATTTCTGGAAAATTCCACTTCTGAAACAATTTCTAAACTTCAAATAATTTACTTTGTCGATAATGCTTTGCATGTGAGACCTATGATGCTGATCACCATACAGTAAAGCTGACCACTGATCTGGTGACATACGTAAACCTTGTTCGAAAGCTATTTGTACGATTTGAGTGTCATGCTCACGACGTAGTGCATCATAATCGCGAAACTGCGTTTTCAATTGCATCAGTGATGATTCACCTTCACGTTTTAATACCTTTAAAAGAAGAATTAATTTATTTTATCACTTTCTTAGTGTACAAAACGTTTACTATTAGAAAATTTATTACAACAGATGTTTTTAAAAATCGGAAATAAACTTTTAGCCAGAAAAAGTACATCAGGTCTCCATAAAGTTGTTCTATTCAAGTTTTGATAGTCTGAAAAGAAGGAATTGCAATATGCAAAATGCCAAATGATAAGTCAACTACAGGTAACTACAGGTTCAAAAAAATTCAATTGTTAAACATGCCTATATATGATAAACTGTTTCTAAACAGCTTACATTAAAGCAACTAGCTCGGTAAAGCAACTGCACAACATGGCCAATACACGTTTTCGAAGCTTGCGGATAATCTTCCCTTAATGCTTGCACAATATATAACACCAATGTTTTACGAGACATTAATGCACCTTCCGAAAGTATCAATAAGATGAGCTTCAGAACTTCTTCTTGCATTGCTCAAAATAAAATCTTATGGAAAAAGATAGTATGACAAAGGAAAAAATTGCCCACGTAATTTCAACAAGCTTATTATTTTGCAAATATACATACTATTTATTCTTGCACGCAACCCGTCTATTAGCTATCAACTAAAGTTTACTTTTAAAGTGTTCCTTTCATTAGAACAATATCAATCGAAGAAAACCCCTCTCAGGAAGATATTTACAGTTGTCTTAACATGCCTACTACTTCTTACCTCATTCCAATCTACATACCTGTTATGACTTCAAAATCATGTTGATTTAGCTTTTTTGAATTATTTAATTTTATGAAATTCGAGGTATCAAAGTTGTTATTAATGTGCACTGTAGAGTAGAATTTTGAGAGCAACAGTTTTAAGAGTTTTAAACAATTAGTCCTTGCTAGCCGTTGTGAATATTCATTTTTCTGTGGATTTTCGGTATACATAATTTGAGTCCTAAATTAGAAACTAATTACCTGGACCTAAGAACTGGCATCCTCTAGAACGAATAGCAGACCAAAGAATTGCCGATATGTTAGAATTATCTTGATGACAAATAATCAATTCTGAAAGAGCGCGTTCCGCCAAAGCGCGTGCTGTTTTTAGTGCCCGCTGGAGACCTTTATATTCCATCAATTGATAGCACAGTAACGATATTAACTTGCGTTGCATCGGTCTACTTAATTCATCACTCCAAACACTTCCTCCTGAAAATGGAAGAGAATTAGAGAGGACATCCGTTATTTTAGAAAATTCTTGCAAAATCGCAAATATGAAGTTCAATTTGAAAAACAGAAACTTAATAAAAAAAGTTTTTGTTTTAGATTGCCGTAACACTTTATTTCACAAAGCATCAACAGTCTTGCTCAAGAAGTTCATCCCTTTCAGAAATCTAAATATTAGTAAACTACTACATTGCAAAAATATTACCAAATAAGCATTCGACGGGATGTAAATAAGAGGCCAATTTGACGAGAATCGATTCAATATGTCGATATTCTTCGGAGAGTTCTTGACAAATTCCAAATTTATCATCGATAAATTCTGATAGAACTGAGAGCAATGCACGATTCGGAGGTAATTTTTCGAGAGGAAGAGAAATTACTGCCTAGAAAAGTAAAAAGGAAGCCGTTAATACTAATCATACCGCAACCTGAAAAATATGACGAACTTTGGCATAATATCGAATATTAGGTAATTAGTTCATGAATATTGTTAATTTAATGATTGCTACTTATTCATAAGTAAAAGACATTATATGTTTATTCCTAATACGCATCGGACGTTTAAGAAAGAATCAAAAATAATTTCGTCTTCAAATGTCTTCTCATAGATCCACTTATTTAATGGTTGATTTTATATTTGTAAAAAGAAAATTTTTCAACAATTATGAGAATCAAAAATAATTTCGTCTTCCAATGTCCTCTCATAGTTCCACTTATTTATTGAGTGGTTGATTTTATATCTATAAAGAAGAAATTTCTCAACACACCTGATCCAAAGGACAGCTATTTGTATTAAGCTTCTTAAGACAATTATGACATATTGTATGACCACAAGCGAGATTTATTGGCAGTTTTTTGGAGCTAAAAAGCTGAAATATATTTCGATGAAACAAGTGGATCTGAAATAATTTAATCAGATCTTAATATTTTTTGATTATGTAAACCAGTTACTTAACATGTTACTACATAAACTATATAACACACGAACACAAGATCTTCCTAAGATTCATTTTGGAAACAGTAAATGATTTCCGTTATAAAGTTCGTAACCAAGTAAGAATGAAATTCTCATAAATATGAAATGGATACATTTCATTTATTTCTAAATTAATTTAGAAATATGAAAACTAAGGAAATTTACTTTTGAACAAATACGACAGCAAAGTATATCAGACCACGACGCGCTTTGTCCCGCAGGAGCCATCAGACAGCAAATTATCTATATTATGACTATATCATTTTTTCCGAAAAAAAGGGCTTTCATTGATCAAACATCTTCGGTTGCAATGATTGGCAGTGATTTAACTGAAAACTTCGGAAAAGAAAATGGTGTATAAATTTCAACTCGAAATTAATGGCGCCGTTGACGTTCCGGCAATAGCTAAATTGATCAGATCTACTGGGAGTTCGGAATATTTTTGCAAAAGAACGTAGACAGTATATATTTTCAATTTTAGGAAGAAATTTCTTAAGTCCACACTCTTCTCATTTAAGTTAATAATTTAAAGAATTAGATGAATTATAGGGGTTGCAACACTCACTATTTCATCGGTTTATTATTACCGAAATAATGAGTTAATCCCAATCCATTCGCAGCGAACATCATTTATATTACTCTATATCATGAGCAACTGATATCTAATTCTGATGATCCTTCTTTTCTGTGTTTCTCAAAAATTTCTTCGCAAGTTTCGAAATTTTAAATTTATGAACTCACCTTTTACTGATTAGTTATAAGATTAACCTAGAATGAACGCTAGTTTTCTCCTGAACGTTAGACATCTTGCTAAAAAAACTAGATTGCAAGCCCGATTGCAAGCACTATTTTCTTTAAAGTATGATCAGATATGACAAAGGAAAATAGCAGAAGGATTGAATCAACCGAGAATAAGCTCCCTTTATAACTACTCACCATTCTAATAACTTACAATATTGCAAGATTTGAATTCGAATGTCGCTCAGCAAATTGAGATAACTTAGAAGAACTGTTCGAAATGTGCTGTAAGCAAGCAGAAAAGATTGGAAACTTTTGGACATTTTTCATTAATGTAGGAGATAAACCGCAAATTTGATCAAGGAGATGTTTTTGAAAATTTTGTTCTATTAAATGAGAACATTTTGGCATAAACCTTGAACGCCTTAATAATATGCACAAATGAGCAGGTAATTTGAGTGTAGTGGTACTAAGTTGTCGGAAATATAACAATGGAAAAAGAAATAAATCATTGAAAACAACAGAATAAACAAAAATTTCCGGGTTCCATATATAAATTGCAGGACTAGTGCCAAACAAGAAACAAAACTGTATAACAGTCGCTTATCTTATTAGCGTAAGGGAATACTGCTATCATTGCAAAATATTCAAACTATCTTCCAGCTTTGATTGCTTAATCAAAACTGCTTTTGAAAGCATTGCACAATAGTTCTTAATATATCGACCTAAACAAGAATAAACAAAAATTTTCATTCATTTTCAGCTTTCCTCGCGTATCAGCTGTCATTTCTGCCAATCCATCTGGGTCTAAGTAGACTTGAGGAAACACTGTTACAAAATCGCGGTTTCGTAATTTGTGTAACAGGCAAATTCATTAGCAAGGTTGTGTTTGTGGGAAGGTTGAAATTTGCATTTGTGTGCGTGAAATAGCCTCTGGACCTGAAAGTTTAGGAATATCCTAAAAACAAACTTAAAATGTTTCAATCCAATTTAAAAACTGGAAAATAATTAAGGAATAATATAAGTCTCCTTGCAAGCAATAATTCCATTATTTCATTATTATCTTGCAGATATCATGTACAGAAATACAGAGTACTTCTTAACCCTCTGGAAGATAACCGTAAAGAGGTAAAAGTAAAGTACAAAATCTCTAAAAACATTCATCATTAAATACAAGTTTATAGAGTTATGCAAAACAACTTGAATCCTGAAAAATTTTGGAACTAAGAAGTAATTTAAACCTTAAGCTTAAAAAGTAATTTAAACACTGTATAATAAGTAATTTAAACATTGTATAAAAATTTAAACATTGTTTGAAACTTAAGAAGTATTTTACATTGCATGATTATACAATTCACTATTATGTCATTATTCACTCCATATTCAATCATCTTTCCAAAATTTTGGTGAGATTAATATAAACTTACAAGTTTTTCCATGATTACGCCTGTACAAATCAATAACTTCGTTGCGGAGTCGCGGGACAGTAATCGTACTGTTTGTGCTACTTTGATTAAGCACTCATCAGATAGATAGGGCGGATCAATAACAATGAAATCAAATGCATTGTGATATAATTCGGATATTGCTAAAGGTTTGCGATAATCATACAGAACAAATTTCTCAGAAAACTTGGTCTCAAATCGGCGATCATATTCAAAAAGTTTTACCACAACACGTTCATGCACTACGCACTGAAAATACAGGCAATTTTTATATATTTTAGAAGACGTAAGTGAACGATAGTGAATTTCAGACAATTTACATCATTCATCAGAAGGTAATCAAGAAGCGTCGGGCACGATATACAAGCGATTCTTCCACAATTTCCAACACTCTTTATACATTCTTCAGCAAGTTTTAAAGCAGTGTTTTCTGAATACCAAAATTGACTCAGCTAAAATAGAAAATCATACATATATGTATTTATATTGATTCATTTATTAATATGGGAGTACAAGAAAGTTCTTCCGATCCCATGTATCAATTAGTTCAAACTTGTAGGACCTTAATAAGAGTCTTTGAAACAGCGAGTCAAACTAGTTTTAAAAAAATCGTAGAAGGGCGATTGACAGCAATTAAAGAAACGAAGCACTAATTAATTCGAAAGGTTTTATCAAATCTGGAAATAATTTTAACCGTCCAATCTCGAAACTTTACGTACCCACAAAAACTGCATCGTCTGAACTCGACGCTACTGAGAACTACAATATCATTCCTAAATCCTGTCCAACTGCACATTTTCCGCTAGCTTATACATCATATGAATCAGTTCATGAATGACGAACCTGCCAGTCTTCTTTAACAGAAACTTTATCAGCGGTACTCAGTTCGGCATAAAATTCCGCCAGTGCACTCATTGCTTCAGCAGATAACTGTGGCGTATCATCGCCATCGTTATCATTATCAGGATGATGTCCAGTCAACATCGATGTACTACTCTGTGAAACAATCCATTATTCGTGTTGCATCAAAAATTACCTTTATTTCTATCATTTCACAATTTCCAAAATTTATGAAATATTTGATAGTTTTTGAGTAAACTTCCGCAGATAGAATGACTAAGAACCTCAATATTTATATGTATGTTTTTGATTAAAGAACACAAGCAATACAGATATGTTCTTAGAATAACAAAAGTGGTAAGCAAATGATATAAATGTTCACATGTAATATCACATACGTACCGTTCCATCTCGGAAATTCCTGGTTTATTATTCAAATATATTACACAGATAGCTTTGAATTAACTGATTTGATAACAAGCATGACTTGGTTATCCTACTTTAGATTGTGAGTCTCAGTGGTCCGCAAACAAGACTGGTGATACAGTTGACAATCAGCTTAAAATCTTAGACAGCTCAGATGGCTTAATTTAAGCAATACAAAATAAATTGCTGCCAAAATGTTTTGAACCAGCTAAAGACAATAAGGAGATATGACCATATATCATTTATTGAAAAATATGATGCGCTGCACAAAACTTATTTTTTTTACACTTCACAACGTTTATTCCAGAAATCCAAAAATAAGGAATGTGTGTTCTCTCTTGAAAAATTGATAAAATATTCAAATAGTCTCCGCAATAAAGAAATAACTGCGCAAGTAAAACTATTTGATAGCGTTTGATAACAAGTAAGTCATTTTAGAATCACCTTATGCAGCCTCTAAATCTTTCGTCAGTAAGGACACTGTCTAAAAAATTGAACTTAATAATCATCGTATGGGCTTTGAAACATCGAAGAAAATTAATGACGTTCTTCTGATTGTTATCCAGTGCTTTTACTGTGACGGTGTAGGATCCGCAGGTGCATCATCGCTAGGAGTATTTATTTGTTGAGTACTGCGATATTTCGTTAACTGAAGAATTCAAATCTATCATTAAAAAATGTTCATAAAAGAGAAGTGTAAAAAAAATTTCAAAATAAACAGGTACAAAGTAAAAGAAAATATTTCTTTACTTCATATGTAATTCTTTATTTCATATTTAAACTTGCAGAATCCAAAATCTACTTATTTAGCATATTCCGCCAGAAATATTATGGAATGCTAAACGCGATGATGACCTTGCAGGATTATTTGATTTATTTAAGAATGTTATATCTGAAGATCCGACATTGAATAAAAATAAGGTGCATAAAATCGTAATTATCCGAAGCTTAGCTAACAACTCATTCATTTCAAATTCTTATTTTAACCAAAAACTATGTCCGCCATTTAAAACTTCGAAAAAACCAGTCTTACTTATAGTTGCAGTAATAGCAGATATAAAGTGGTTTCGCTTCATATCTTTATTCATAATTACTACAGCTCAAGATAAAGTTTCTTTCCAGGCGCAAAGATCAATGAACAAATCGTATTAGGAAAGAGTCTTACAAAGAGTTATTTCAAAATTCTAGCACAAACTGTAGTGATCCATAGCGTTTATATAAGCTTTTCGTGCAACTGCAAACATACAATTCAAAAATTCATTAATCACTTACGATTTTCCGAACATGTTCTTTCGCTGAAGCGACTGCCGTATCATTGATGTCACCAATGGGTTCAATGGAATCAGCTGTATATGGCGGTTGGACTAACACACGATTAAGTACTTTGATATTATTACCGGACCATTCTACCCTATGTTCCAATCTGCAGTTATATGATCAATTGAATCAAATGGATATGATTAACTCCTTTAATCATATATTGGCAAGGAAAAATTGTGCATTTTTGATGAATTTGGTCTTCTATAGCTTGAAGTATAATGGTAAAGGAAATTTAATTTTGTGTAAGATATGTACTGTGTCTTTCTGAACAAGAAAAGGTTAATAGTTAGTTCCGAGAAAACAAGTACGAAGAACAAAATAAAAGCAACTGAAATTTAGTATATTGAAATAAATCATAAATATAACTATCAGTTCAACTGATGGTTGAAACTTACGTTTTCCTTAGGTGAATAAAAGCTCGCTGTCCCTCAACCGATACATGAGTTTGCATTACGGACGCTTTCTTTCGTGCTATTGCACGGCTCATCCGTTCTTGCACTTGTTTTGTGGATATTTGCAAATTTGGCCAAGGTGATGATTGTTCACTTCCTTTATCTTTCAGACATGTTACCTGAAACAAGAAACAAATATTTCTTTTTATCCTCGTTTCATAACCTTTAACTAATTTACACATATAATCCGTTTCCAATTGACGACGCTTTTGATAAATCATTTTCACCTACATACAAAAAACTTTCTAGTATTCGAGAAGTGGACATTTTGAGAAATTTTCGGGAAGCTTAAGATCGCAAGCAACGTCATTAAAAGTTAAAATAACATACCTGTGCAACAAGTGCCAAATTGACAATACGTACCAATGGTACTCCACCTGGTCCTGAAGTATCTCCTGAAAAAAACATGAAATGTACAAAAACTTCTGTAAATGCGAAAAGTAAGTAAGGATGGTGTAATGTGTTGACCTATACAGCACTAAAAAAGTACTTAATTCCTGTTAGATGCGCATAGTTCAAAAGCTTTTGATCATTTGCATTTCAAACAAGATCAAAGAGTGTCAAAAGGTCTATAAATGTAGAATAATCGACCACATGTTCAATATCTTGGAGCTACTACTCGTTTCAAGAAGCGATAGAAATCATTTTATCTCGCTCCACGATATCGAGCTACTGCAACCTAGACAGATATATTCTCCATAATTTTTATTTAAATACAGAGATCCCTCGATAATTAGTCCAAAGACTTCTCCACAAAGTTCCACCTATATACGAGACTCTCGGTAAGCCCACTGGTTGTTGTAATAATAACAGGATTGGAGAGGTTGAAAGAGCTCGATATCTTGCACTAGCCACACATAAAAGTTACTAAGAGCGAACTTAAAAAAATAGAAACTTAGGACGAGAAGTCGCGTTGGTTGGTCCGAGCAGATCACCTGGCCAACAGTCGTGGAATTCAGCACATTTCGACACTCCAACACACTGCCCACAGGGAATACAACATTGTTTTCCAAGATATTGGTTGGGGCTACTTCGCCTGCAGCTGTATGTGCATTGGATAGTTGAGGTTCTGTGCTTCCACAGTTACTGCTCCCTTCGCTCATAGATCCCGGAGTTGTAGTTGTCGTTGATGCTGACAGTGTTGTTGTTGTTGTTGCCGATCGAGTGTTAAACACTGTCATTGATCCTTCGCACCTTTCACGTCTTACACTTACCCAGAAGAACTTCTGCTTTCCTCTGCCAAGGACAGAGAATGAGCAGACTAAAATTTAAAAAAATTAGGAAAATGCTTATAAAACCAAGACACTACGTTTACGATTAAACTTCTCAAATGAATCTACATGACAAATGAGGATAAATCACACATAAAATACTTCTATGTTAGAACAGAACTGCACGAAAAGCTCAAGCACACCATTCGACACTTCATCCCACCGCTTCACCTCAGGCTAATGCTCCCCAAATCGATAGAGTGTCACGAACACCGGTCGACCGCGAAATGATAATCAGGATATTGAAAGCAGTATGAGGAGCAAGAAGATAATCTGAATGATGGTGGTGAGAAAGACGGTGTCGGTATCAGTGACAGAGCATTGGTATGATGGAGAAAGAGATCCTATTCATTAAAATATTATCTGTAAAGATTATAATTATGACTTCTTTTCATTTTCTCTTTTTATAGTAATCGGCACCATATAATCTCTTTTCCTGGATGATATAATGTAGATGGAGGGATAATCATCGCTCAGATCATCCAGATTACCCAATAATGAACATCTCTTATGATATATGCTCATGTTTTTATAATGTTCACTTCATCGGCAAAGGTTAACAGCAAACTTGACCTGTATGAAGTACATAGGAAGCTGGCGTATTATATGAACTGGAGGCCTTAGTAGGACAATTAACGTTGGGCGTTGTTTATGTCGATGCATGGAACCTATTTATTTAGTATGCAATCAATGAGTGAGAGGCACAGAATATTATCTTAGATTACTGATAACTTGTAATCTGTCATGCTACACTGATTGTCTGCACAATTTGGTCATCTTATTTGAATATTATTCAGTACTATTATTGAATCTGAAATTTTAAATTTTGTTTTTATGATTTCAATGAGCGGCGATCAACCAATGGAATCATCGATGAGTAGTGCCACATCAATGGCATTCCGGAACTGGCAGATGTCAAACAATATCGAATCTTTAGGAACGATTTATCAATACGATTCAGCTGAACAACAAGCTATACGAGCTGTAAAACCATGGGAAAAAGATCCACATTATTTCAAAGTACGAGTTTTTCAATAACTTTTTAGTTATGAATCGTTTCCTATTTATAAAAAATATAAATAATGCTCCTAAGTATCTCCAGATGAAGCATGGAGACAGCAACACAACTTGCAGCATGGAACATTTTTAGCAGTTGAGATACTTAGGCTAAGAGGAGCATTATTTATATTTTCTTATAACGACAAAATTAATAAGTTTTGATTTCAGGAAATCAAAATTGCTGCGCTAGCCTTGCTGAAAATGGTAATGCATGCAAGGAGTGGTGGTAATTTGGAAGTGATGGGATTAGTGCAAGGTAAAGTGGATGCGAATACACTGATCGTGGTGGACAGTTTTGCTTTACCGGTAGAAGGTACTGAAACACGGGTAAACGCTCAAGCTCAAGCCTACGAATATATGACAACATATACAGATAGTTCAGAAGCGGTGGGAAGGCTTCATAAGGTTAGCTCTATTGTTGGATTTTTTAGTGCACTACAAAAGAAGGTGGTGACATGTTTGGTGATAAGATATTCAATTGCAGTTCTTAATATCCTTCAAATTCTTTTAAAAATTTTCCTTTGGTATGCGTTGTGGTAATACTGTAATACAAATAGGGTTTTGTAGATTGCGGTGTTTTTAGAAATCCTTATTTTCCTTATTCATTTAAGGTCGTAGGATGGTATCACAGTCATCCAGGATATGGATGTTGGTTAAGCGGAATTGATGTATCAACTCAGGCCCTCAATCAACAATTTCAGGAGCCGTTTGTAGCTATTGTAGTAAGTTTTGGTATTCTCTCAGCTTTTTTGTACTAACAAGTTTAATCTCACTATAAAATCATGTATGCGCACGCAATAACTTTTTATTTTTTTCAACATAGTGACTCTTCCATGTTTGCTCTAGGTTGATCCTATTCGAACGATGTCAGCCGGAAAAGTGGAACTTGGTGCTTTTCGAACTTATCCAAAAGGCTATAAGCCTCCTGATGAGGTTCCCTCAGAATATCAGTCGATTCCCCTGAACAAAATTGAAGATTTTGGTGTTCACTGCAAACAGGTATTGCCTTCTTCGTATTCATTGTATTTCTCAGTCGTATTTTATTTCTCAGTAATTTCTATTTTTGGGTGCTTGGAAAATTGCTCTGCCTCCGAATGTCTCATTGCTGCTGTATATAGTATCAAGGAAGCATGGCATCCTGGTTCTCATAAATCCTGTCGTAATCTGATCTGGTAAAAGGATAGTGGTATGATGGGACTGGAATATTTCCTTCTCTAAACTAGAATAATCTTGATGAATACATATTTACGTTTCTGTGGTTTCCAACTTGGTGTTAAATATTTTCAGTATTATCCATTGGAAGTATCTTATTTCAAATCAGCTTTGGATGCACGTCTGTTGGATTCTTTGTGGAACACTTATTGGGTCAGCACTTTATCTACCAACTCGCTGATCACAAATTCTTCGTACATTACTTCGCAGATTAATGATCTCGCCCAGAAATTACAGAATGTGAGTCAAATTTAAAGTTTTGCATTTCATTGAAAAAGAATTCAGTAGTCACTGTGCGAGCTTTAACATTATTTCGGTAAAGGAGACTTAAAAACTAAATTTTAGGTAAGCAAGTGTAAAAGTATTCAAGGGCCGCGTTCGTTAGATTCAACAATAGCAGATAAATTGTCGAAGATAATTAAAGACACAAGAAAGGTTCTTTGCTTGATTTCATTGGTTTTTCTACTCTAAAAATCGTCCTGATTTTTGCTAAGTGCATACCTCTATATAAGGATGAAACTTGGAGGAGGATATTTTTAAAGCAAAGACCACATCCCTGATTGTCTTATGCATTTTCTAATTTCAGTGATAAGTTTGAGCTACTTAAAAATTTCAATCCTTTAGGTAAGTTGTGAAGTCACCCATGGAATGATGGCTCAGATGATCAAGAATTCACTGTTCAACCACGTTTTTTTCTCCTCTCCGGAAATAGATAAAACATTAAGTGAAACTTTACACTAATAATTGTAGTACTCTTATTTAAAAACTTATTAATTTCACCATTTACATTTTATCAACTATATACGCTGGTTTGTAATGGTTCTCGTCATTTACGCGAAGCCATTATCAGTTTCGACTTTCCTCAATGAAAAAATATCAATAAGCACAACCTAGTTACGCTGGTCGTGCACACGATTACTCCATACGTGCAGTTCACCATTGTGGAGTGAGGGGCTGTATATTAATAGGTGATCCCGATGAAACAAATCTTCGGCAAGATTCATAAAATTCACTAGATGTGAGCCCAGTACTGCCTCAACTTTAGAAATGATTGCATCTGTTGAATTTGTACATTTTGAAGGTATGTATATAAGCAATAAATTCTATACAAATGATATCGACAGATTCATACACTATAAGCAACAAGGCATCTCGCTGCTTACGGTGAGTGTATAAATCCTTTACAAAAGAAAGAAAAAAATCTCCGATGAATAGAGCATTCCTTCGAATCCCGAACTTGCTGATTGTTTCTCCGTCGCCTGTGAGGGTGGAATCACCGCTCTAGTTTGATCAGATGACATCTAATGGGAATTTCAATGTTTGGAGTTGCAAGTAAACAAACCGAAGTTTAAATGAATATTAGTTTCATTAGATTCTTTACGCAAATAACACCACAGAAGGTGAAAGAAAGCTAAAAAATCAGTTGATTAGTGGAAGATGCAAGGCTTTGATATGTCAATGTTTTTGTTGGTTTCTGAAGAACTTTAAATGTCTAAAGAACAGAATACTTAAATATTTGCATGCTACTCGCTATTCAAGACAGTAAAAAAAGGACGTCAGTGAATCGTTTTATTCAAATCGCTTGATTAACAAAAAAATAACAGTTTTCATGCAATGGACCCAGCGTTTGAAGCAATCCTGGGCCACAAATCCGCACATTCCTTCGCTACCGGCCCAGTAATGGCCGAGCCTTTCATTTCACCTTTGTTGTTTACAATGACACCAGCATTATCTTCGAAATAGATAAATGAACCATCTTTCCGTCGATATTGCTTTCGTTGTCGCACGACCACTGCTTGTAGAACTGAAAGAATTTTCAGTTTATAGGAAATGATCTATTTAATGTGCTCTTGATATCTACAAAAAATTAGGCACATGAATTTGAGGTGCTTTGGAACACCAGACAATTTAACCAGCAGGACTGCACATATTAATTATTAGGAAAAAAAGTTATTAGGAAGGTGACTTGACACTAATGATCGATATAAATGCGAAAATTAGTGTCTCACAAGCCTCAGACAGCCAAGGATTTCCGCATGGTGCAATCAGTTAGTCGCGAAACCAATTTTCAAGTATCTTCATCGGCTTTTTATTCAGTTATGTTAATACGAATAAACATTGAAATGTATCTCATAAACTCGACTCATCGCGTTAACGAAATTCACAACTTGAGCAGACAAGACATCGGGATATAATCAGAATAACCGTACAATCACAATGTATGGACTCAAACGCGAAATGTTGAATATTTCTTCATGCTTGTTAAATATCTAAGCTAAGCTTAATATCAAATGAGACATCATTCAGTACTGTCCAATCATAAAATGAGACAACCAATTTACAGAATGAAACAAACCCTTTTTCCGAAGCTCAGGTTTGCCCTTCTTTACGGAAGCAACGAACATATCGCCAACACCAGCACTCGGCAATCGATTCAAGCGTCCCCTAATTCCATACACAGCAATTACGAAAAGATTTTTGGCGCCAGTGTTGTCGGCGCAGTTCATAACAGCACCAACCGGAAGACCCAAAGAAATACGAAATTTCGCTCCCGACGCTCCACCACGTCCCCTCTTCGACATAGTTTAAATCTGAATGAACTTCAAAACTCTGCGAATAAATGATAGTGCAAGAATTCAAAACAATTTGGCAACCTCAACAATCCTAACACTAAAAACTAAACTTACACAACATATAGCAATACTGAATGCCTACTCTACTCAATATTTCGTAAAAATTTTCGTAAAATTTCGCAAAAATGATTATCACTACTGTCATACGTCATTAGCACGATCACTATCACTATAAAACATCGTATAATATAGTTTGTAATCACCGGTCAATACTCATTTTACTATAATAACCTGATTTCATTTCTTCGAAGTGATCTCTGGCAGATTTCTCTATAACTATATTCCATGGGGAACAGTGTAGCATAAAATGCAATATCAACAATTCATTTAGGAAAATAATTAACCAGACTACCACCCTCTTTCTCAGATCAGTAGTCCCATTTGTCACAAGCAAATATATATCATCCTCAGCTTGATAAAAATGAGAATTTATATATTTGATATTTAGTTACTCTGTAAGTAAGAAAATATACTACTCGACATAAAAGGAATTTTACCCTAGACCTATCCCCATAACATTCACAATAAACCAATTATTCTCCCAAATAAAAGTATGGCCTGCAGTGGCAACTAATCAGCCGCAATGCAAATATCGGCATCCCCAATTCTCTTATTCATTCTGTGGTAGTCGTCCGTCTTGGATTTTGTTTCTTATCGAGATATATTTTCAACTGCCAGAAATTCTATCAAATGAAGACATGTTGCTAATCTGATAAATTATTTACGATGAAAATGGAGAAATTTAATATGAAAAATGAAAGATAAAAATTAAAAGAAAGTTTTAGAGCTTAGCAGTAAGATGTGAATTTCGAAAATTACTCTTAAGATAGTCAAGATTATAATTTGAACCGAAAGGCTAAAGGTTGTTGCAAAGATTATCTCATGTTATCGACACTACAATTACTTATTAAATCTTGGTCGACACTAATCCTGAGCTTGATTTAGCAACAACTATCTTACTTAATCTTCCTATTACTGTCACAACAAAGAAAATACATATGAAAATTGCACTGAGATTAACAAATAATGAAATATAGTAACTTAGATCTACCAAAAGCATTGTTTGCCAAAACAATGGGTTATTTTCAAAAACAAATGAGCAAAGTTTTGCCTTAATTTTTAACTCTTTTTAAATCCCTATTTTGAACATAATTTTTTGTAATATCACTGATATATTTTGTTAAGACAAATATATTAGATTTGCATAAATAGCAGCAAAAGTTTCATTTACATTATAAGTCCATATTAAGTTAAGTATTTATTCCACTTTCTGTTAACATAAAGATGAGATATAAATATGATATGATATGATATGATATGACATCTTTTTTTCGTATATTTTAAATTCATTGACATGTTAGAGTAGGAGCATAGTCATACTACCTAAAGATTTAATTAGGAATTTTAATTTTAAAAGAACTGAAAATAGCAAATGGGATGAACGAGCTTCATTCCGTCGCTGCGTTATTTCTTTGTGATGCGAAGATGGTTTGTTAGTTTAACATCATCTGTTGAGCTTTGCTTAGGCAGTCAAAGCGGATGAACTCTCCTGGGAAGTTGAGCGGGCGCTGGGGAATCAAATTAGTTTTAGTGCAATGTGAAGCTAGCGAATTGTTCATACCTTCTTTGTGAATGCGATAACTTGCTTCACCTTTCATTTTGTGATATATTCAGGTTTTTGGAATTGGAATTTATCTGTAGGGGAGAGGCGCGATAGCACAGGAAGGAGAGAAGAAAATATTTCAATGAGTGCGGCTCCTGGTCCGCGCGATTACGATCATCTTTTCAAATTGCTTATTATTGGTGATAGTGGTGAATTTTTGACATTTCTGTATTAAACGAATCATTTAATACCTTTTCGTGCTTACTTGGACGGAGCTATTGTATAGTTATTTCGGGAAAAAAAAACGATAAAGTAGTTCTTGGAGGAATTCTTCGTCAAAAAGATTTATTATATTGTCACAATAGATCATTTCGAGTTGTTTAGATCAAATAATTTTAAGCTTTCATTACAGGAGTTGGGAAAAGTAGCTTATTACTTCGATTTGCCGACAATACATTCTCCCGTAAGTTTTAATTAACTTATTGGAAAAAAGTGTCTGCGTAGAGAGAGGGAGAGAGATATGAAGGAGTGAAAATCTTCGACCACTTTACTAGGAATTCCGTTGCTTTTGCTTAGTTTAATATACTTATTTGTTATTCTAACCAATTAGTTACGTAATTTCCTGGTTAAAGTCTAACCTTTGCGTCTAACATTATGGTTGCAATTTCAAGAAACCAAGGAAATATTTGAATTTTCAACTTTTTATCAGATTCCAACTTTTTATAGCGAATTATATTACAACTATCGGTGTTGATTTCAAAATTAGAACGGTTACAATCAATGGACAGCGAGTGAAATTACAGATTTGGGATACAGCTGGCCAGGAAAGATTTCGCACCATCACTTCTACGTATGTTTTTTTTTTCATTTTTCAAACTTAATTGAAGTCTGTAATTTTGATTTGAAATCAGGTGCTTGACGATCATTTTTTCTGTTAAATGCGAAATGATGAATGATACATTATGTGATTGTTGGTGGTTTGGTATTACTGTATTATTTACCTACAAGAAGCCATATCTTTCAGTTATTATCGTGGTACGCACGGTGTGATTGTTGTGTATGAAGTAACAAGTGGTGATTCATTCAGTAACGTGAAAAGATGGCTACATGAAATTGACACAAATTGTGAAAATGTTCAAAAAGTTTTGGGTGAGGCAGAAATTCTCACTTTTCAACTGAAGTTAGGAAATTCCAGAAATTTGAACCTTGAATTTTCAGCTAAGACTTATGATCCTTATATCTTCAGTTGGTAACAAAGCTGACGATCCGGAACGACGAGTAGTATTAGAATTGGACGCTCGCCGTTTTGCCGAAACAATGAAAATTCCATTCTTTGAAACCTCTGCTAAAGAAAATATCAATGTTGAAGAGGTGACATTTATGTTATTTCCTCAAGTTATTCCCCAAGAACTACCAGTGTTTAAGTTACTTCTTAAAAGGTTTAGGATAAATCAATTATCAATTATTTGATTTAAAATGTTCAGATTAGTTAATAAAATAAAGCATTCTCAACCACGAAGCTAAGTCCAGAGCAAGAAACAGTTTTAGTTGGGCAAATATAATTAAGATTATTATTATTGTAAATTTACCCTTTTTTCTAGTAAGAATGTTTTGATTCTCACTAATTGCATTAGCCTCAGTTCTTTGGAAGATATAGCGGTTATGATTTTGAATTGATTTGGTATGGTCTTACAGATGTTTAACTGCATAACACGATTAGTACTAGAAGCAAAGCTTCGAGCTCCTCAATCAAACATTGGTGATAGTGGCGGTGGTGTGCGATTGGGTGGCTCTAGTCTGAGACGGCATGAAAAGAGGAAATGTTGTAGCTGAGTGGCGAACAAGTTATTGTGAACAGTATATTTTTTTTTATTTTCCAAAATTTCCTTTAAATTAGAAAAATGTTACTCTTGCTTTGCATTGTGTCATATTACTATCATTTACTGGGTTGATTTTTGTCTCTAAATTTTATTTGCTGTTAGGAATTGAAAAATTTTCCTAATCAGTTTCACTACGGTATTCATACATTGCTCTGTTCTGCAGCATTTGGAAGAAACTGTTTGAGATTTTCAGTATGAAATTTGCATTTGATGTTGTGATATTGTCTCAATTAAATTGTGCTTTATGTTAAGAATTATTTTAAGTTATCATTCTCTTTTCTTCCAAGTCTTCCAGTTTCTTAGAATTGTGGAATGACATTGGAAAATATTATGGTTCTTTAGTCCTCGCTATATATTATTAGAAAATACAAATTCTCAGGAGTAATTAGTTTATTGAATCATGCACGTAGTTATCATCTTGTGATGGTTTACATGTGCTTTGGAAGTTAATGCCATGAAGCATTCCGTTTAATTTACTTAGTGGTTGAGGCTGTTAAATAATTTTGTGCATGAGAAAAACAATGCACCTGAAAATGAGGGAGTAGTTTTTGTTCCTTTTTCTTTCCAAACTTTTTTATGCTTTTTATGAGTATTACGCTTTATTCAGTACGAAGTATGTAAATGCAAACTCTTGAATTTGCTACGTCAGCGTTCTTGAATTTCAGTGCTTCCTCCTCCAAGTTTCTTTGTTTTTCTTTAGGTTATAAAAACTCATTTTTCTGTTAATGTATTGGTATTTCATTACTTCTTGGATGCAATCCTTTTTTAATTATTAATATGAATTAGAGATGGTGAGGGCATTTATTATTTATTTATTATTAACAGGTTTAGCTGTTGATAATAAATAAATAAAAAGTTTTAGAGTTCGCATGAAAGGATAAGTATCAAGCAATTTTTACGGAGGCTTGGCATAAAGTGTGCTTAAACGATGCGGACCTATAGGTTTTCTTCAAATTTCTTTAAATTTTTTAATGAAATATGTGGTACAGGACTGACCATTAAAGAAGATAAATAAATAGATAATAGTATCCCAAATTACTTCAAGTTTTGCAAAAAAAAAAAAGATAGACGCATTCTGGGACCATTATTTTGCCAATAATTTGTCCAGCTTTGATTGCTAATTTTCATTTTTATGTCATATGTTAAAACATATGACATAAAAATGAAAGAAAAATGTTTGCTCTTTTAAAATGTTTGCTTGCCTCGTTGCGATATAGTTTATTTTAAGCGAAGTTTATATTATACGCATATTGTGCGTGCTGGCATAATTTAAAATATTGAAGCATAAATTATGGAAGAAAAAAAGGTGCTAATATTTAGGCTGACTAATTTTTACAATTCGTCGCTTTGCAAAAGCAATGGAAAAAAATTCATTCGACTGATAATAAGTATTTTTCTTGTTATTTATTATAAATTGGAAATTTTTCATTCTTTAGGAAAATTTCACTTCCTGAACTTAATGCTCTTTTATTGAAATGTTGTGATATCACAGTTTGCATAAGATTTGTAAGTTTTAAATTTTCTATTCCTTCATTTATAATTGCTCTATGTGTTTGCATTGTCTGTCTACAATTGTATATGCTTTTATTGCTTGTGACATATTGTTTGTAATTCAATCTAAATTAAAGTTTGTGCCATCTGATCGACGATATTATGCAGTGAATTTTCAAACTTACTGTTTTCACCCGAACATTATCATTGTTTTTACAATGATTTCGATTTTTTTGCAGGATTAAGTAATTTTTCTGCATACGTGCAAAACTAAGTTCTTTGTTTGAATATTGCAAAAAATGGGGTCAAAAATTTTTTTTTAGATCATATAAGAATTAAAATTGTATATACAATAGGATGACATGAGTTATAATTTACATTCCATTACTCATGCGAAGCAAAAAACTATAACAAAGAATATGTGTGAGTCGGAGATATTTTAGTATTGCGATCATCTCTATTCTTTAAAGAAAAAAAGTGGAATAAAATTCGTAGAGGTAGATCAAATTTCCTATAGGAAAGAAAGATAGACGATAGATAGGTCATATTTGCATGATTTTAATGAGTATTCTCCAACGGGTATCAAATTGCGGGAATTTATTTTTAATTCTTTTTGAATTCGAATTCGACTCGTAACGCTATTGTTTATATTGTACTAATCAGGTGGATGAATAAAAGTGTTTTAAAAGTTTTGGAAAGTTGCTGGTCTCATTAAAATCGTTTTTTCAAAAACCAAAAATTAAAATTTTGATATTCTACTTCCCTCAATTTCTTCCTATTCGTTCGTATTTTTCCTAATAGACGAATTTTACAGTAAATTAGAGAGAAAAACGAAAAAGAGAACTTGCGAGAGTTTAGATTTTGTTTTCACAAAATTTCGTAACATTCAAAAAGAATCGGAATAACTTGGGAAATTAATTAATACATAATTCTTAATAACGGTTTCTGATTTAGCTTCATTTCCTACACCATTTTTCTTTCAAATTCGGATCATTCATTATCTCCAAATCGCGAACATTTATAACCTGAGAGAGTTTAAAATATATTCAAGTGTGGTTGGTACGTGTGATCAGGAAAAATCATACTACTCAAAAATATCCTAAATTATATTCATTTGTTGAAAATTTCTATTTTAGTATTTGAAAAAAAACATTTTCTATTTGTTGTACTTTCATAAAGAAATATCAAATTAACCTGTGATTCAATAATGATTGAATCTGATCGAAGTGTCTTTTGTATTCTTTGTTCAAGTTGTACTACTGCAACTCCTCTTACATCTTCCATTAATTCTTCTGTTGATTCCTAAATTTAAACAATTTTCAATTTAATTCAAAAATATGAAATTAAACTTCTTTCTTCTTTTTGGTATGAATAAGAGTGCGCTATAGTTATTACTTTTCAAAATTCATAGTAATTAAAATATTGGCATATATCTAAATCAAATTATGAAATGTAAACAAATGAAGAGATAGTAGAAATTTCCGATAATTTCAGAAATATCCAAAGTAAGAAGCACCTCCGATTCAATGCGTACCCGATTGCTCATTTGTTTTGTGATTTCCTGGAATTCGGTATCGGTTGTTTTAGGCATGGTATGATTATTATTCAATCGATGTAATATTCCTTCTGCACCTTTACTAACATCTTTGAATATGTTCGCAGATGTATTTGCTTTGTCGAATAATATTGATGATATGGTTGTTAATGGTGTTTTTGCGATATTTTTCGTTAATGATTTCACCTTTTTTTGACGTTCTTTCAATTCCTGAAAAATAAATTTAGAGAAATTCAAAATATTTAAATAATCGTTGAAATTATTATTTCAAATGAAATTTGTCGTATGATTTTGTCTTCTCTTGAAATCGTTATATATTAATGATTTTTAATTTAATTATATTTATAATTAATTTTATTCCATAGGAAATCATTATGTAATTTATTTTGTTCTTTGTTTTTTCATTCAGCTATATTTAAATTGTTTTTTAAAATATATTTAAATATTAAGAGATATCGAATATTTGCTAATTCGTAGGATTAGGAATTGAAATTGTCCGATAAAATTGATTGATCTTTTAGATTGTTTATATGAAAATTGTAAAATTTTTGTTAAAAATAAATTTATAAAAGTTTAAAATTACTCGTTGATATTGTTGTTTTAAATGATCGTTGCTTACAATTGCAACATTTTGTGTGTTAATTTTTACATCCATACCACCTACTGGAAAATCAATAATACGACGATGATTGTTCGGAGATTTGCTGTAATTTAGTTAAGAGGAAAATTCAGTTATATAAAATCTTCATCTGTAGAATAATTTAGTGAAGAGGAAAATTCAGTTATATAAAATTTTCATCTGTAGAATGGCAAAAAATGCATATATATAGTCCGACTTATTAGTTTATGAGTTTTTAGGATTTATGTTAGAAATTACGTAAATATTATGTTTACGTCACGAATCACGTAAATGTTATATTTACGTCACAAATTATGTAAACATTATGTTTACGTCACAATTATCATTAATGTTATGTTTACGTCACAAATTGCGTTAATGTTATATTTATGTCACAAATTACGTTAATGTTATGTTTATGTCACAAATCACGTAAGTATTTTATAAAACAATAAATATGATATCTAAACGATTGAGGGACAGTATAAATTGGCCTATATTATATTTGCGTTTAATGCTAAAATAATTTTATATGGAAAGAAAACCAACTTATTAGCTTGTGGTGATGAAATAATAAATGGTTCTTCATCATCATTGATTAGTTTCTCGAGAGGATGGGAAACTCTATCGAGATTGCTCGGTATTAATGAATGCGGTAACGATCTAACCGAATGACTTCCTGATGCTTTTACACGTTCCGCGATCGTTAAACGTCGATGTGATGGCATTACTGAAACGATCGGAATTTATATCAATTAAGAAATTTGAGAAACAGATCAGATATAATATGAAAACTAGAAACTTCTAAATTGAAACAAAATGAAAGATATGAAATATTATATTAAAGTTTAAGCATAAAAATTTAACAAAAGGTACAAACATTTCTCTGGTTGTGTTGGATGAAAAGTTAGCAATGGTATGGCTGTCAAAGTTGTCGTTGCTGTTGTTGTTGTTGTTGTTGATGCTATCGTTGTTGCTATAGTAAAGGTGATCGCTTCCGTTATTTCTTCTTCGTATTCATTATCATCACTACCATTAGTGGAACCTGTGAAATCCCAAGACCAGTTCATTTCCTAAATTGACAAATAAAAAATTAAATTTCTAAAATATATTTGAATTTATAAAAAATATACTTTCTGGTGATATAGAATAAATTTGTAAAAAGATTTTAAATATCATACTATCTTACATTCAACGATGCATTTATGGATTTGATATTTTCATTGCTTCTTTCTGCTGCTCGACGATTTCTACGGCATCGCGGGGACTAAAAGTTTCATTTATTATCTTTTTAATCTTTCGAAATCAATCAAGTATTTGGTTGTGATTTGAACCAATGTTGAATACAACAAAGTAGGAAGTGATGAAGCGATAATAGCGAAAATTTCAATTTATCTCTTATCTCTTTTTGGTGACAAAAAATCTTTGCGAAATATAGCTGCGAAAAATATCACAATGAAATATACCAGAATGGTATCACATTCACCCAGTAAACGATCACAAAATCGTAGATGACATTTCATTTTAATCATTGAACCATCCGGAAATTTCACCGCTTTACCGATAGCAAATGCTGATAATGATTCCACATATTGCGGTGAATCCATTACCGAATTATCAAGTGCACATCTATAGTAGTATTATGGAAATTTTTGAAAAATTAATAATGCTATTTATTAAATTGTATAATTTTGAGATGAAATATTTGATGAAAGAAATTTACCCGGCCGAATCAATAATAGTCTTTTCAGTACCACTGATTAAATCGATGATAACACAATTGTGAACAAGCATCGACTGATATGTATCGAAAGAATCTGCAAGGTGGGCACACATCGAGAACGGTTGCTGGCAGTTGAATTGATGATTAGCATGGCATTGCAGAATAGAATGCCTTATCTGGAATACCTTGCAATGCCTTTCATTTCTTCCTATCTATAGAATTCAATGCTCTGTAGTGAATTGGATCAAACCAATTTCGTGTCAAGTCTAATTTTTCAGTTAAAAGTTCAGTGTTCCAAATTTTTTTCAATTCACAAATAATGGATAAGGATCAATTCCATGGAATTAAAGATAGAATGTGATTTATTTTTCTTTGTAATACTTTTACTACTTCCCCAATTTCAATGTAATTTATTAAATGTGAACTATTTGAATCGATGATATATCTTAATTTCCTAATTGAAACTTCACATAGTTCGAAGTCTTAAGTGTAAAGTGATAAATTGCAAAATGATTTTAGTGTTGTTACCCTTTTAATTTATCATTTGAAAATATCATCATATTATTCATACCTTTATCACATTCCCATGAATGAATAATTTGATCACCGATACGTACATCTTCCAATTTACATTTATCATTTGGTTTCGAATTTGATAGGATTTTATAGGAACAAGGCATTTTCAATTCATTCCTGTAAATCATTTTTAAGTATAGATGAAAAGATGAATTTAAAAATGTATTTATAAAAGAAAGTAAAGCATGGAAATAAGGCAAAAAATATATATAAAGGAAAGTTAAAGTCTGAAAATAAGGCATAAATGTATATAAAGGAAAGTAAGGCCTGGAAATAAGGCAAAAAATATGTAAAGGAAATTAAGGCCTGGAAATAAGGCAAAAAATATATATAAAGGGAACAAAGGTAAATCATTTTTAAATATTGATGAAGAGATGAATTTAAAAAAATATATGAGAAAGTAAGGCCTGGAAATAAGGCAAAAAAATGAGAACAAAAATTTTGAATGATAATTAAGTAAAAATATTTTATTGATATTACTTATCATTAAGAACCAATCGATTGTCCACATATTTTCTTGTCAATTTTGGTGCTTTTTCAGGATAAAAACATTGCACCTTGAAAACCTTATCAACTTTTGTGTTGTATAATGGATGAAATTTCAGCACGACATTTGTTTCGAATAATGTACCCATAAGATTTTGCTATAATATCAATAATAAATATCAGAAGAGCAAAAAAAAAGGAATTAAATTATAACAATCATTTATATCACTACATTAATTAACAAAAATTTTATTTACATTTATTTATGTACTAGGAAGTAATATATTAAATTGACCACGTTGAATAATATGTAGTAATTCGACGTGGTGAATTTAATATATTATTTCATATTATATAAACAAGTGTAAATAAAAGTAAAGTAATGTAGTAGTAAAATAATGTAGTAATGTAGAAGCATAATAATGTAGTAATGCTATTAAACATAATATATAGTAATGTGGCAATGTAATAATATGGTAATATTGTTAAATTCAGTTCTTCAATCCTGGGAAGAGTCGCTTCAGTAATATATGAATGTATTGTATGCGATAAAAGATACAACTAAATAATTTTAAAAAAGTAAACAGATGAAAAAAATTCAACCATAAACTATTTTAAGTTATTTTTACCTTTATCTGTTTCTGAATATTACACGAAGCAAGATCTATTGTAAGGCGAATTTCTTTGAGAGATGAATTTCGTGCGGTTACGGTACATTCTGAACGATGAAATTGACCAGACACATAAAGATGTCCATAGAATGGATTAATTGTAGAAACAATAATTTCCACAGAATCACTATGACAGTTTATTTCAGCACCAAGTGGACCTAAAATATAATTTTTTTTCTTTTCTTTTACGACAATTTTCGTCGTCAGCAACATTCCTTTCATTTCAATTTTGGTAGTGTACAAAATAAAGTTTTTGAAATTTTTGATATTGTAAACAAATATTATTGAATGAACGCTTACCTTTTATAGGTAAATTACGAATTTGCATGGATGATTATCAATTTTAAAATCCATCGAAATCAAATTTCAATATATACATCTTAAAAAAAGAAAGAAAAACATATGAAATGTTTTTTAATAACCTCGAGAGAAGTCGCAATGCTCGCCAACAGCAATCTTTTTGAGTTGATGCACAAATTGATCAAATGAAGATTTAGAAGTAAGATTCTGGAAAGCAAGATTTTCATCACCGGTAATTTCCACCAGTTCACCGATATTAATATGCGCACCAATACCAAGAGCAAGTATTTGAATACCTGAGTATAAAAATTATATAAGAATCAAAGGTAGAAATTCAAACTTGAATTGTAGTAATAAGTTTTATTCGGAACCTAAGAAATTTTTTTTTTAAATCAAAATTTTGTAAATAAATCTATTAAATAAATTTATTGATTTTTAAATCTAATTTTTTTGAATAAATCTACCAGCATGACGAAGTCGCACAGCAGCTGGTACTGGATCATCATGTGAATGACCATCGGTGACAACTACAGCTACCTAAAAGTAAACTTCATGTTAAAATTGATAGTAGCACATCAAAAAGAAATCCTTTATTCTAAAACAAAATATCAAAGACAGATTTGTTAATCTTTTAAATTGTTCTTATTCAATTTTGCAATTCTAACCAATTGTTTTCAAAGCAAATAACTGAAAGATACGTTTATCAAATATATGTAAATATATTAAAGGATATTTCTCACTGCAAAAAGTTCCGGTAAATAATTTGAATTAAAAATTAAAATTTTGAAATTAATTAGAAAAGAGAAAGAGATGAAGTTGAAAAACCTGTGCCACATCATCCTGATTCATTCGTGCTCCAGAATTGCTATCATGACGGAAAACATGAAGTGCCTTATCCAATGCCTTGCCAGTTTTTGTTGTTCCCGAAATATGTCGAATTTTTTGGATTGAAGTACGAAGTGCTTCCTTGTTCTGAATAATGCTTAATTTTTTAAGGATATATTGAAAAGTTTTTATTATTTGAAAATTTTACAGAATTCAATTACTACAATTTCTTTCTGTAGTAGTATCAAGTGCAAAAGTTTCCTCCATAGCTGAATTCATTTGTTGCAGTATTTATTTCGGCAAAACGAAAAAATGAGAAAATCCTTCATTTCGAATTTTCAGTAATTAATTTCAAATTAAAATATAAATTTGATTTTAAATATATAAAAAAAATTTAAATATAAATCTGAATAATTTCTAAAATTGTCTTTTAGTGAAATATTATCATAAATCATTTTTGGCAAATGTAAACTTCCTTAATCTCCTGGAATCAAATCGATGATTCCTATCAAAAAAAATAATATATTTAGACTTGAAACTTTTCATTAATATTCTATCTTTTTTAGATTTTGTTAATTTGGGATGTGCAATATTACACCGCGGTACAGAAATGAGATTTTTAGTTGAGGTTTTTCATCAGGAATGAATGATTACTACATTTGCTAATTAGCTGCTAATTAGTCGAAAACTAGCAAAGATTGCTACGGAAATGAATAATTTTTACTTTCTGCGCTTTTTACTTCTCTCAAAAATTTCTATTTGTTAGAAGCGACGAATATTTCAATAATCAGAAATTTGTTTAATATTTGACAAATGTCGTTTTCAGTGGAAAGTTTTCCACTGAAAACGACATTTGTCATTTCAGTAAAAATTATCCTGTCCTTTTTCAGATAATAATCTGTTACAGGAATCTGTCACCAAAAATTTAAAATAGTTCATCTTAGTTTCAAATAAGATGAAATCGTTAGTTGTAATTTTGTCTTTTGGCTTTAATTATTAGAGTATAAAATAATAATTTCAATCCTTTGCTTCAACTGTTCAATTTTTGTTTTACTGAGAAATTTGCTCATGTGAAAATCCCGGAGAATTTATAGATTGTTATGAGTGTGAGTGGACTCAATACGGGGGTTTGACGCGAGGAATTTCCTAAAGCCCGCGATACATTTTTATTTTTGAATTGACATCGAAGATATTGCAAAACTTTGAAATAACAACCAACTGGATTGGAACTAAAATTAAATTCCACTAATGTGTAGGATGAATATTGCATTACAGCAATTTGCGTATTCTTCGGTCCAATTTCGACCATGTCAACTATCCTGAAATTAATCTCAATTATAATTTCTTAACTATCTTAGTAATAAAGACAAAAAAGAATTTGCAGTAAAATAAATTCAAATCTTTTTTAAACTATCAAATAATTTAAAAGTAATTAATTTCAATTACAGACTTATTAAGCATAGTAAGTTGTGTTGCAAAAGTACTTCCACTAACGCTACCAGAACCATCCAGAATGAATAATAAATCCATTTGACGATCCAAAGGTCGACATACTAAAGTATCAATATCAATGTCAGTAATTCAAAATCAATTTATAATCTGATCAATAAGTGATTAAATTAGATATTCCCATTTTATAATTCGATGATGTTAATTGAATCAGTAATAAATATTACACCGGTGATGATATTCCGATATTCACTAATGTAATATTATTTATATAATATAACTGTATACTGTAAGCATTATAATAAATGCTAAAAATGAAGGCCTTATACTATAACGAACTTTGATAGTATCTGAAATGATCATTTCTAAAATTGCTATCTAAAAAGATTACCTTTAGCTAAATCATTATCTTCATAATCGATCGCTGTGATCATTAATGTTGAAGTGATTAATATTAATGATATAATCATATCATAAGTTAAGAATAACATTTTCATTTTAAAATTTGTTTTCTAAAAAATGATATTTGAAAATGATTTCCATTCAATGCATGCGATATGAATATTAATGAATTTATGAAAAATGAATTATTTAATAAATCAAATTAAAAAAGAAAATGGACGAAATGAGGACGAAAAAATGGTACAGTAATAAATGATGAAGATGGTAGAAATTACAAATAGCAAATTACGGTAATAATTATAACATCATAGTTAATGCAAGAGATTATGAATTTTAATAAGTTATGGAAATGGTAGAAATTACAAATAGCAAATTACGGTAATAATTATGATGTTATAATTAATGCAAAAGGCTAATTATTAGATCATAGTTAATGCAGCAGATTATGAATTTTAATAAATTATGGAAATGGTAGAAATTATAAATAGCAAATTACGGTAATAATTATTATAATTATTGTAGGACGCTATGAATTTTAATAAATTGATAGATTGCTTTCTTCTTCAAACTCTCTTTTCCTCTTAATAAAATAGGAAAAAAGCAAATTAATCATTTCAACAATGTAGGAAAATAAAAAGTTAAGAAATAAATGAAAGATGTGGGAAATGAAATGAAAGGTTGGCAATAATATA